ATAAATATGCATATAATAAATAATACTGCTAATAATAATAACATTATACAAAAGAAAATTTAAAGAACTGAAAAAGCCTCCCGAGATGAAGAAAGTATGAAGGCAGTGGTTTTTAAATTCATATTGGCTAGAAAATAATATGTTTTGTAATGTTATAATCCTTTATATTTATATCCTATATATCCTTATTATATCCTTAACATTTTATATCTTTTTCATTAAAGATATTTGCGTATTGCTCTACATCTTGTGTGTATTAAGCTTACAGTCAATGTAATACAATTGACTTAATACAATGGTATTAAGCAGTGTGTAAGCCAGGCGCACTCTGCGTCAGAATATAGGCCAGCTTTGTTCTGGACTAAAGAACAGACTATTATAGTTTCTCAAAATAGCAACGAGCCAAAACACGCCTGCTTTTTTAGATCAGAACGGGTGTACATATGAGCGCAAATGCATTTGCTATTTAAACAGCTTGGCGCAAAATGTCAAAACGACTCTTGGGCCAAGCTAAAATTAGCAAATAACAATTGCGTCGTGCCTTGCGCCACATTGCGCCGGGTGTGTGATAGGGCCCATTGTGTTTAAACAACAGTTCAACGACAAAATTATGTATATAAAAAAAATAATCAAACACGGATAGTCTCAAAAAACCTTTTGTAAGAGGAACTACTTTCTTACGCCATTCATTCACATCTGCAGCTGATGTAAGAACAGCAGAAACTGTTGCTCATTCACCAATGTCACCTTAAAACTGGTATTTGAATGATTCTCTAGCGTAATGTCCAAAGTGATGACAAAACAGGTGACTTTGCTGACATTTTAAGATTTCCCAGTATTTGTTTGTAGCAATTAAGATTTCACAATAATTAACCCAGAATGGTGAGGAGACTGTGGGAGTGCTGTTATTTGTAGAATATTGCCATATATCAGCCACTCAGATTCAAGAACCAGACAGAACTGTTGTATAAAAAATAATATTTGATCCCTTGCAATCTTTCCAGTCTGAGGCAGACATTTTAGTCTCAAAAAAAGCAAGATGTATGAGAGATTTCCCATTGCTGCCCTAAGACTTATTGCTTTACAGAAATGAGGCACACTGATCCCATTATATGCTGTGATTCATGTTCTGCAGGAGGGCACACAACCACAGTAATTCATAAACCAGCGGTGTGAAATTATGATTGAGATTATATTCCAAATGCAATTTCATCGAAAACATCATTACAACGTCTCTAGATGCCTCTCTGCAGGTTGTTTTATGTAGATGCACATTAAAGTCTATGAAGGACATGATTTGTATTCAGAGTTTAATGGCTTCAGTGACTTGGTGAAGTGTGGTGAGAAGGGATTTATGTGGTTTCTGTTTCTCTTCCTCTCTTTGTATGTGTAAAACGGATTGTGTGGACGGTATTAACATGTGGCGAGCTTCAGGAATGCAGTCCAGTCAAAAATCATGCAAACTCACTGTTATTTTCTCTATGACAACATCACACACATTTTCATATTTGATTTTTTTTATTTCAGAAAATTACAATAGAACGTAGTCTATAAGGTATACAATAGTGATCTGTTTTAATAGCTCTATCAATTATTTAACAAATGATAGACTAAACAGTTTTGAAGTTAGGCCTATGTGTCATTGAAGTCATGTCTGTCTGTAATATTCAAGGTGCCTCTGATCCAGGTCATGAACTGTTCTCACTTCTCCCCTCAGGCAGACACTACAGATTTTTTTATTTTGTCAGTTCAATTCATCTTTATTTCTATTCGTACAGGACCCTTACTGTTTATGTAACCAATTTTTTTGTAACCAATAAAGCCACTAAATTGTAAATACAATTATATAAATACTTTTATTTGTTATTTGTACCATTAAAAAGGTCAACAATGCACATAGTGCACATAAACTGTCTAGATGTATATATGATGCATGAATTTTATCATTTCTATTGTATTCATGGGAATGTATTGTATTCATTGATTGTAAATGTAAATGTATTCATTTCTATTTCTAACTGTATTTTTCACTTCGTGTTGCTATTTTTGCAGGCCTTTAGTCGGAGTGGGGGGGGGGGGGGGTGTTAGTTTATGGCTGCTATGCCATAATAAATTGTGAAAAGGACCTATTGAGAAGGCTTTAAGACCATGTGGAATCCTCTGTTGATTGTCGCTTCAACGTGACATCAGCTAGTCAGTTTTGGCCAATGCAAATATTTATTTTGGATGGGTCAAACATCCAGCTGTGCAAGTAAACAAAGTCTGATGTAAGAGAAGTCATCTTTCACTACTGACCTACTGTAGTGTTGTTACATAGAAAATACATAGGTAACTTTTATTCTAAATATTGGGCCTCTTATTTGAAATTTAAAAATGACCATTAAAAAGGTGGAAAGCACAAAAATGGCCCATATTAAAGTACTAATTAGGTTATTGCTGTTATCTATGAACTTTCAAATTAACTTTTTTTTTTTTACAAGAGATGCTAGAAAAAGTGTATTTTTATTAATATTATTAATCAGATGTCCAAATAAAATGACTGAAGAAATGTTATGCTGGCTGGTTTGTTAATTGTGCAATAAATAACAATAGGCTATACAGTTTTTAATTTAAAAATTTAACAAATTCCGATTTTTTTCTAATGATATACAATGTAATAAATTTGTGTTTTAAAAATATTATTATTATTATTATTATTATTATTGTTGTTGTTGTTGTTGTTGTTGTTGTTGTATTTCTTTATTCTACATTTTTAGGAAATATTTTGGTCCATTAAAAATGTGGTTATGATCACCATCAGGCAAGCTAATCCAGAAAAAAGATATGAAATAGTGCTTAATATAAAAAAATGCATTATTTAAACCTAATAATCACATAAAAATAAGGCAAATAACTGCATAAAGTTACCATTTTTTGAAAAACATAAAAATAAAAAAGAACCACCTCTTTTACCAGGCTAGCTACGGGCCAGTATGTGTATATGTGCCCTGAGCTCTTGAACAAATACAACGCATTCCTTGATTGTTATATGTTGTATAGAATGCCTAGTTTTTTGGAGAGAAGTACTTTTGAGATAAGAGCATTTCATCTGTAAAAAGTGTCTAACATGTGGAATAATAATGGAGTTGCTATTTTTTAGTCGCTGAGGCAATACTGACCTCTTGTGTTTTTTTCTGGTGAGGCAGGTATTGAATCCCCAAGGTTACTTAAAATTACTTATAAATCATTTTTATCACATTTTAATTTTCCTGTGTCCCATAACGAATTTGCAATGGTCTTTGCTGCTATTCCCCTATGTATCGTTACAGTATGTAAAATTTAGAAAATATCTCTTTGTTACATCCTAAAGGTATGTGGGAAAATATGTTTTTTTTTTCTTACGAAAATAAGGCCATATGTTCCTTATTTCAATCACTCATGGTCAATAAACCCTACATAATATCTTATTGGTCTGGGTTCATTGGAGATTTAATTGGAAGGAGGTCTGGTTGTTGCCTAAAAAATGTTTTTATTGCAAACAAATTTAAAAAGGTTTCATTTAAAATTCTGCATTTCAAACATTTTCTTTCCATGTTTAGACAGGACATGCAGAATTATTACCCTCCCTTTGAATTTTGTTCTTTTAAAAATATTTCTCAAATGATGTTTAACAGATCAAGGAATTTTTTACAGTATGTCTGATAATATTTTTTCTTCTGGAGCAAGTCTTATTTGTTTCTAATTTTTTAAAAACAATTTTAAGGTCAAAATTTTTAGCCCCTTTAAGCTATATTGTTTTTAGATAGTCTACAGAACAAACCATCGTTATATAATAACTTGCCTAATTACCCTAACCTACCTATACCTAATTAGCCTAGTTAAGCCTTTAAATGTCACTTTAATCTGTATAGAAGTGTCTTGAAAAATATCTAGTAAAATATTATTTACTGCCATCATGGCAAAGATAAAATAAATCAGTTATTAGAAATATGTTAATAAAACTATTATGTTTAGAAATGTGTTGAAAAAAATCTTCACTCCGTTAAACAGAAATTGGGGATAAAATAAACAGGGGAGGCTAATAATTCTGACTTAAACTGTAGATCAGAGCTTGATTTTGTTTGTCACATCAGAAATTGTATTTTTTGGAATTGTCAATTCTCAAAGAAAATCTCCAAATTTGTAGATTACAAATTATTGCCACATTTTTGTTTAGAACACCAACATGTTAACAAAAAAATGAAGGAAGCTTATGTTATTAATCTTTAGATAATATTTACATTGCAAATTTAATAACCAAAAACATATTTTATCCTGATATTAATTTATTCATTTGCTTTTCGGCTTAGTCCCTTATTTATCAGGGCTCGCCACATTGGAATGAACCGCCAACTTATCCAGCATATGTATATGAAACAGGAACACCCTAACCCACACAAACATGGGGAGAACATGCAAACCTCACACAGAACTGTGTCACTGTGAGACCCTTATCTTGATATACTAAAATAATTAGAACATTACATAGCATAAAGCAAAGCTCTAATTAAAAAATGCCATTAAAACAGTCTTTTTTTACTTAAAACCTTCCACATGCTGTAGTCCCACAAGGCCCTTACCCTTAGTATGCATACTTTTACAAATATTTTTTGTAAATATTTTGTTTTTTGTACACCTCTGACCTTTTTTTCTTCTTTTCTTTCTTTCTTCTTTGAATTTGTATTGTTCTGTACTTTGGTCTTTAAAAAATTGTGAAACCGTCGTCTTGAAAGAGCAGTTTCCTCATAATATTTCTTTAATTAAACGATTATTGTTTGCATCAAAATATATATTATAAAATAAGCACTGACAAACTGATTATCAGAGAGCATTACATCATGTCATACCAGATCCAGATGCGTTTTTGTCTTGTCCAATCGTGAAGTTCTACGATCTGAAAACTGTGTTGCTGTTGTAGGGTGTGTGGCGACATTCTGACCAATCACTAATCACATTCTAACTAAAACCATCCAACCAGGCGTAACCTTAGAAGTAGGTGATATCCGCTTCACGGAAGTTGACGTTGCTAACGACAGAGGCATCTTTTCTGATCTTTTCCCTCATCAGAACTGGGAATAAAACTTCAACATCCAGTAAGGTATCTCTGAACAACTGGAGATTTATTTCTTATGTTATAAACGATGGAATTTGCCGCTGTTTTTTTAGGTTTGTTAATGTGTTTTTGTAAAGGTGTAAGATTTGTGTCATGACCAGCTGGTAGTCATGGACTAACCGGTATTTATCTTAATCTTTCAGCTGTCGAGGAAATTTTCCTGCAACGTTAAGATTACAGCATGATTTGCTGATAAAGTTTGTCATTTAAGTATATTAAATGACCTTGTGCTTAACACTCAATTACGTGTAATGCATTTCAAGTACTGGTTCAGCTGCTTTAAATTGTGTAACCTGTTATAATTGTGACATCTGCGGACACTAAACTAAAGTGAACAGACAAAAGAAAAAAAAAACCTGAAAGAGTATTGTCAATGTTCATATAATGTTTTTGAGTTGACTATTATTCCCTAAATAGACTCCCAAGCTGTACTTGACTTATTAGAATGTAGGAGGACAATAGTTTAAAAAGATAGTTCACCCCCAAAATGCTTTGTTTCACACCTGTTTGAGGTACTGTCATCAGTTAAACACAAAAGAAGATCGTTTGAAGTATGTTGAAAATCTATAACTGTTGAATTGCAATGTATTTGTTTTTCCTGCTATGGAAGTCAATGGTTACATGTTTTCTGCAATCTTCAGGGTGTCCACAGGGTCTGAATGTCTTCAATCTCAAAATCTAAAGTTTAGACCTTAAAAAGTCTTAAATGGAACTAACAAATTGAACTATTCAAATAATCTGCTGAAATTATATTCATATCACAATATTTATTGCAGAAAAACAAAATATCGCTATGTCGGTTTATTTTCCAATATGGTGCAGTCCTAGCATAAACATTATGAATTAGTAATTTTACATTTTTGGGTGAATATCCCATTCATTTAAAAGTTCATGACTTTACCAGCATCTGTTTTTCCATTTGACCCAGGTTTTCGGAGAGTTTGCAGCTGTAATGTGGGACGTGTGTCATGTTGACTCTGGGTCTCTGGACTGATGGCAGCTCTAGCGGTGTTGCGTTATGCCGGCAGCAGTCCTCTGCTCTGGGGTTGGGGGCCCATTCTGTTTGGCCTGCTGGGGTCTGTGTTTGTCCTGCTGCTGCCTTTAGTGGGCATCGAGGAGCAATGCTGTGCCACGCTCAAGGGTCTTGCCCTTCTGCGCTGTCAGATGTGGGGGGGCATCCAGAGGCCTGTAGTTCACACCACCAGCCTGGCGGTTCCTTTCACAGCACTAGACCTCCTGCCACAAAAAGTCAAGCCCAGTAAAGGTACAGCTTTGGCTTTCTGTTGTTGAGTGGCTGAATGAATGTCAACATGAATGATCTGGGGATGTTGTGCACAATTTACTGATGCATGCTAATGCAAATAAACATTTGGTATTAAAACCCAACCAACTGCAATGAAATGTTAGACTCTTACTCTCAAATTACCTTTTTTTACACAACTCTAAATACATTGTTAGTAGTTTGAATTGAATTTAATATTTTATTAGAATAATATGTGCAAATTAAAATAAAAAGGGTCATTTTATGCATGCATAATTATGTAGATATTATAAGCTTTATCTTGCTTTTACATTTGAGTAATTTTAATATTTGTTGTTTCCATATTTGTTTTGATTTCTTTCATTTAAATGATCTTAACTTTAGTGTGGAAAAATATATTATGTTTTTGGCATTTTAATTATTTAATAATATAAATATATCAGTAGTTTACTTACATTGTTTATTTTGTTTTATTATTTTTTTGTAACTAATAATAATTTGTAATAAATAAAAAAATTTAAAGTAATCAAATATGTTTAATAATTCAAGTAAAATGTTTAAAATTTGGATTTTGGACTTTAAATCAAATGCATGTTTAAGTAAACATAACTTACAGTATGTTTCTATGTGACCATGGAATAAATAATTGGAGCTTTTGAGTGCTTGATAGATATGAAGGGCTAGATTTACTATCAGTTTGCACCAGTTTTAGCAATAAAAACCTGTCAGGATTTGCTATAGATACACAATTAAAGAATTAGCGATGACAGAGATTTTGCTACAAATGCATTAGTAAGAGTTACTGTCCCAGTCGCAGCTGCAAAATTGATATGAAGGGAAATAATTAATTTGTGCAAGATGATTTACTAAGATTTGCCAATACATGTTGCTGCATTTTCTACTTGTTTTCATGACTATTTATCATTGGATACACTTTACATACATTAGATACTCATTAGGTGTTAAATACTCATTTCACATTAGATTATTTTTTTCAGTTTAACCTAAATGTACTTGCACTGTTCAGCATATATGTGTACACCCCATTTTAAAAATTCTTATTTTCATCAATTTTTCAGTGAATATAGGTCATATATTTTGTTGCATTTGAGCAAAACCGATTTGTTAAACTAATATATTACTTAAAATATTATTATTTTAATAGATAAGCTCCAGATTTGGCTTCAGTACTGAGTGATCTAATGTATATGCATATGCACAAATATAATATTGTATAGATTCCTCTAGAAAAATGATTTGTGAGGGTTGTGCTCGTAAATGCTGAGCACTCTGTTCATGTTTAATCTAAACAAATGTCACTCTGGACAACAAATCCAGTCATTAGTGTGTTTATTTAAATTGAAATCCATCACCTGAAGGTTGAATAAATAAGTATTTTATAGGACATATTTGTTGGAGAAGGGAGATACTATTCAAAAAATCTGAAATATGAAGATTAAGAAATGTCAGAATATTTAGAAATTTATGTCTAATGTTGTCTAAATTCAGTTTTTAGCCATGGATATTACTGATCAATAAATTAAGTTTTTGCTGTTGGAAATTGACAAAATGTCTTTATAGATCTTTAATATTCCAACCATTTTGGCAAAAATATACACAAGGTTGCCACAGGTCATGGAATTTTTGGAATCTATGGAATACCATAGACCTTTTAAAATACCATATAAGCCGTTAAAAATCTTTTTTTTTTTTTAAATCTTATTTTGTTTTATTTGTCAGCTAAAATAGCCGAGTGGTTCGAGCATCGACAGAACATTAAGGTGTTCATGGCGACCTGAGTTGGATTCCCAGCTTAAGGTCCTTTGCCGATTCTTCCCCTCTCTCCGCTCCCTACATTTTGTGTCTGTAATCTCCACTGTCCTGTCCATTAAAGGTGAAAACTTTCAAAAAATAATTAGTAAAAAAATAATAATTAGGGATGTCCAAGTAATGGATTATCAGGGATTTTGTTTGTCGCTTTAAATTAGATTTCATTTCATTTTCATTGATCAAAATGTTGTTTTGTTACCATTTTTATAAGATCCTGTTTCATGATCATTATCTGGTTCGTTTCCTATTCATTAGATGGCATGGAAATTCAGCTTGTTAGTCACAGAAAGTCAGGGAATTTAATGTTTGGCTTAAAGTATATACCCTTGCATTATAAGACTGATTTTGTTGTCTAGGCAGGGTCCCATATGACAGCTTACTCTCTTGATTCCACATCTTTCAGCTCTAATATCATAATCCATTAATCTGACTATCCATTTGTTTCCAGAGACTCAGTTGGAGGCAAAAGCAGCTCTCCAGCAGGCTCTGGAGATGAAGAAAAGTGGGAAAAGAGAGAAAGCCCACAAGCTGCTTGTCCATGCGCTCAACATGAATCCAGAGTTTGTGGAAGCCCTCACCGAATTAGGAACCATCCTGGAGGAGGAAAAAGACGTCGTCCAAGCGGACCACCTCTACACTAAAGCCCTCGCCATCTCGCCGTGCCACGAAAAGGCTCTGGTGAGCCGGGATCGCACGCTTCCATTAGTCGAAGAAATTGATCAGCGACACTTCGGGATCATCGATGGGAAAGTGCGACGTCTCATGTCCATACCCAAAGGGAACTCTGCCCTGCGTCGGGTCATGGAGGAAACCTACTATCATCATATTTACCACACCGTAGCCATCGAAGGCAACACGCTCACTCTGTCTGAGATCCGCCATATTATTGAGACCAGATACGCCGTGCCAGGAAAGAGTCTTCAGGAACAGAATGAGGCAATTGGAGTTGACGTTGCCATGAAGTACATCAACACCACCCTACTATCCCGGGATGGAGCAATCACAGTAAACGACATCCTAGAAATACACCGACGGGTCCTAGGCTACGCTGATCCCGTGGAAGCCGGCCGTTTTCGTGTTAACCAAGTGTTCGTGGGACATCACATCCCACCGCACCCACAGGACTTAGACAAACACATGCAGGAGCTGGTGCAGTGGCTGAACTCCGAGGAAACGCTTCATCTGCACCCGGTGGAGTTTGCCGCTCTGGCGCATTATAAACTTGTTTACGTTCATCCGTTCGTGGATGGGAACGGACGGACGTCACGATTGCTGATGAATTTAATACTAATGCAAGCTAGTTATCCTCCAATCACCATTCGGAAAGAGCAGAGGGCGGAGTATTACGCGGCGCTTGATACAGCCAATGAGGGCGACGTTAGACCCTTTATTCGATTCATCGCGAAATGCACGGAAATGACACTCGATACGCTGTTGATCGCCACTACTGAACATGCGGTCGGGCTGCCTGGTGCCAGTAATCACGCATGCCCTGACTGTAAACAGACCATTCCAGTGCACAGCTGAGAGAGATGCATGTTGGGAAATGTAATGCAGATTTGCATGTGTGTGGAAGCTGAAGTGCCATTTGGAACACATCAAGCTGTTATAAATCAGTGTCCAACTCCAACCTTGTACTTGTGAATTGTGGATTACTGGTGGATCCATTTTCAAGGTATTTTATTTGCCCAAGAATGTAAATTTGCTTATCCTCAAGTGGTTATAACAATTTATGAGCTGTTTTTTTCTGTTGAACACAAGATATTTGGAAGTAAAATGTTTCGAATTTCATAGTAGCAAAAAATACTATGGCTAAGACAAGTCAATGTTTAGCAGATATCAACATTCATCATGATATATTTTGAGTTTAACAGTAAAAACTAAGTAAAATGGAGTAAATGATTTGACAATTTACATTCTTGGGTGAACTGTCCCTTTAAGTGTTTTATGCATTTATATTAGTTAATCTGAAAGTCACAATGTTGCCATCATTTACTCCCCCTCGTGACTTTCAGCACCCAGATATTTGTTGAACTTTTAATGAAGATGTTGACAAATGAAGAATATTTCATTGAAAAGTTCATCTAAAAAGTTCTTAAAGAGATCTAAATCTCTATAAATTAAGTTTGATCCACATATTCCAACAAGACACAGTCAGATTTTAGCTTTTATTGACTCATAAACATTAATCAAAGCGATGTTTACTGAGTTCAGATATGATGGAAGAATCTGTGATGCTCGATTGGTGTGTGAGAACCAATGGGGTTTATTATTGTTTGTCACATGGCATTTTTGAGCTTCCACAAGAACCAATGAGCTTCTGTGCAGTTTCACCCATCAGTGTCAAGATTAAATCGCATTCCAATTCAATTCAATTCAATTCAGCTTTATTTGTATAGCGCTTTTACAATGTAGATTGTGTCAAAGCAGCTTCACATAAATGGTCATAGTAACTGGAACAGTGTAGTTCAGGTTTTAGTGTTTAAGTTCAGTTCAGTTTAGCTCTGTTCAGTGTGATTTAATCATTACTGAGAGTTCAAACACTGAAGAGCAAATTCATCGATGCGTAGCTCTACCAATCCTGAACCATGCGAGGCAGTGGCGACAGCGGAGAGGGAAAAAAAAACTTCACCTGATGGGAGTGAAGAAAAAAAACCTTGAGAGAACCAGACTCAGTTGGGCACGACCATTTTAATTTCTCCGCTGGCCAAGAGTCTTGTGCAGAACTTCATTCGCCGTGGTTTAGGCTGGAAGATGGCCTCAATGAAGACTCGTCTGTCCCTGGAGCGTCGCTGGAATCAGACTCATGTTCTCCACTCCCCACGACCATCAGCGCAGCAGCAGCTCAGGATATGGCCTGGTCCCGGATATGGAATCCTTGGGATCATCACGTCGCTGGTCTTGGATCCAATCAGTGACTCCGCCTAATCTGAGGACCTCGGGATGAGTATCCCCAGGTGAAAATAGAGAATAAAGAGAATAATTAGCGTAGCTGCTGTTCATGGTGTATATAAGCAAGATGTAGAAGCCAGTGTGGAACCTGCTAGGTGATGCACTGAGTGTATGCTTTACTAAACAGATAGGTCTTTAATCTAGTTTTGAACTGGGAGAGTGTGTCTGAGCCTCGGACATTACCAGGAAGGCTATTCCAGAGTGTAGGAGCCATGAAAGAGAAGGCTCGACCTCCTTTACTTGATTTTGCTATTCTAGGTACTACCAGAAGCCCTGAATTTTGAGATCTTAAGGAGCGAGTTGGTTCGTAGCGAGACAGAAGGTTGGTTAGATAAACAGGAGCTAGATTATTTAGAGCTTTATAGGTGAGAAGTAATATTTTAAATTCAATACGAAATTTAACAGGCAGGCAGTGTAAGGAGGATAAAATTGGGGTTATATGATCATATTTTCTAGACCTGGTCAGAACTCTGGCTGCTGCATTTTGTACTAATTGAAGTTTGTTAATAGAGGATGCTGGGCAGCCAGCAAATAGAGCATTACAGTAATCCAGTCTCGAAGTCATAAAAGCATGGACTAGCTTTTCTGCATCTGAGATGGATAGCATATTTCGTAATTTAGCGATATTTCTCAGATGAAAGAAGGCAGTTTTTGTGACATGGGATATATGGTTTTTAAAAGTTAGATTGCTGTCTAATATGACACCCAGATCTTTTATAGTAGAGCTAAAGCTAACTTTGTATCCCTCTAATTGTAAATTGAGTTGCGAGATCTGCTGTGTGCAAGATTTAGGCCCAATAAGTAATAATTCTGTTTTGTCTGAGTTTAAGAGAAGAAAATTGTTGGTCATCTAGTCTTTGATGTCTTTGATACACTCAGTTAGTTTAGAAAGTTCAGACGTCTCGTCAGGTTTAGTGGAAATATATAATTGAGTATCATCTGCATAGCAGTGAAAGCTGATCCCATGTCTTCTAATAATGTCTCCCATAGGTAGCATGTAAATTGTAAACAGTAAAGGGCCTAAAACTGATCCTTGAGGCACCCCATACTTAACTGGGCAGATTTGTGAAGGCTGTCCATTAAGATTTACAAACTGGTAGCGGTCAGTTAAGTATGACTTAAACCATTGTAGAGCCTGTCCCTGGACACCTGTAGACTTTAAACGATTTATGAGGATATTGTGGTCAATGGTATCAAATGCCGCACTAAGATCGAGTAAAACTAATAGCGAGACGCACCCTCGGTCAGCAGCTAAGAGTAAATCATTGGTTATTTTCACTAAGGCGGTTTCTGTACTGTGGTGAGCCCTGAAACCTGACTGAAACACTTCAAAAATATTGTTCGTCTGCAGATAAGAGCATAATTGAGTGGAAACAACTTTTTCTAGTATTTTAGACATAAATGGAAGATTTGAAATAGGCCTATAGTTAGCTAAGTTGTTGGTGTCTAGTTGCGGTTTCTTAATAATAGGCTTAATAACAGCTAGCTTGTAAGAGTTTGGAACATGGCCTATAGATAAAGAAGAGTTGATAATGTTAAGAAGAGGTTCTCCTATAGCAGATAGCAGCTCTTTCAGTAATTTTGTTGGAATTGAGTCCAGCATACACGTAGCTGGTTTAGAGCTATTTATAATTTTTACTAACTCTTCATGTTCTATGATTTTGAAGCAGTGTAGGTTATTATTATGATTTAATGAAATATTTACAGGATTTGGAGTATAAGCCGGTGCAGAAAGTTTGGCATCTCCTATTTTCTGTCTAAAGCCTTCTATTTTATTACTGAAAAAATTCATGAAGTCATCACTACTAATTTGCGGTGGAGTAGTTTGTTCCAAGGATGACCGATTATTTGCTAATTTAGAGATGGTGTTAAATAAAAATCTAGGATTGTTATGATTATTTTCTATCAGTTTGCGCAGGTGCTCGGTCCTGGCAGATTTTAGAGCCCTCCTATAGCTGGACATACTGTCTTTGTACGCAATTCTAAAGACCTCTAAATGAGTTTTTTTCCATTTACGTTCCAGGGCGCGGGTTGCTGTTTTGAGCGCACGAGTATGACTATTATACCATGGTATAGTTTTAATCTCTCTAGCCTTTTTTAATTTGATGGATGCCACAGTATTTAGTGTGCTAGTAAAGATGGCATCCATACTGCTGGTTACTACATCAAGATCATTTGAGTTTGCGGGTGCATTACGAAATAGAGAGAGATCAGGTAAGTTATTTATAAATTCATCTTTAGTTGACGGAACAATAGTTCTACTAGGGAGGAGTATTTATTATTCCAAAATAAAAGTTTTTATTTACATAATATAAGCATGTACTGTGCATATTTTGAAACCTGTATATATATATATATATATATATATTAATTTACATTTTTTTTGTATATATGTGAATGCATATATTGTATATAAAGTATATGGGTATCACTTTATTGTGATGGTCTGTCTGTTGAAATTTAAGTTACATTGCATCTACATGCCAACTAATTCTCATTAGATTATCAGTAGACTATAAGGTTGAGGTTAAGGTAAGTTGACATGCACTTGCAAAGTTTCTTAGTCAATTAAATGTGTTGAAGGAGCAGAATCAACAGATATTAAGCAGACAGTCTACTAATACTCAAATGAGAAGTGATTGGCATATGCAACTTTAAGTCAGCAAAATGTGCAATAGGGACCATCAAAATTAAGTCTTACCAATGTATCTAATACAAATATTGCAGAAATATTTGTATTTTATGCATGTTTGTAAAAGAAATAAACAAGGTACAATATTATGTAAACACAAACCTTTATTTTGAATGTGATTTTTCGCGATTAATCATTTGACAGAACTTGTTTGCAAATATAAGTTTAAACTGGAGGGCTTTTACCTGAATATTTTGAGTAGATGAACGAGTCTGATGAGTTTAGATTGCCATAAGGATGAGCAAATGAAGAGTTTTTGTTTTTATTTTATTTTGGTGAACAAACCCTTACATGTGCTTGCTACATTTTGTGACCCATTTTAGCCACAACTAGTCAATTTTGTGTAAAATTGAAAAGCTTTTCTTTTCCACTGAGTGAACAGTATTAGGTCAGATCAACTAAATCCTGCTTTTTCTTTTTCCTTCCTGAGTGTCTAAAACTGTGAGTTGATCCCTTCTGAATTTAGGGAAATGGGCTGGATGTGAAAGATGTGATGAGATTTAGTTACTTTACCATCTTGGAAGTACAGTTGTGAACTGCAGCTTGTTGGATGCATATTTATTTCCCTTGTTTAAGATTGTATATGGAAGGTTACAGGAACAAAATGTCATGTACAAAAGTTAACGTGTGTTGATTAATAGTTTAAATAATTCCTTTTTTTGAGGAGACAAATAAGAATTGCTATATGGTGGAAGTAATATAAGTCTCCAGCTGGTCAAAATGTTATTTAAGAAGATGTGACATTTTTTTCAAATGTTTTGACTGACATCTTTTAATTGTGTGTTGCCACTGTTTAAGCACTTTAGTTTGAGCTATTTAAATTAGATTAATTTTACTACTAAAAAAAAAAAGTATTTTATTATTGTGTCAAATAAATTATTGTGCAACTTGTCATGTCATGAATTTATAGATATTTTCATATTCAGTATAATAATTCACAAATATCACACAAGTCATGTGTTTGACAACCACATACATTTAATTGCTTAAACAATTTAGGCCTTAAAACAAATGGGGGAAAAGAACATGACCGTACAAATTGAGCAACACAGGAAATACAAGAACATTATTAGAAATGATTATAAATGTGCCTTAAAGATGACACCGAATACGGCGCTAAAGAAAAATCACCAATCTATAATCAAAATAATCCATACAGTAAACTAAATCAAGAAAAAGTGCACAATTTACCACACTTATACCAGGTTTTCTCTCTCCTTTTTTTTAATGTTGAACAAGACATTTGCAACAGCACGTTTTATTTTTATTCCTTTTTTTTGTTCCTCAATCACTACTTTAGGCCACTGTGGTGATCAAACGCAAATATATAGAGCTACTTTGTTCTAAATTTTAGTTTAAAATATACAAATGTTTTACAAAACTATGGCCAACCATTGAGGGGTGTGAAAAAACACGATCAAAAATAAACAAAACGAATCAGCTTAACGTCAAATAGTGGATGAAATGCACACGTCCATCATCGAAACCAGTAAATAATACTAATATCCAGAACATTTGGATGATAAATGTCGTGTGTGCGTGTGTATATACACAATACAGAAGAGGATGGGATTCAGTCAGGTGAACTCGCAGTGGAAAGTTTGAGCGATTTACAGCTGCATAGATTCTTCAACATCGGGGAAGGTCTAAAGCAGAAACTCTGATCCTCAGCCCACACACACACACACACACACACACACACACACACACACACACACACACACACACACACACACACACACACACACACACACACACACACACACACACTAACTTAGCTAAAACTTTACTCCTTGTGCTGAATCAGGCTGTGGAACACAAGCTTTAACCTTCAAGGAATAGTTCTCCTAAAATTGGAAATTCTCCAAAATCATTTTAAACGTGAAAAGAAAACGAAGATAGTTTAAAAACCTTTTCACTACTTTTACCATTTTCCAGCATCCATCTGCTTCTGTGTTTACCAAAAAGAGAAACTTGTGAAGATTTGGAGCTACTTGTTGGCAAATAAACAGAGGGAATTTTTATTTTTAGGTGAACAATCCCTTTCGGACCCTTGAGCACACCAGGTAAGGCAGGTTTTACAAGCTGTGTCTGCAATTAAAAGACCGAAAGGGCAGCGCTTTGAGAAAATACAAAATCTAAAAGCTAAAATATGAGTGCACAGCTTTCAGTTCAAGCGCTGCGGAAACACAAAAGGTGAACTTCGGTCACAAACGTATGTGATGCTGGATCATCGATAAGCCTTCATTTAGAGCCGTTATGAAGACAGTTGTGAATCCACACATGCATGACTGTTTCAGATGGATGTGGTACTGCAAATAAATTATTTATACAACATGCAGTTCCGATAAACGTCAAATAAAAGGTATATCTTTATTTTTTTGTAGAGGTGAAAGACAGCTTCCCCGGAATGGGTCTATTGAGAAATGAAGCGGTTTATGATACACGTATCTTCTTATTAAATGTTCTTGCATATACCTTGCATTAACATCCTGTTAAAAAAATACTCGCTGACAAAATCTGAAATCTGCCCCTCAAATCCCTTTCTTTATTACGTATTAAATAAAGAAAACAACACAGCTCGCATCTCCAAGAATGAGGTGTTAAAATAGTCATATTATATATATATTGAGGGCTGGGCTCATATTTACAGAAAGTAGGCTAAATTAAAACGCTGTTTCTCCGCCGGGCTTCATAAGGACACAGCATGGCTTTCTGTCAGAAGGCAGGGGGGTTTATCTGCATACAGTTTCACTTCTTGAGGAGCATCCTGGCAAAGTCCTCATTGGAAAGAGACTTGGTTTGCGTGTCCAGGCTGGTTTCTCCGTCTGTCACTGTGGCATGAGGTGCAGAGATGGTGCCGTTCTCTGCTTTGGCATCTGGAGTGCTCTGCCGGTACAGAGAGCGTGGCAGCAGAGAGATTTGAGTGCGTCCTTTACCCCTCCTGAAAATACAGCAGCACCATGATGGATTAACTAATTAAAAATGCTGCTAACAGCCATTTCAAATGACATTCAGTGTTCTCACACCTTTTCCAACTTCAAATTCCAGAACTTTTTAAGCACTTTCAAGGTACATTTTTATGCTTTTCCAGCACTTAACCACCACAGTAAATTAAGTTTATATAATGAATTATTTAAATTCATTGTGCATTTTAAAAAAACAATATAACATTTGAACTTAAGTCGTTGAATACTTTGGAACATGGATTTATTTTGATTGTTCACCCAAAAATGGTAAAATAAATAAATAAATCATTTTAAGAAGTTCAGTTATTGGATATCTATTTAACTTTTGGTCTCTTACAGTCAGATTTTGTCTGGGTGTTCTACCAAACTTTCAATGACCAGTCGTCCATGATGTTTCATTCATAAATGCTTGCTGTTGGGCTGCATAATTTACCAAAGAAAAGATAAGTCATAATTGTGAAACAATATTAAACAAGAATGTTTGGGAAGAACACCAGTAACATTACTAACTTGAAGCACCCCTAATAAAAGTAATAATAATTTAAGATGCTTTAATTTAGGAGGAAAACTAAAGAGAGGCCCAATTTACAAAGGCTACAATGGCTGACAAATTAAGCTTTCCTAAATAAAGTTACAAGTAACCCACAGAGCTTGCTATTTTCGGTGTTTCAGGATACTCCCTCAGTCTTCCAAAACATCTACAACAAGCCCTTACTCTAGGCATGACTGTGGCCAAGCGGCTAATACCAAAAAACAGGAAATCTCCTTTACCTCCTTCTTTTCGAACCTGGCTAATGGATATGGCCTCCGTTATCCATTTGGAAAGGCTCAGATTTATCAGGTCTAATTCCAACAAAAAATTATTTTGAATGATTCGGATTTCTGTTTTCAAATCCATCTCATCATGGACCAACTTTTATCCTTTTCTTTATCCTTTACTTTTCAAGCCACCAAACTAGGTCAGAGGTCAGGGAGACCTTGAGTGGAACTGATGGCTGAGGACTGGAAGCAACACTTTAAGTGTGTGTGTTCTATTTGATTGTTGATCCGTTTCACAGGTCTGGAGTCAGCTCTAATCAGTCTAAGGGATGTCTGACGTTTATGCTCAAGATATTGTTCAGATTTATTTATTTAAATCTCTGACTCCGGCTTTTCTTCATCTACCAGACTGGTCATTCTTTGGGTCAAACTGTAAACTATCCCTACACTTTGCTACCTGGGAACTCTTTCTTGGATACTTAGACCTGAAACGTGCTCTATCCAAATCCAGCACCCTTCATGAAAACTGACTGGCACACTACCTTATAGGACTTTTAGATGTCTACATATTGTGTAACATTACATTTTGTATCCCCAACGGCTGAACCCACATGTACGGCAATTCATATATTTAATTGCAAAGTGTGTATATTCTGAGACAATATTGTTTGCTTTTTTGTTGTTTTCTGTTGTACTTAAAAACCTTAAAATAAAAGTATAAAAAAAAAAACAAGGAACCGACAGAACCTGCTGAGATGTATTGAGCAGCATTCACTGCAAAACACGGCAGATTACAAACAGCTGCTCTTCAAAATAATGAGTTGCATCTTTCACAATCACAGTGAGCCTCATCGTCACAATTTAGGTTTTGCTTAATCATTCAGCCCTATATGTTGTATTTACACTTCGTAGTAAAAAAGTGAAGCTTTTTATTTCTCAAATAGAATATTTACAGAAGATTTGATAGCAACAGATTTTCACAGTAAAATCCCAGACATCCCCAAAGCCGTACTTCAGTGTGCGCATGTGTGTGATCAGCTAAACTGGTGAATGCAGCAGCACTTACGCTCCCTGAAGTTGCCTTGGCATCGCTGCCCCCAGGAATCGACTCGGCGCTGCTTCGTCTTTCATCCTCCTGCCTGGGGGGTTGCTAATAGCAACAGAGAGGGTGAAGTTCTCTAACATGGTGCCATCCATCTTCAACACCGCCTGAGAGGCCTGTGCTTCATCTTCAAACTCCACATACGCCAAACCCTACAAACAAAACCCACAAGCTTTGTTCATGTTTCACAACAAGCAGCTTCAACAATCAACAATCAGTGAGTCAGTCTGTTTCTCTTTATACAGAGGTTTACATAATCTTGGATCCAGATATTTAAACAGCAACATTTTAAATTAATCTGAACTAAATCACTTTCAATTTCACTTGAACTGCAACAGCATTCGATCATTACTCTCCTCCCTGCCTGAAATGCTGGAATGTTCCATAATCTGAAATACTTTTATGTCTTTTTTTTCCATCATTGATAATCTCCTTACATTATAAAGGTGCTATAGAAATAAAAATCTCACATCTTTCAATAAGCATTTTAACCACAGAGAAAGACATCAATGAAACAGTTTGTAAACAATGTTATAAATACCCCATCAAATTAATATCATCTCCTGGTGTAAGACAAGCATTTCAAATTTCCTGTACTGTAAGTGATCCTTGGTGACTATACTATGGCTAATCTATGCCAGCTAACTATTTGTTGGGATGTAATTGGGCCTAGGCAAATATTACAGATCCATGTTGTCCACTGAACATTTCCTCCCCAGAGATTATAAACCAGATGAGGGACAAATTAAACTACTTTTGGAACTGCTGTTCCTTTCCTATTTTTACAGCCTAATAAGGTAGGCACTGAACTGAACGCAATTTCTTTGTTAGATTTGAGTTGTAGCTCTTGTGTCTTTGGTAATGTAGCTTTTGTGTTTCACACATTATTAGTTTTGCAATCTCTGGAGATTTAATTTGAAACATCCAAAAGTTTCAAGTCAGTGAACTCAAATAGAGCATCTCTTCTCTTCCATCAATATCAGATATTTTTCTTTCAAAGTTTAAATTTTGTGTGGCTCCATCCCTTGTGTTCCCACACTCTTTAATCATCACCTGGGCGTCTGCTATGTCAACAGTGCTCAGCAAAAATGAGAACACCCCTCACAGACTTGTGCACTTTAGGCACTTGGGTTTAGGTACGACAGAGTAGGGTACGTTTAGCTAGCATGAACGCGGTCTTCTGAACTCAGGTGCGCACATGTCAACCGTACCCGAGTCCACCTGAAAGAGATGGTCTGGGGTATGGTTCAGTTCACTTCTAATATAAATGCAATTGTAACAAAAAACAGAAATGAACCACCAACTGTACAACAAACTATCATTTTCATAATGTTCATTCGTGTGCGTATGTCTGTGTATCACCTGCCTTGGTGACAAGCAGAACTGACCCAGTACAAACATAGTCATAACGTCTGCTCATCTACAATAAAAACGATTTCTGCAGATATCGCATGATTTTCTGAACGTTTTGGATACGGTTCAGGCAATTAAACCAAGTGTGTGTGAAAGCACCCTAACTCACTGAAGCACTATTTCTTTACAATGGATGGATGAATAGACATTTTATCATAATCAAATACATAAATCATAAATTTGCAAACATTACACCTCTGGATTAACAAGTATACTGGTGTCATTATATTAGTGACAGAAACCTACACACCTTGGATTTGCCAGAGCGGTTGGTGACTATCCGGATGGCTCTGATTGTGCCGTGTTCTTTACAGAGATCCTCCAGTGTCTCTTTAGTGGCGGAGTATGGCAGGCCCGAGATGAAGATCTTGTGCTTTTCCATTGAAGTTTTGTACTTAAAAACCTGCCAGACAGACACACGGTTATATAAAATGATCAGCAAGGACTGAATGTTACCCATTACATGTTATAGAAATTATTTGAATTGCACTCCTCATTATGCAAGTCAACACCATAGACCAACTAAAGGTAACCCTAAGGACTATAACCCTTTTCAAGTTAAACCGCAGTTTGGAAATAGTACGATTTTAAAACCGCCAACATTTAATGTTATACCGTTGTAGCAGAAAAGATCTCCAAAGATGCCGTTTTAAATTGAAGGAATCTGTGTTTTTAAAACTAATGAAGACAGCAGAAGACAGTGAAAACCAGGTGGCTCAATTTTACGCACTGGCGGAGCTCGGCGACCGAAAAGTCCTGCTTTCCTTTTTGTGTTCAAAAGGGAAAAAGCTTTAGTTTTTTTTACCCAGACATTTAAAAAGTATATATATTTAGAGCAGCAGTGATAATACTGTAAAACCGTGATATTTTTATACAAGGTTATCATACCGTCAGAATCTTATACCAGCCCATGCTTAATATACACTATGATTAAAGCAAATAAAAAAGTGCTCATGACTTTAGTTCACAGTTAAAAGAAAGACACATGAATATTTTAACAGTGCAATTATCACTTACATATTATAAATATATTAAGTTAATAATACTTACAATATATTAGCCTAGGGGATCTCTCAAGTAATTTATTAGTACGACCCTTATATATTGCAGGGTGTCTGCAGGACTCACCAATTCAAATTTAAGACTAAGACCATTATGAATAGATTTTTAGACTTTAACAGAACTAAACACTAACAGAGAGGGGGAAAACTAATTTGATTCTTTCTTGGCCGCATATGAATGAATGTAACTACTTAAGTTTTATTGAGATGAATTGTTGGTGATTTAGATGATGCACTGTTCAATAAGCGTTCTCGCTCAGCAGTGGAGATTTCCTACTGTTATATCTCTTAAGTTGTTTAACATGCGGTGACACGCAGTCAAATATTTAGTCGAATAGATCAGCAACTTTTGACGCTTCTAAACAATCATAAAGCCCTCGTGCTGAAGGAATTATGAGGTTTGCTGAAGGTGCAGCTGTCGTGCAGTGAGGGGTTTGCTTCTTTAATAACCTGCGACAGTTTGTGTTCATTGAACAGTAAGAATGAATAATCAATCCATATGTAACAGTCCCTTAAAAGTCATGTCTCGCTTTCAGTTTCGGCCTCAGGCCCGTTTTACACTCACACACAAGCGTACCGCAGCAAAGCCCAAGTGAACAATGCCTGAGCCCGATTCAGAACACTCACACTTCTCAAGCGATCCAGGAAACGGGCCTGGGCATGGATCGGATAGCATAGTGCGAGTACGCCCTTAGTTTGATGTTTTTAAGTGCCTATTATTATTACTGAGCATAGTACTTGGCGAATTGAATATTTCTGATTCTCCAACCAATAAGCTTGCCATTTAACTATAATAGCTTGTTTTCGTGCATCTTAATTGCAGCTGTGACTTACTTTCCCATAAAATACTCTAGTATACTTTCTCACCTTGAAGTCAGGATTCTTATTCTTGTCCACACAAGGAGACACATACATGGGCCGCCCGTCCACTTCCTGCCTGTCCATTTTCAGTGCTTCAGGTACAGCCAGTCGGTCTTCAAACTGCACGTAGCAATAGCCTCTAAATGTACCTTTTGCTGTAAACACAGGTCGCACCTGCTGTATGGTCCCACAACCCTGAAACAATGTTCGCAGCTTGCCTTCAGGGTCCTCCATATTAAAGGTCAAGTTACTAACAAACACACAGTTTTCATCTTTGCGCTGCTCCTTTGGCATGTCGTGGGGTTGTCGCTGTGGTTCAGGCGCTCCCTGCTGGTTCTTTCGAAAACCAGGTGGCTCAGTTTTACGCGCTGGTGGAGCTCGGCGGCCGAAAAGTCCACTTTCTGTCTCCATGAGCTCCTCCGTGACCGTGCTGTCAAAGTCGTCCTCTCCTCTGAGCCTCTTGGACGGCAGCTCTGCACACATTTTGATATGTTAGTACAGGTGAAATGTACTTTTGATTAAAAAAGGACTTCCGTTTCTTGGATGTGTTTTTTTTTTTTACAAAATAATTATGTGATATACAATGGAAAAGTCTGCTGCGTTGTTCATACTTGGATCTTAAGGTATAAAACTTCTGTCCTTTCTTTCAAAGTATATTCAGCCAAAACTCACAATCATTAAGGGACCAAAAAGAAATTCACATGGGAAATACAACCATAAATAAGAATTTCCTCATTTACTAAAACAAAAGTGGTTTCATAGATTTTTATGATATTTCTTTCTAGAGGTAACTGTGCTGTGCAGTTTAGGCACACAACATTTGACATCAGGCTGCTCAGTAAGAGCCATTCAATTCTAGAATCCTCTTTCATTTGAATTAAGAGGTATTGCAAACTACAACATTTAAAAATGGGCTAAAGAAATAGGAAAAGTGAATCAAGTGTGTAATCGTGCAATTTTTTGGGTTCTTTTTTTACAATAATGTAATTCATTTCTAATAGTTTTTTGTATGTAACTTTAATAACATTTGATGTGTATTAAGCTATTTTTGATTTTAGGTTTATTATATAAATAAGTCCTTTGGTTAATTCTGGCTTATTTACAGTTCTTACTGTTGATCAATGAGTACTGTCATTATAAAATACATGACTTATTATTATTATTATTTTAAATAGTTTGAAAGTCAGTGGCTGTTTTTTTCAGCTATCTTCAGCATATCTTCTTTTGTGTTCAACAGATGAAAGAAACTCAAACAGGTTAGGAATAAGTACATGATGAGTTAATGATGGCATAATTTTGATTGATTCTGTCTCTCCCTTTAAGTAATATAAAATATTTCAATACATTAGTAGTCATTTGAAACATGTTTTTTCTTTTGATACATGCAATATTGCATATTTACTCCATTAGATTAAAAAAAAAACTAAACTGTGCTCTTAAAATAACTAAAAATTTAGAGACCTAACAACTCAAAATATTTTGTCCCCACAATAGCAATGATGTGCATATTACCTCAATATAATACAGTTGAAATCAGAATTATTAACCCCCCTTTAACTTTTTTTTTTCTTTTTTAACCATTTCACAAATTATGTTTGTTTTTAATGCAGTTTTTAAAAGCATTTTAAGTTCAATATTATTAGCCCCTTTAAGCTATATTGTTTTCCGACAGTCTACAGAACAAACCATTATTATACAATAACTTGCCTAATTACCCTAACCTGCCTGGTTAACCTAATTAACCTAGTTAAGCCTTTAAATGTAACTTTAAGCTGTATAGAAGTGTCTTGAAAAATATCTAGTCAAATATTATTTACTGTCATCATGGCAAAGATAAACAAAATCAGTCTTTAGAAATGAGTTATTAAAACTTTTGTTTAGAAATGTGTTGAAAAAAATCCTCTCTCTCTGTTAAACAGAAATTGGGAGGAAAAATAAACAGGGAGGCTAATAATTCTGACTTCAACTGTATATAAATTTAAATACACTGCCTACTTTTAAGTGAACAAATTGAGTGTCCATACTTCAAAAGACACTCAGCACAAGTGTAACACTGACATATCCGTCAAATGTGTTTACATTGAGAAACAATAGAAAATCAGCACATTGGAAAGGAAAACGAGTTCTGTATGAACTGCCCCTTATTCTTATGCTTCTGAAATGACATGAAGATGTTAAACTCTCACTAAAAGCTCTTGATTTATACCTGCTTCTTCTCCCCATTCCTCCTCATCGTCATCTTCAGCTTTCCGTTTATCCCCTGTTCTGTTTGCTTTCTGGCCTTTCTTCTGGGCTTTTTTATCTGCCTTCACTTTTCTCCTTTGCTCTGCCTTCTCCTCCTCTTGTCTGGCGTGAAGAGCCTCTTTTTCTGCCACCTGCAAAAAAACAGCATCCAGTCACCCGTAAAACCATAGCTAAATAGCATTAAAGTAAGCTTTCTGCAAGACGTATTTTAAACGTAAAAAGAATATCTGATGCTTGATGCCACAATAGGAAACTGAAGTACTTCTGTTATTTTCAATAAAAAAAATATACAAGTCAATTTGGGACTTACTCGTGCTCTCTGCTCACAGACTCTATTAAGTTTGGTCTCTGTTTTTTGGACTGCAGCATCCCAGTCTTCCAGAGAGCCTGTGTCAAACAACACCAACATCAACACCCAAAGCTGGACACAAACAACAATCTATATATTAAGCTTTCAATAAGCTGACCTTCCACTCTTTCAAAGTTGAGCAGGACATCACACACGTGCTCAGGGTAGTCTGATGTACACTGTACTGCTCTGTGAAGAGCCTTCCTGCAGTGAGCAGCATCTCCATAAGACCTGACCCACAAACAAAACACAGAGTCAGAATGGCAGCCTTTCACCAGTCGGTTCAAGATCACATGACATTAAAATAACCTCAGCTCTCACTTACTGTGGAAAAAACAAATGCTCGGATTTAGCAAGTTATTACCTTTTAATTAAATATAAAAAATTGAATATTTTTTCTTTTTCTGCTGATATAACCAAGGTGCGCAGTCAGGGAAAAATTTATATTAACCAATATTATTGCACAGAACCCCCTTCTGATCCAATCAAATCATAAAGCAAGAACATTATCCCCACAATACTTATTAAACATTCTGTTGCACCAGGAAATATATGAAACCTTTGAAGCCAATAGTCAATAGAAAACACTGTTTCATGCTATCTTTATTGTCAAAAGAAAACATGAGAAATCTTTAGGTATTTTTGCTGTACTGAAGTGGCTCTCACACTTTTTACTTACAAAAACAATGTTCTGTACCAAAAAACAGACAAATTAAGAGAACTGATGAGGTTTAATTATTGATTTCTATTTGAAACTTTACATGAAAATTACGTTGTTTTTAATATCTCGACAATACAAAATATCAAACTTTTAGGTCATCATAACTCCCTTGTAAATTTGCTGTTAAAAAATACTGTTGTAACAAATTTAGTTATACAGTGGAATCCACAATTCTGAGACCATTCATGAAAACGATCCAATGTACAGTTGAAGCCAGAATTATTAGCCCCCCTGAATTATTAGCACTCGTTTATTTTTTCTCAAATTTTTGTTTAATGGAGGGAAGATTTTTTCAACACATTTTTAAGCATAATAGTTTTAAAAACATATTTCTAATAACTGATTTATTTTATATTTGCCAAGATGACAGTAAATATTTTACTTGATATTTTTCAAGACACTTCTATACAGCTTAAAGTCACATTTAAAGGCTTAACTAGGTTGATAAGGTGAACTAGGCAGGTTAAGGTAATTAAGCAAGTTTTTCTATAACGATGGTTTGTTCTGTAGACTATCGAAAAAAAATTAGCTTAAAGGGGCTAATAATTTTGTCCCAAAAATGATTTTTTAAAAATTAAAAACTCCTTTTATTCTAACCGAAATAAAACAAATAAGACTTTCTCCAGAAGAAAAAACATTATCAGACATACTGTGAAAATTTCCTTGCTCTGTTAAACATAATTTGGGAAATATTTAAAAATAATTCAAAGGGGGGCTAATAATAACTACTAATACTAATAACTTCAACTGTAATTCAATACCAACTGGCTTTTTTTTTTTTTTTTTTGCTCTTTCTCTTAAATTATCATTTGAAAATATTCTATTATTTGTATTTCATCTCTTCTTTTTAATCTCAGCAGCACGCAGGACAGAACTAATCCAAATCCAACACTGTGCGCTTCTCTATACTGTTGACCCCCATAAATCCATAAAATTGTGTATTGATAACAGAATATTTAAGATAATAAAATTTCTGCAAACTAAATATTCAGATTTTAGAAAAATACTATGAACTCATGATTTTGTCTAGATTAACTTTTGCTGAATAATCCAGCAACCTTTTTTATAAAATGCAATTGTCATAGACTGTCAGATCAGATGTTATTAAATAAGCTCTTTATAATGAAAAAGCGGTTTAATTTTTTTAATGCAGTGCTTACCTCACATAGACTTTACTTGGGCGGGCTGCCCAGGTATATTAACGGCCACCCAAGTATATTTTGTGGTGACAAATAAACAATAGCTGCGTCCCAAATGGTACACTATACACTATGCACTCATGCACTATGTACTTATGCACTTACACACTCAACAGGATAGTATATGTATGTAGTGGCGTCCCAAATGGAGCACTAATGTTTTTTTACTAAGCGGAAATTCAAACCGTTTCCCTGATGACGTTTCACGGTTGCCAAATCAGTGAAATAAACGACCGAATTATCAAATATTACCTGCCGTGAGTGTTGCCGCATTCACCATCGGGAGGCACTATAATCACTCTCGTAGAAGAATTTAGTTCTCACCGTCCAAAATAAATAAAGTTATTCAACATGTGCGTGCGATAGCTCCGCCTCTTCCGCTACGTAAGCAAACCTGCGGTCGTTGAGTGCGTGAAGTGTCCATCATTACACACTTCATTTTAGCGGCTGAATGAGTGCATCATCCGGGAAATTAAAGTGCACTTATTATTTTTATAGTTTTCAGTGTGAACACACTACTTGCACTATTTATACTACAAAATGGCGTAGAATAGTGCATAAGTATGCGATTTGGGACGCAGCTAATAGTATTATCATCATTCTTTTACACTTTTTTTGCATCCAAGAAAGCCACAAACATTCCCGATCATCATTCATCGATTTACTAGTGGAAAATCTCTCATCTGACCGTAGTTTGAATCTTTTAAAATGTCCAGGATTCGGGTTTTACTTTTGCTTTCTAAAGTTGTTGTTATTTGAATGCGTTTTGCATAATCTTTTCACTGCTGACTGCACACGAACAGTTGCGAGAGGAACATTAAATAATTTATCATTAATAAACGACTCTGATGGACTTAACTATATACTCGGACAGAACAAAATATACTAATTGTAAAATATTTGTACATCATTAGAAATGGCTCATCAACTAGTTTGCCTAATTAAAATAATCTACACTAGTTATTCTAGTACTTAATTCCATTTAAAGCAATAATGTCTATTTTTATTCCTTTTTCTTTTATTTATTGCTGTATATTTTCTTAATTTAATGATGTTAATAAATTACATACTTTTTTACATAGGGCCATCTAAAATCCTTTGGCAATACTGTAAACGTCATGCCAATAAAGGAACTTTAGAGATATATATATATATATATATATATATATAATGTTTTTTTTTGTATATTTATTGTATATATACAAATAAATACATAGAAAAAATGACATTATTTTTGTTTGTTGCATGTAGTTCACCAGTTATGTGCTGTGCTTAAAAGGTGTGTTTCAATCCAGCTACCTCTGCAAGTATATTTCAAACCTACGGGAAGAACTGAAATAGGGTTGTGCCGATAGACGATGCCATCGTCCATCGCCGATGGCCGACAAACTTCACAATGCTCAGCCGGCATCGCGATCCATCGCCCCCCTCCACATTTATATTGATATATAACTTATTATTTTCATGTCATCTTAATAGCAATAACAGTCTTTCAAGAGCTGTGTTAAATGTTGCATATAGCTGCTGCTTGCACAGCTGACAGCATCGTGGGGATTAAATGAAGGATTATACAGCACCTCTCGTGCTTAAAATGTGTAGATTCAGTGGTATTTTTTTTAACTGGTATCAAACATCCATCAGTCTGCGTGACTGACCTTTCCAGGTTGTAATATTCCAGCCACATGTTGGCGTACTTCGCATTCCCCTTTGTCATGATGCTATCCCACAGCTCTCGAGCCTTCTGCATGTTCTTGCAGTGTAAGGCCTGTTTGGAGCAAACACACACACAAGCAGCTCTGTAATAACTGTGGACAGACTGTAATCAGCAGAATGACATTAGTTAATGGAGGACGGACAGATGCCTCAGTATAACATTTCCTCACCTCTATCCTCGCCCAGATCTGCATTAGCGTGCAGGACAGATCTCCACTTTCACTGAACCCTGAGAAGAAGCGAGACCGTAATTAAAATATGCCTAAGACAGCTGTGCTTAACACCTCTTCAAAACAGACAAGACACTTACTCTCTTCTACGTCCTGTTTCAGGTATTCAAGGGAGCGCGAGAAAGCTGCCCGCAGCTCGTCCAACTCCCTGCTCCACTCTGCAATGAACATCAATAATCAACTACTTAATTTACTCAGATCTAATCATCAGTTGAGCAAAGCTTGTAACAGAACAGAAAAGCACATGCTCTTGCCTTTACTGAAGTCAACACGTCTCCTCAGGTAATCTAGATAAGATTGCCAGATTTCTACATAGTCAGTTGCCTGGATGAATCCTGCATTCAGAGCCTTTTCAAACACGTCTGAGAAGAAGAAATTATAATGTATGTTATTGTCAATGACTGCACGTTTAATTTTATTCTAGTTTTCTATGTCAGTGGGAGCCTTTTTCTAATCACAGCATTTACTGAGACTGAAATGACAGAAATGAGTACCTTTCACTGTCTGATGGTCAGCCCCATGCCTCTCAAGAGCCAAAAGATAGCTCTTCCATAGACCCATGGTCCAAGGACAGTTCCGGACAGCTCGCTCATGAGCAGATAAGACTAGATCTTTAATTTTCAATTGACGATCCTACAGTAGAACAGAAAGAAAAACAATTAAATATTTTTATTGTTTATCCTTTTCTTGTTTGTTGTCATTGCGTAAAGTATTGAGTTGGCGAGCTATCAATCCAAAATACAAGAGTGGATGAAACACAAATATAATTTGGGGAGCAGTGAAATTGCAGTGCTGCATGTAATCAATGTACAGCCAAACTCTTTTTAATGACACCAACTAACGTTTTCAACTGGACATCCAAAAGAGAAAGGTCAAAATCCGTCCACTTTGACAGCATATTCAAAAGGTCAAAACATCATAAAATGTTCATTGTGTCTCAGAAAAATGCAGAGAAAATGTGCTACACTTGTTCTGGAAATGTCAGCCGATGTTTCTAACTTAAGAGCTTGTGGACATTTTTTGGGGATTAACAGGGAAGGGAAATCATTTTCTTGATTAAGCTGAACAGCTGTTTGGAGAGATGGTGGCAATTCTACTAGAAGGTCTGCTCACATGAAATGCAAAAAATGCAGATGGTGTATTTGCAGCAAGACTGAGCTAAATGCACATAGGCATAAACGACTAGTAAATTCACATGATGACTAGGCCAATGATTAAAATCACAAAATCAATAGGAAGATTAATATCTTTTGACACACCTAGATTAACAAAAGAACTGTACAGATGGTAAAAGTGTCTATTAAAAAGAGAAAGGATAAGAATACAAAAAGACATGATCAATGTCACAGAAGATTTATGCAGTGTCTGTTGAGTTTGTTGTTGTTTTTTTCCATTATTACTATTGTTATTACCTTTATTACTATTAATATCACTATTGTCGTCAAAGAATAATCCTTTTGTCATTACCAACTTTAGTATTATTAATATTATTGATATAATACTTCGTATTACGACAGAAACTCTATAGGTTAATGTTAGTTAATGCATTTACTAACATGAACAATCAATGAACATTACAGTATTTGTTCATGATAGATAACATTAGTTAATGAAAATAAGATTATTCATTGTTAGTTCATGTTAACAAGCATCAAATTGGATGCTAAAAATACATAAATTTTGAACTATTATTAATAAATGCTGTACAGGTATTGTTCATAATTAGTTAATGTTAGTAAATACATTAACCAATAGCTATGTTTCCATCCACCTATTTTTATGCACATTTTAGAAATTTTGAAAATGAGCATAAAAAAACACATGCTCATAACTGAGTAGTATAAACTTTCTATTCGTTAAGAAAAGATGTGCATAAACTACAATGAAAACACTTTTACCAAACAAATTCCAGTATACGCATTAAATAAAAAGGGATTTTGTTTTAGGAGATCATGTGATGATCAAAATCTGTGTGAATAGACATGGTGGCAGGCTGAGTGCATTGTAAAACTTCTGAAATGTTGTTTTTGTCACTCTAAAATGCCTTAACCATTTTAGTATTAGTGCTATTATATTAAAAATGACCTCCAGGATCAAGAGCGTCTGTGCTCCGCGTCTCACGACTTCAAACACCACTACACATTCATTACGTCTTCAAGCGCAAGCCATTTATTAAACAAGAAAAAGATTAACGCAGCTTCTCCTATCGCAGCAAATTTAGTTTTAACTGTTGATAATTGGTGCCATCAGGAAGTGACGATTTTGTTTGCTTAAACTTGTTGGATGGAAACGCTGCTTTTTTCGCACATATTTCATGTGATATTCCAGTTTGCACATAAAGTTAATTCGCATTTTTGGATGGAACCATAGCTAAAGACATCTTGTAAATTGTGACTTTCGACTACGAATGGTAAATACAATTAAAATACTAACAAATATTATTATATAATAATGTTGTTATCCAGAGTGCATTGTTATTTAAAGTCTTGAAGGAAGAGGTTTTGATATGCCATCTTATTGCATTGTTACTCAAAAAGCACATAAAACATTTTGCCACACCAAAAGCCAGTGAACATGCTTTAGGAAGAACAGGTGTGTGATGAGTAGCCCTTAATGACCATAATCCCTCCATCCAATTCAGCATAGCCGTTCTCCTGCCAACTCGTTTACAAGCGCCTCTGCTGCTCAAAGATTACATGTAACATTGAGCTAAAGGAGACAATCAGCAGGGATTCGCTATTATACTGTAGAAGAGGTTTAATCTAAATCTGTCTGTGGGAAACTGCCCTACATTAATACTCATTCAGTAAAGCGCAATGATGCCTCTACAAACAGGACAGATGCAGAAAACCCCAGCTTGTGCATCCTACGCCAACTCAACATCTGCTTGCAGCTCTTCAGAACAGTTTTGTTTCATCAAAATCAAATCATGAATGCATCGTGGGGGGGTTTAAGTCCATGTTTGTTAATATGAGAACATATAAAACAGGCCAAATGCTTAGAATGGATGTTAGTTACACAAAAATAAAGATTTAATCCCACTATGGAAACTGATCCAGCAATCGTTCCTAAAGTGGTGCAGGCCATCGGGTAGTGTAGCAGGATTTAGACACAATACTGCACTTTGTAAAAGAAAGTAATAACCCCTTATATCCATTAGGCAAAGCAGCTCTGTGACTCACAGTGTGGGGTGTATATAATTTAGTTAAATAGCATCTCAATTTAATCACCTAAGAGAGTATAAGCATGAAGGCTTGATTTAATTACTTCACACATCCATAGCTGCCAGGAATTCAAGCGGCTGAATGGGCTCCACAAACCCACTCCAGCCCTAAACCCTTAATGCAGAAGTTCATTAAGCTCAGTCGTTGAATCAGAAAGCCCCAAATGCATCGCAGTTTTGGCTGCTAATATGAGGAGGTGTCACTCTCATTTTTCTCTCCCTACGTGCCTCCCACCATCTCTCTTTCAGTCTCGTTAACTCTGTTTTTTTCCCTCCCTCCATCTGGTGAGGTGCTGCTCTCTAATGTGTTCTCAGCTGCAGATACGCCGCTGTGCGCTTGTGCATCTCATTACCATCCCATTAAAGCAATTAATGCGTTCCTAAGTAAACAGAGGGAAGCGCGGGGCTGGCACACGTGTGGATCATTCATTTTGTGAGCTGTGTGCGGAACAGCTTTAGTGAAAGCGAATGTATATTTATAGGATGGTTGCTCACCAGATACGTGGTGTATTTGATCCAGAGATCTGGCACGAGGCAGTTCTCGGCCAGCGCTCGCTCAAATATGATCTGGACACGGGCTGGATCTCCTTCCTTTATCTCGAAATCTATGTAGGATTGATACTCGGCCAGCTTTGGAGGTTCAGAGACCAGCTAAAACATTAAAAAAAAAGAAGTGTTAGGAAGAACAAACAAGAAAAAAAAAACATCTTAGGAATATAAAGGGGTAGTTCACACAAAATTGAAAATGAATTAATTTAGTCTCTGTCATGGGCTGTGGGATTAACTAAAATCGTGATTTGAACATGCATGATTTCTGAATCACCTTACATCACATTGTTTCCACAGTACGCTATTTGAACCAATCATTACACAGTGTGCCTAAACAGTGCACGAGACCAGGAGACTACTCAGTACTCGCTAATCTGGCCGATCTTATGAACAGATCACAATTGTTTTTTTACGATTTTACAAACAGAGTACTTGTAAGAACTGATCTTTTTGCATATCATATATAATATATAATATCATATAATTGAAAGTTCTGTTTTCAACGATATTGCAAGGTCATCAAAACCTGGCTGGAAAAATTATGGAATTGGAAAAAAATATATATATATTTTTTTTTTTTTTTACTTGAATATTTTATAATATAGCTTATTGTAATAAACAAAAGTTTATGGACCTATTTCCTTTTAGCAAAGAAGTAATGGATTTAGAGGTGTGCATTTAAACTACTTGAGCATCCAATATGCACTCCAGGAAGTGGAGGAATGGAGACATGTTGAATTCTTCCATCATTTGCAATGTTTCCAAATTGCTTTGTTTGTCATTTTTCTTACCAATTTTTGTATACGTTTTCTCAATTATTTTCTGTAAGACTGCTTCTGACCATGACATGTCCACACTAAATGGTTTTAAGACACGATTAAGAAATTATAGGCAACATCTTTAATTAATTCTCTTAGTTAAGGAGAGATCTCCATTTAAGTATCATACTTAGAGGTAAAATGCGGTTTATGCATTAAAAAGCTTGAAACATCAGAATCGGTACTTGGTATTAGCCAATCACCATGACAAGGAATTGGTACTCAGTATCAGCTGCAAAAATCTTAATCGAAGCATCCAAATATTCTATATAAAGTATTTAGCTGATCTCTCGGTTCTTGTTACGCGTTACTGCAAGTTTTAGTTCCAACCCTAATTAAAGAAACCTGAACCAGCCAATCAAGCTCTTTCTAGGTATACTAGAAACTTCCAGGCAGGTGTGTTGAAGCAAGTTGGAGCTAAACTATGCAGGACACCAGCCCTCCAGGACTGAGTTTGGACATCCCTGACTTACAGCATTCTGCAAGTAGAGAAGTCTGGGTGTGCATGGAATACGCGCGCACGTCACTCCCAATATGCAAGCCAGGCGCCATAATTGGAAATAACGAACTTGTGCGCGCAAAAGACGCGATATGTGAATGAATGATCTATGCATGGCAAAAAAAATATAATAAATCTGTGGACACGTAGAAAAGTACACGCAACCACTTCTGACGTGGTCAAACAGAACATCAGAGCCTACTTGTGTTTGATGGCACTCGCACACACACACATACACTCAGTCGTCTATTTATTTTGCCATAGTAGGTCTGTTCTAGAGACAATTTGTTACACATTTATAGGTGATGTTTAAGAGGCATGTTACAATAAAGAACTAAATGTTTTTCTTAGGAAATATGTTACAGATTTACACCATTAAACATCTCGGTGTGTCAAAATCGTGAATAACATCGAAATCGCAATTGAATAGTTTATAAATAGTTTAGAAAAATTGTGATGGGCTTCTTTTGCCCACATCGCACAGCCCTACTCTCATGTAACCTTTATGAGTTTCTTTATTCAGTTACAAACAAAAGATGTTTTGAAAAATGCTGGTTGTTGGGACTCTACTTCCATAGCAGCAAAAAAAACCTATGGAAAACTATATTTTTTGTTCAACAGAGGAAAGAAACTCATGAAGGTTTAGAACAAGTGAAGAGTGAGCAAATGACAGACTTTTGTTTTTTTAGGTGAAATATCCCCTTAGCTGAAAAAAGCCAGATAAAAATTACAACTGTGCTAATGAAAAGACTGCAAGAGCACTTAACTTATTATTGTAGAGCTTAATTATGATTAGAGAGTGGGTAATTTAATTGGCACATGGGCAATGCAGCTGAACATTAACAACAGCTCTAGATAGCTTCCAGAAAGTCAAACAATTTATGAAGCACAGTAATTTAGGTCACCATTAAACATCACCTATTTTTCTGGGAAAACGGCAAATTTCTATTCCTACTTCTCTAGTTATGCTGAAATATGTTCTCAGAATTCAATTTAGATTTGTCAACTTCTAACTTAACTGAATTATTTGTTGAAAATGAAAATCTGAACAGTATAAATAGCATCATAAATGTATAACTTTGCATATGACTTAATATATTTAATATATTGCTTAATATATAATAATAGAGCTTTATCACACAAACACTTACTGATTAGTATTAATTATTTATGAGGTCGATAAACTTGACTACAAACTTTAAATTTACCGGTTAACATCATCTACCCATTTAATTCTACTAATAAAAATACAACTTGATATTCAAAGAGGAAGATTAAGTGTTTAAGGACTTGATTTTGGTCCATCAGGAAGCAGTTAAATTGTAAAGTTTAAAGGCAACTGTGCAGAACAACCACCAGCACCAATTTGTTAAGCAGTCTTAGTGATGTCAGCCACAAAGGATGTGGATTCAGTGGATTCTTTAATGCTTAAACTACAAAAGAAAAGCATAACAAGAAAACACGCCTAGAATGAGTAATAAGAATGTAACTTATGACAAGATTAAATTAACTGAAATGTCAAGCTGACATCTAAACGAGTAAAAGAACAGCAGGTGTTTGTGGACAAAAAGCTTTCATTACCACAGATGTTTTATTCAAGGATATTCTCGTAACGACACTCGCGAGGACTGCTTTTGGCTGAGAATAAAATATTTTTAAATCATAACCACCGCATCTGCTCCCAGAGACAGTTTTACATTAAATAATAATGGAAATCTCAATTTAGAAATACCAGATGATCTCTATTGCAGTGAGACAAGAGTGCATTTACCAAGGCCTCCTCATACGGTTTGCCTTTCTCCATCTGTTGCAGGGCACGTCTGTACTGGTGTGTGACTGTCTCTGGTACGCCATCATCTGCCCAGTCTGAATACTCTGCGTATGTACCCTCCATATCTACAAAACACAAAATGAACAAGTGGAGATGAGCAATCGTTCAACCTTTTAAAACCTTCTCTGTTTATTAGTGTCATCACAAGGCGTCAATTTTCTGACCAAGAAGAAAGGCTACAGAAACATGAGCTGTGTGGTACGAAAGCCTAAACTGTGATCTGGCTCTGTTAGCTGAGTGGGATGTGATCAGAGTGTTCTCCTCCGCAACTCCGGTGCCAAAAACAGCCAGCAAAAAAAAACAAACCTGCTCACAAAACCAGACCATCTGGCTATCTGCAGGCTCCCCTGTCCCCAGCCTGTGTTACAGCGTCTGGCAGTGCTCAGGTCTACCTGACAGCACCTATTCTGATTGGCTTTCAGATACGTATAAAGAAACTACAGGCAACAATCAATATTTTTTTTGTGCAAGTCCAGTCTTAATCAATCCCATCTGAGCAGAATTCAGTGCGGTCTAGACATTTTGTTCTCAGTTTATTTTATTTCTGCCAAATTGCGCAATCCTTTATTCATAGTCTGAATTCTTTCGGCATCCGTTCTCCTGGACATTTCAGTCTGTAGACACAAGTTTTTCCAATTATTCTTTTCCAAAACTGGAAAGAGGATAAGAGAAGGAGAAAGAGTGGGAAATTGGAGGATTGAAGAAACAAAGTGGCTCTCACCCATTAGAGGTACAGCTAGCTGCCGTCTGAAGAGTGTGTGTATGCGCTCGAGCTGTGCGCTCAACAGTTCCTGCTGCTCTTGTGATGGAACAGTGCCAGGAGGAGGCTGAGAAAGACAGAGGACGTTAAAAAAACCAAAAAAACACTGCAGACTGCTATTCATGTCAAGATTTTCACTTTGGTTAACTTTGACAGCCAATTAACACCATAAATCTGATTAGACTGTTTGTTTTAATGCCATATCAGCAGCTTTGCCTATATTCACAGCAACACTGGTAATAAACATTCAATACAAATTAGGGCTGCACAATATGTTGTTTCAGCATAAATATTGCAATGTATTCATTCCCATTAGTCATTGCAAGATGTGTGTAAGAAATCAGACCATTTGTGATGTTAATAACAATCCTATTGAATTATTTGTACAGCAGACATTATGCACTATTGTTTTACATGTGATTATTTAATTACTCTACCTGAATACAGTTTGACTCCTCAGAAAACCATAAAACCACTGTATATTTATCTGTTCTTGCAGACTATCGCATTTTATGCAGATGCACTGCATTACAGAATCATCGTAATCAATCAAATATTATTAATTCGTTCAAAATAGAGGTATTCAAGTCATGAGGTTCTTATCACAATAAATTGCAGAATAACGAAATATCACAATGATAAATTTTTGTTAGAATATCATGCAGCCCTAATACAATTTTTTTTTTTTAGTAAACAAACATTATGCAAAAAAAACACAGATAACAAACTGATAAGATCTTTTATTTTACTCACTGATAAATGTTCTAAAATTGTTCAATAAGAGTAGTAAATACCTGGACTGTGGAGAGAATCACAATCTCAAACTCTCTGTAGGCCTCCCAGATTGAAGCTCCTTTAGTCATGTGTAAACCCACAGCAGTCAGAGCCCTCTCAAAGATGGACCGAACCCGTTCAATGCCCCCCTGTGCTCCCATTCCACCAATGGAGTACTGTACATACTCCAGCCAGATCTCTGGACCTGTGGATGGGTGTACATTGCCATTTATTGTTGTGTTTTTTTTTTTGTTTTTTTTTAATAACCCAGCAAAGTTTATTTTAGGACAACACATTATGTCTATCAGATTTTTCATGCAAAATCTAACTTAATATGTCACACTTACAGACATAGTCCTTGATAGCCCTCTCGAACAGCTCGTAGACTTTCTCACGATCTGATTCATCTTCTGTTATGCGGATTTCATCCTTCAGCCAGTCCAGCCAAATCTCTGTTTCAACAAACAAATCAGTGAAACATCAAGTATAATACCCACACATCATCACATCTTAAAATATCAACACTGTTATAGATAATAAACAAATACACCAGTTGCAAGGCTTCAAAAGGATCAAGGATTGCACTGAACCACTTGAACAGCTTTGTAGAGTTTAGCTCCAGCCCTGCTTTATCACACTTATCTGTAGGTTTCAAAACGACTGAAGGACTCAATTAGTTTGATCAGTTGTGTTTATTTCGGGTTGGAACTAAACTGTGGAGAGCTGCGGCCCTCCAGGAACTGAGCATGACACCTATGACTAAAGCCGCAGTCACACTGCACTTTTCGCAGCAAAGACTTCCATTCATACGCATGTGAATGTGACGGACCAGAAATGCAAGGTCGTACAACAAGTTTAGCAGTTTGCTGCGTAGAAAAGTTTAAGCTTGGTGAACTCTGACCTGCAAAATCACATCACATGACTGCGTAAGACCAAATGAAGATCAAAACATGACCTCTCTGTACAGAAAATGAAAATATGGATCAATCGCTTGCTTTTTTAAATGTCTAATCATGTTGTTTATTCCTGCCCCTTTTCACAGTGCCGTACGACAGAAATTTGCATGCTCAAACTCTAGTGACTGCAGCACTAGACTGTCCGCTAGTCCACAAAATCAAATGAGATACAAAATAATTTTTCTGTTTATGGGTAAAAAGAAAAAAAAAGTGTAATAAGTCCCTTATGTATAAGTGCTGATCTACTAGTTATGCATTTCTATTTTAATAACATCATCTTTCATGGTCGAAATCTGCACCATTATTATTCTAAAACATTGTAAATTAGTTTGAGATTAGGTACTGAGGCTGAGAGGACACCAAGGTCTGTTCTTTTTTATGTGAGCGGTGAGTCCAGGGCTACACATTTTAAAGGGATAGTTCACCTAAAAATAAACATTCTGCCATGATTTACATGATTTTGTTTTGTGTTCAACAGAAGAAATTCATAAAACTTTATAACCACTTATGTATAAAGAAAATGATGAGACATTTTGGGGGGTGAACTATGCCTTTAAAGGATAAACATTTTCCTTATCATTTTTTTTAAAGATTCACATACACTTTTCTGACACTCTCAATTGTACATGTTACTGCTATTCTATTCTTAAACAACTATTATGACATCCAATAAAATAATACAATTTATCGCAATTCAAATAATTTTTTTTCCAGCAGGGTTGCTTAACCCTGTTCTTTAAGACCCATCTTTCCAGGAAAGTAATGTGTTCAAAACTCAAAAACGATAAAGAAAAATGCAGGTCACTTGTTCTTTCACTTTATATTATATGCAGCAATCTCTTTGTTGAAGAATCAGAGAAAAGTCTGGCTCCTGCACAAAGAGAACAAAGAACAGGAGGAAACAAAATATGGATATCCCACCTTCAGTGAGAGGAAAGAGTTCACTCATCTTCTGTCTGGCTTTGCGTAGTCTGTGAAGTTTTCCTTCTTGCCGCAGGAGTTTGATCAGGTCCACATGGCAGTTGTAATCAAATGCATTGATTGACAGCTATAGAAATGAAACACAGGGTGTTAATTTCAGCTTGATGAGAATCTCTTTCTAACAAAATTATTTCACAATATAGGACCCAGGACAACAAGACCCAGTCATGAGTGTTTTTTTTTTTTTGAGATTAAGATTTCTTATATCAACTGAAATCTGAATAAATAAACTTACCATTGATGTATTTGTTAGGATAAGACAATGTTTGGCTAAAATACAACTATTTGAAAATCTGTAATTTGAAAAATCTAATCTAAATACTGAGAAATAGTTTAAGTTCTCTGAATAAAGTGCTTAGAATGGCAAATTCCCAATTGTTGTGTTTTGATAAATTTACAGTAGGAAATTTACAGAAAAAAAGTCTTATTTAATACCTTAATGGTTTTTGTCATTAAAAAAATAAATCAATAATTTTGACCCAAACAATGTATTTAAATATACAATACTTGTGCAACATAAGACAAGTTTTGTGGTCCAGGGTCACATAAACGAACAAATTGTCCGTTAGAAGTTCACGTATGAAGTTTTATATAAAATTAATCTATTGAAATTCAGAATGAATAAAAACTGCTCAAAGAATATGCTAAATCTTGATGCACACAAGCAAAATATCATATAGGTGTAACACTTAGGTGAGTACAAAAGCTGTGAACAAAATCCTTGGTCTTCTAAACTCCAATACAAAAGCTGATTCTGTACTAGGGCTGCATGCTATTGGAAAAATCTAGTATTTCGATATTTTTTTATTTTACGATGTGTATACAATTTCACCAGATCACTTAATATATCTACTCGGAAAGGGTTAGGTCAATTTGGAGTGCATCTCTATAAAATCAAATAAACAATCTATAAATTTCCTCAACACAATTTCGTTGTGGTCTGTGCTATTTGCAGTGCATTTCTGTATTCGAATGTGTTGTATGTTCATGCACACGTTTAGTCGATGATTGATAAACTGATGTTTACCATTTGCATCTCCATAAAATCTATTAAACAATAAATTAATATTTTGGGGTCCACCGACACATTTTCGTTGTGGTCTGCTATTTGCAGTGCATTTCTGCATTTGCATGTGTTGTGAGTATTTTCATGCATAACAATCTATAAAGATAATAAAGAAAATGAAACAACAAAAATACTGTGTTTCATCATTTCCCCAAGTCTAACAGTAGTACTCTAGTACACTAGCTGAATGATAAAAATAATTTAGTAAAATGAATCACTGTTAAACTCACATGTGGTACAATGTCTTATGGATGCTTTTAAAATCATTATGCAATTCCAGGCATCAAAAACGCATGCAAATGATGAATTATAATACAAACTCAACATTGCATATCCTGCGATGTGTCTATTGCAAATGATCACATTGCGATATTGATGCTGAAATGATATATTGTGCAGCCCTATTCAATACAGCTTGATTCTTTCCAAATATTAAACAATCAATGCGTTTAGGTGGGTGAATTGCCGAAGATTCATCTTTCACAAAGCAGGCATTCACTGTAGTCTAGTATGCAGGAGTGGGAGACGCTGGAGCAGCGCCACTTCCCACGAAGAGCAATCTCTGAAGGCTTACAAACTGAATTGAATCAAATTGTAATTATCAATCAATTGAATTCTCATTATCGATCTACTATAGGCAGGAAACAGATACAGCTTTGATATCTCCTCTCTTGCGTTATGCAACTAAACAGAAAGTGTCTTAAGAGATCAGATACACAGTTGCACTAACAGCTGCTCAATGATTACATTTGTGCAGTATTTGTCAGTGATGCAACTGGACCAGTTTCATGCAGATTAGATCATGGTTTATAATGATCAGGAATGACTTTGGATCAGAACTATATCAAGGCCACAGAGACTGGAACTAGGAATACACAATATTTCATTTCAGCATCAATAAAGCAATGTGCACATCTACAATATCCACATCGCAGGATGTTCAGAGTTTGGGCTACAGCTGACCAGGAGCCAGAGCCACAAGAAATTGAGCCATTTGTAACTTTAATGACAATACATTTCTATAAATATTTATACAATAAATCAAACTAAATTGTGATTTTTAAATGAAGACTATGCAGTGTTATTTTACATTTTGATTCTTCAATTTCTGTACTTTAAAATGGTTGTTCTCCCAAGAGTTGCTCCATTGTATTTATCCATTTGTAGCTTGTTTATAACATTTGATAAATGATTCACTCCACTACAGAATCATCCATATCAATCTAGAATTTTAGATTTTTTTGCAAATAGAGTAATCTAAGCCCTTTGGCGAAACTGCATTCATATAAAAAATGACTGATATTTTCCCAGTGTCATGCAGCCCCACCAGAACCAAACCTGTGCATTCACCATGGGGAAAAACGTCTGGAAGAAATGTTATTTTAAAAATCAATTCTTGCTGAAAAGAGACTTTATTTTGTTATAAACTAATCCTTTAGGGCTCTCATAATCACATAAATTTATCGGTACAGTTCAGCAATCAGGAATCAGCATTCAATGTCCCAAAGAAACACAGGGGATCCTAGATCAAACACGTGGACATAACCATTAACGTTACTCATAGGTGCAAAAGTGCTCCTCTACTAAATATAAAAATGACTGACTGAAATCTGAACTAATCCACTAACTTATGTATCTAAAGGGTGTCTGGACAATACATACAGCTCCTTCCTCTATAGAAGCATTATGGCGCGTATTTGAACTCCGTTCACACAGCACGCGCCAACAAAACACTCCACTTTATTACTGTATATTTCACATAAAGTTTCAAATAATGACACTCACACTCATAAAACTGTCTTAACACTGCAAACAAATGAGTAAGAATTACAGGAAGTTCGGGGGAAATACAAATCAAGACAACTGTTCGCTATCTTGCTAAAGTTAATCCTTTGCTAGCCTCATTCCTCCAGAACACAGTAAAGCGTTTGTTTATTTTATAACTTCCGACCAAGTATCTGGTATGTCAAGCACGCAGGACTTCAATGATAAACGGACTCCGCTAAATGTGCGTGGAGAAACTCCCTGTGAGAGTCGTCCGTGCGGTGTTTTTGGGAGCTGCGTATGTGAGTAGGAGCGCCTTTAGCCTCATTCATTCCTCACCTGCTCCTCCAGCCGCTGGATCTCGGCTTCATTCTCCCGCTCGTCCTCGGACGTGTCCTCTTCATCCTCCTCCTCGGAATGCTCGACTCCCATGCCTTCCTCCTCGTCATCCTCGGACTCCATCTCTCGCTCCATGCCCTCAGCCTCCTCTTCGATATCTGGCAACAGCGTCTGCTCTTCGTTCCCCGTCGCCGCCATGTTGAGAACTTCTTCTTCTTCTTCTTCTTCTTTGGGTTTTACTGGCGGTTGGCAACCAGACTTATAGGTGCATTACCGCCACCGACTGGAATGGAGTATGGAACTAGTTGAATACTTTCTGAAGTGTATAAATTACATGAAGGGAGAGAAAGGGGGAGGAAATTGTGAGGGGAGGGGGAGAGAGGGAAGAAAAAAAAAAAAAAAAAAAAAAATTATAATACTAATAAAATGTAATAAAAATGGGGGATGGGGTGGACTAACAATTCTTCTGATATTATCTCTATATTCTTTCCTCTAACTGGGTTTCTTTAATAAATTTTATTATATCATTATATACCTCACTAGATTTGTTTCCTAATAAACCTGCCAATGTAAAATGCTGAAGATTGCTCTTTTTAACTGACTGAATAAGATCGTTTCGTTCTTTATTATAATTACTACAGTGAAATAAAATATGTTCTATTGTTTCTTGTTGATTACAATGTATACATTGCCCAGTTGGGTGTTTCCCTATTTTATGTAATGTATGATTGAGTCCAGTGTGACCTATTCTCATCCGAGTTATAATACTTCCTTCCCTACGATTTCTGTTCTCCTTCCTCCCAGTTCCAACTTGTTTCTGTATATTATATAAATGTCTACCTGTATCAATGTTATCCCAGTGTACTTGCCATATTGATTGTGCATATGTTCTTATCATGATTTTAGCTTCTGCTTTGCTCAATGGGACTTCTAGATTTACTTTACTAATTCTAAGAGCTTGTTTGGCCAGAAAGTCTGCCTTCTCATTACCTTCCACACCTACGTGAGCAGGAACCCAAATGAAATATACTGATTTGCCCTTCATTTTAATATAATATGTCTTACTGAGTATATTATTAAGAATATCCATTCTGTATGAAGACCTTCCAGATCTTATACTTTCCAGTGATGAAAAGCTATCTGATGCAATTACTACATTATATATGTCATTCTCCTCAATCCACTGCAGGGCAATTAGTATTGCAATTAACTCTGTTGTATATACTGATATATTATTAGTTATTCTTTTCTTAATATGGTATTGATTAACTGGGATATACACTGCTGCGCCTGTATGGCCTGTTTGTGGGTCTTTAGATCCATCTGTGAATAAAAATATTGATTCTTTATAATTTTTTTCTAAATAATTCTGCACTATATATTTTGTTGGAAGAATATTATTGTTATCTTTTAACTCCTGTTGTATATTGAAATCTACTTTAGGTAATGGAAAAAACCATGGCGGAATATATGGGATTGGGACTGCCTTACAGTATTGCAGTTGATCTAATCCAATTATTCTGGCTTTTGCCTCAGCTATCCATCCGAAACTTATGAAATTAGTTTCCTCATGCTCCCAACATTCTAGTAATGTTCTTTTTGTTGGATGTGATTCAATTTGTCCCTGAATGTTAACCCAATATGCCATCATTAATTTCATTCTCCTAATGCTTAAGGGCATTTCTCCCATTTCAACCTGCATAGATGAAACTGGTGAGGTTCTAAATGATCCACTACAGATTCTAAGGGCCTGTGCTTGTAATACATCTAATTTTTTGAGGTTTGACTCTGCTGCCGACATGTAAGCTATACATCCATAATCAAAAACAGATCTCATGAGGGCCCAGTATATATTTTGTAGCGATGTTCTACTCGCTCCCCACTCTTGCCCTGACAGGCAACGAAGTACATTAATAACCTTTTTACTTTTTTCTGTGATTTTATTCAGATGATCCTTCCATGTCAGCTTTTCATCGAACCAAACCCCAAGAAACCTTACAGTTTTTACTTGTTCTAGTGGTTGTCCATATAGTTTTAAAGCGAGTGATATGGTTTTATGTCGTCTTGAGAAACAGATGACCTGAGTTTTTGCAACAGATAGTTTGAATCCCCATTTATTTGCCCATTTTTCTACCTCAAATATTGCATTCTGTATTTTCTTTTGTACAAATGACACATTCCGACCTCTAATCCATAGTGCCCCATCATCTGCATACAATGATTTTCCTATACTTTGTTCAATCTGAGAGAAAATGTCGTTTATCATTATATTGAACAATAATGGGCTGCAAACACTACCTTGAGGAGTTCCATTTTCCACTGTGTATTCATGTGAATATTCTTTTCCTACCCTAACTTGTATTTTTCTTCCAAATAAGAAATCCATGACCCAATTATATGTTTTGCCAGTGACTCCTAAAGATTTTAATTTAATCAGCAATCCCTCTTTCCAAAGCATATCGTATGCCTTTTCTATATCAAAAAAGATAGCTATCACAACTTCTTTGTTAGTCTGTGCTTTCCTGATGTCTGATTCCAAACATAATACTGAGTCCATAGTATTTCTGCCTCTGCGGAACCCACTCTGATATGGAGAAAAAAGGTTTTTGCTTTCTAAAAAATATGTAATTCTTTCTGTAATCATTCTTTCCATTATTTTGCATAAGTGGGATGTCAGTGAAATGGGTCTATAGCTAGAAGGATCTGATGGATTTTTCCCTGGTTTAAGTATAGGTACTACTATAGATTGTTTCCATGCTATAGGTAATTGACCCATATCCCAAATTTGATTAAATAAATTTAGTACTATTTCTAGTGATGCCTCTGACATGTGTGACAACATTTTATAGCATATTTCATCCTTACCTGGGGCAGTTTGTCTTGCGCTAATGATTGCTCGTTTTAATTCAAACATATTAAACTGTAAATCTAAAGGATTTTCTGTTGTTTTTACTTTCTTTAAAAGATCAGGATGTCTAGTTAATGTAGTATTTCTGCATTTCCTAGCCTCTTCAGAGAGATTATCTGAACTATGTACATTTCTAAAATGTTGGACTAATAGTTCCGCCTTTTCTAGGTTGCTGATCGCTACTATATCGCCATACTGTAACACTGGTAATTCATAATTTCGTCTAACACCTGCCATTCTTCTAATCATACCCCACACCTCTGATAATTGTACCTCTCGTCCAAGACTATTGCAATATTCTCTCCAGAATATACGCTTTTGTGTTTTAATAGTTTTTCTTAATATTGTCTGAACCTTTTTATACATGATCATAGCTTCCAGTGAATGGTGTTTTTTAAGATGTCTAAATGCTTTATTTCTTGCTTTAATAGCTGCTTTACAATCATTATTCCACCAAGGTACATTTTTAGTACAACCAACTCCTTTACTTTTAGGTATTATTTCTTCGGCTGCTTGAATTATTTCATTAACAATTTTATTATTTAAAATGTTTACATCTCTCTGGTTTATTATTTGTATTGTCATAACTCTCTTATCACATAATTCTTGAAATTCTTTCCAATTTACTTTCTCCAATTTCCATCTTGGAATTCTATCTTCTTTTTCATACATTATCTTTAATCCAATTTTAGTTACTACTGGGTAATGGTCACTACCTATTGTATTGTGCTTGAGTACTTTCCATGTGCTAACCGCTGCTAATGAACTACTAATAAATGTTAAGTCTAGTACGCTTTCTGTATTTTTAAAACAATTATACCGTGTGCCTTCACCATTATTTAGACAAACTAAATATTTTTCATCTATAAATTCTTCAAGAAGAATCCCATTTGCATCATTACTATTACTCCCCCATAATGAATTATGTGAATTAAAATCCCCACACCATAAAACACTGTCTTGTCGTACACCCATTACTTCTTCTAATATGTTTTGATTTAATTTATCACAGGGATTATAATAATTAATAATGTCTATACATCCTCTATCCGTCCATACCTTGATTAAAATTGATTCATACTTTGTATTTATTTGTTCTATCCTAAACTTCATTCCGCTTTTTATAAATGTTGCAATTCCTCCTCCTCTGCTATGATTCCTATCATTTCTAACTATATTATATCCCTTAATATTAAAATCTAATTGAGGTTTTAACCATGTTTCTTGTATGCATATTATATTAGGTTTCTCTATAATATTATCAATATATTTTTTAAATTCTTGGCCATTCGCAATTAAGCTTCTTGCATTCCATTGTAGAACGTTTAACATTTAAGACGTTCCTCCCCCAGGCTGGGATGATTGTGTATCTTCATTTAAGATGTCCCTAACCGTTTCCCAGAGCAGATCCTTCACATCCAGGTATTTTTCTGCTGATTTGATTATTATTTTGATTCTTTCATTCCTACTTTTCGTTTGAGCGGAACAATTTATTATCTCTGCCATGAATATTACAAAATCATTTTTGCTCACTATCAGAGTTTCCGCTTTCAGTTGTTCACATTTTTGACATGTCTCTGTATTTTTGTTCCTGTTTTCATTTTGTTTAGACACAGTCATAATTTCTGGAACCTTTTTTAATGCTTCCGCATAGCTGATTCCTTGAACAGCTTTTACTCTTTGTACTTCTGCCTGCCTTTTGCTAACCTCACACCCTCGATACGCTGAGCTATGATCCCCTCCACAGTTGCAACATTTCAACTTTGCACCCTCTTCACATTTTCCATATTCGTGTTCCCCACTACATTTACCACACCTTTGCTTTCCCTTGCAAAAAGCTGCTATATGTCCAAATCTCTGACATTTATAACACCGAAGGGGCGGGGGAATGTACAGTCTTACATCATAGCACATATACCCGATTAATATCTTTTTCGGGAGTGTCTCCTCATCAAATGTGACCATAACAGAAAGACTATCACAAGCACTTCCATTTCTGTTTGTTCTTAAGCGTTTAGCTTCGACCACATTTGCATTTGTTATGCTTGCTTTCACTTCATCTGCCGAAACATTGACAGGAATTCCTGTCACAACGCCTTTAACATATCTTTTCCCGTTTGTCTTGGAACATTCTACTTTTTTTCCATTGATTTTATTCACCTTGATTGCTTTAGCTTGCTGTTTTTCATCTTTACAGAAAATCAGTATCGATCCGTTTCTCAAGATTTTTGCACTCTTTATTATACCTATTTCCTTATGCAGTGTTTTGGTTAGTTGTATCGGATTCATACCTCCAAATGTGTCCCCTTCTTGCACAGGTTTAGCAAATACCTTGTATTCCACTGTCACCGTTTCCTCTAGGGCTGAGCATCTATCCGAATCACTTTCATCAGATTTATTTCTTCGTTTCTTTTTCCGTTTGTTGTTTTTAACCATGTCCCATTTTTCATAGTTCCCGCAAACTACTTCCATATCTCCTACTTCATTTCCTGATTCGTCACTTCCGTCTGCATTCTCCTGTCCACTCACATTCCAGTTGTTGCCAACCGCCTTGGAGTCTATCCGCCTTGCCATCCTCCCGCCAGCAGCTCACGCTAACCATGTTGAGAACTATCTCTGCCTGGAAACAGGGGCAGGGCACGCGCGCGCGCGACACTAGAGCTCGCGGGAAAAACAGAAACAGGGGGCTCGTGCTACCGGAAGGCGGAGCTCGCGGGAAATAAAAAAAATTGAAAAACAGGGGGCGCGTCCCGAGTCCAGACTTTAGGGACTGGCCGCTGTCAGTTTGGCATTTGTGATTGTGTCTGTTCCAGAGAAATTCTCTGTGGTGGTTTGGAAAACTCTACTCTCCGTCTGTCAACATCCGCATTCAAATGTTCCTCACGGTTTTAGTCTCAAGCCATGATAACATTCACTGTGAAATTATTAAAAATCACAGTCGTGTTGCATGCTAATTGTAAAATATATAATTATGTTGACGTAAATATATTGAATATTTACGATAACCGTATGATAATTAATAACGTGATTAATGATATTTTGTAATCGATTGAATGGCGAAATCGCTCCCTCTACTGGTTGAGTTGAGTTCTTATGGTTTTGTAATTGCATTGTTGATTATAACGTAAATTATATTGTTTTATTTGGAGACTGTTTTGAACAATTAAAAACACACTCACTCAGGAAATAATAAGAATACATTTTAACTGTTTAAAATTAATGGTTTGTGGTGGTTTGTGGTGGCATTGGAAACGATTCGAGCAGGGCACCCAAAATGAAATTTTGCTGTTAATATATAACCATCAGGCCATTCAATATGTATGACTTTTAATCTTCAGGACAATAACGATTTTTTGCGGAAATGATTGTTCTTTGTGAAAATGCAAGTGAATGACTATCAACAACTGGAGTCTAAAAACATTTAGTAAAAACAAAAGCAATACTTGTGGCCCCTGATGAGGTCATGTAAAGCAAAATGATCAGTTTGTGCAAAAAAAAAAAAAAAAGCTTTTCCCATAGAGCCTTAATTGTTCCCAGCATACTGACAACAATCTCAGCCCTGTCGCCAGGGGGGATAGGGGGGTGTTCAGGTGGTTCAAAAGACCCACCCCCCTTCTGAAAAAAAGTCCAGAATTTGGCCCCTATATGAGCTCACTTGTTTCATTTTTGACAGTTTGCCATAATGAATTGTGAAATTTACCAATGAAAGAAAGCTTTAAGAAGAATAACCAATAAAATAACCAATAAAAGAAGGCTTTTATTATTTTAATGGACAAATTCTGACTGAGGAAATGAGCTGGCCAGTGTATTATTTGCCTGTAGACTAGAGTTTTTAATTTAAAACAAGTTTTACCAAATTCCCAATTTTTATTTATTTTTTTAATGATGTATGATAATAAATTAGCATAATATATATATATATATATATATATGTATATGTATGTGTATATATATATATATATATATATATATATATTCTATAATCATTCTATATAATCATTCTATAATCTCATTACATTATATATTAATAACTTACCGTTTAAATGCACATTTGTAAAGAAACATACAAAAAATATATATGATAAGCACTTTGACAAAACTGTAGGAAGTATTTGTGTCAAAAAGTGTGGTAATGATAACCATCCAACAAGCTACTCCAACACAAATTAATGCTTAAAATGTCACAAAAAAAACAGTATTTGAGCCCCGAATAACTGCAAATAGGTCCACTTTTTGAGAAAAAAATAACCAGCCCTTTTAATAGGCTGGCCATGAGCCTGAATCTGAAGTGTGATTCTTTAAAACTGAATTAATTAATTTAACCACTTATGAAAATTTTGACAAACAGTAAAAAATATGTAAGTCCACTCTCTACACTGTAAAATAAATAACGCCTGCTATTTTTCAAATGTGCAATATGTGAACAACACATGTAAAATGTTCTAAACTATTCTAATATATTCATAACAATTGACATAATTTTTTTTTATTTTTAAAAAGTTTCAATGTAATAAGTTTAAAATATAGTATTTAAAATAGTTTAGGTCCTCTTTGAAGCCCAGGGTTTTCCTCAATCTGAGATTAACGAAGAGTTTAGATGTAAATATCTTTAAATGCCATCTGAATATTTACTTTAAAATTATAATTTTTATTAGGCTCCTGTTTGTATGTTTAGTAATATCACTTTTTTTGGCAAAGAATAAGTCCTTTTCCTGGTCTTTAAAGTGAAATATCTCAACATAAACAAAGGAGGCTGACAAAACTGTTCCTTTTAGATGGAAATTTCAGATGGCATTAGAGGTTTTGCATCTCAACTCTTCATACGTTATTAGAATTAAAACAGCAATGGTTAAAACAGCAGTTAGTTACAAAACAGGAATTCTATATGCAATACTACATGAAAGTAACTGCATAAAGCTGGTTTTATAAAGTCACCTATAAAAATACATCACATTTGAGGGGTGCAGTGAAAGTGCTCCCCCTATTGTTTAAGTAAAGTAAGTTCTCTGGTGTTCAAGCTTATGTTTATGATCAAATTAGCAATATCAAAACAAGATTGTAGAAATACACAAGCAGGGTGCAGTTAAATCATCGTAACTATCGACTTCTAGCTTAAAGAATTTGTACAAAACATCCGTGCAATTATTCAGAAATGTAGGTGAAAGCGCCCTCCCTGCTGGTTGAGCACCGTGCATGCAGTAATAGTCAGTCAGTCATCATGGCGTTAGCAGCAGCTGCCAGGCGCTGTGCATCTTCTGCACTTTTCAGTAAATCATTGTCATTACCAGAGCTCAGACCCGCCTGCTCTTATCATAAAAAGGTATGTGTCACTTCTCGTCTTACTGCAGATTGCCTCGTAAGATTAGTCTTTGATCAGTTCATTTGCAGTTTCTAATGTTTGAGGGCAACTTTGTTGCGTTGATGCTAGCTAAGCTAATGTTAACTGCGTATGTAAACAAACTAGCAGAGCAAGGAGCTCAGTTGCTGCTTTCTGTTGTCAATTTAAAAGTAAACGTAGTGTCATCATATGTTGTTTATATTATGGATTAACGTTCATACATATACTGTTATATACTGTTAACTGTTCATACATATTTACGGTTAGATAAATAATGCACTTGTGTAACTGTCCTACAAACTCACTAGAGGTGTGTCTTTTAACATCACTCTTCTTGTGCCATAGGTAACGTTAAATAAACATTTTATTATTGGTAGTATTACTTTTGTAAGTTCACAGTTCAGTTTTTTTATTCTATTTATTATGAAGGTCAGTGTCATTATAAAGCAAGGGCACATATTCACATGCTTTAGTCATATTGAGGTAAAGTTAATTTTATATTTACACATTCAGACTTTCTCCTTAAAAGCATAATTTCAGAGAAGTAGTCTTTACAAATTCTTAATAGAGAAATCATATTAGCAGCCGATGACTATCAAAGTACATTGTTCACATGCAGTCAAATAGTGCTAATTGTTTTTAAGAAATACTTCTGTAATTTCAGACAGAATATTCTGCGGTAGACAATATAGGGATCACGTATCCTACATTGTCACTGAATGAATGTGCGAATATAAAACCAACTTCACCTCAAATGAAGTGATTTAGTGGTATAACATATTTTACTTTTCTCTAAAGGTTGTGGACCACTATGAAAACCCCAGAAATGTTGGTTCCTTGGACAAGAACGCAAAGAACGTGGGAACGGGTTTAGTAGGTGCACCCGCATGTGGGGATGTAATGAAACTACAGGTATGAAGTTATGAAACAGGTCTAAAACTAACACATTTTTGTGTCTTATTACAATTTTGATAAACTTTTAGATCCGCTTCAAATATTGACTGCTTGTATATTAATAATACAATCACTTCTATATATAAATAATCTCTTTTATGCGTGTTGGCAATGTGTTTGACAGATTCAGGTGGATGAGAATGGAAAAATAATAGATGCCAGATTCAAAACCTTTGGCTGTGGCTCTGCCATTGCTTCCAGCTCTCTGGCCACAGAGTGGGTGAAGGGGAAATCGGTGAGTCATTGTGATTCAGGCCATTGCACAAATTCACAGTGAGATGATCTCATCTTGCTCTAAATTTGTTTTCTCAAGCATTTCCTCCCACATTGTAATGTTCTCTGTTTCGTGTGCAGATTGATGAAGCCCTGAAAATCAAAAACACAGAGATTGCCAAAGAACTTTGTCTTCCACCAGTCAAACTGCATTGTTCTAGTAAGTTGGTCTGCAAGCACATTGGGGAAAGGGGTGTCAAAAATATGCACAGTCACAGAATTCATAATTATTTGTTTTTTTATCTGGCAGTGCTTGCAGAGGATGCAATCAAGGCTGCATTAGCAGACTATAGGCTCAAACAGAAGGATGAGAAGGAGACATTGGCTGAAGCTCGAAATTAATGGTCTTATTTACAGACCGTCACCGTCAACCACTCTATATGTGACTGATGAAAAGTTGTGTGGTTTATTTCCTTACAGAGGTTGTAATAAACAAAATAGCCTGCATCTATTATTACTACTAAACTCGTACTGCCTTACCATTGCTGGTTTGAGGTGGTTTGCATTGACAGACTGTGGAGATCTTTGAATTAAAGTTTTTTTCTCCTGGAATCACGCACATTAAAATAAACTCTTTAATTCACGAAGATCTCAGACATTACATGTCATCTATTGTAAATGCATACTTCAACAATGCTTGTACATGTATTCTATTACAGTTTTTCAAAAAGGAAAAGTCGTTTTTCTGCAGGGAAAGTTATATCATTAGGAGTGGTTTGTAAGCAAAAGCAAAAATATATATATACTGGTTTTTCTGCTGTATTTCTTTTCAAAACGAAATAAAGCTCTGGGTGTTTATGCTGTATCATCATTGCTTTATATTATCATTGAGGAGTCTGAATTTTATTTAATCTAATTTCAGTTTAGTAAAATGTTTGATTCTATGGGATACACACTAGTCAACACATTGGCGGGCTTAACCAATAAGCGAGGTAAGCAGCTGCTTAGGGCCCTGGACAATTAGAGGGCTGGACCAATGCCACAAAGCCTATATTAATCAGATAGCTCTTTAATACATTTTTTCCTATCGGATGTTGTAAAATCTGTCTATAATCATTAGGATTTTAACATTATTACTTCTTTTCAAAACCGGGGCCTCCCATGAATAATGTAATGTTTCCTTCATTCTGCACATGCACGAGGTGTGAGCGCTTCAAAGACACTGCCAGCCAGTGTTGCCAACTTAGCGACTTTTCTGGTACGGTCAAACCGATCTGCCTATCCCCTTTAAATAGGCAATTTATTCTTTAATAAATTATTTTTTAAATGGAGCATTTATTCTTTTCTTGCTGTTCACGATCAAAGAGATTTTAGTGACACCAGTCTGCCAGCGATCAGAGTAGAGGTAGGTAGAGTGTGCAAGAGTAAGAATTTTGAAAACATTTGGGGAACAAAATGTCACAAAAATGGCTAATTTACTGTCTGGGTGCCCAAACTCAGTCTGCTGTCCTGCAAAGTTCAGTTCCAACCCCAATCAGACACTCCTGGGTTAGCTAATCAAGCTCTTACTAGGCTTTCTAGATGTGTTTCTGTGCAGGTGTGTTGAGACAAGCTGGACTAAAACCTCCAGGACACCCCTGCTTATTGAATTTAAAAAAAAAAGTTCTTTTGTGAATTATATATATATATATATATATATATATATATATATATATATATATATACTTTTTAACATGCAGTTTATTTTTCAAAAGTGCTAGCTTATGAATTTGTACTTATGTCTCCTTGAACTTGTGGAAGCGGTGCTACTCTCTGATTTCGTAGAAGGATATTTTTTAGTACCAAAAGCACCAAGAGCATCAGTAACACTGTAAGCACACAAAGAATAGTCAGCAGTGCAATGAGCGTGGAGTCGCTGTACTGTAGTATTGTCTGAGGAATGAGTTCAATGTCTTTAGTTGTGGTCAGTGAACCAGCAGACGCCACAGTGGCTGGTCGCTGACCTGTTGAATTCTCCAGACAGCCTGGTTCCACACCTGTGGCCTGACTGTAGGGTACTTGGGTGGACTGCGGTATAAAAGATGCAAAGTTCTGAGAGATGCACTCCTCATAGCTCAGTCTCTCCAATGTTGGCTGGTCTGACCCAAAGAAAGACCTTGAGTTTGTGCTCTCAGTCAGTTTTGAAGATTCTCGACATCCTAAGGTACTTGTATTACACAATATATCGGATCTAACCAATGTTGACACGCTCGTAGTCTGTTCTACATTACTTTCAACCAGTTTCCGGGATTCTGAGGTTGTGTTCGCTGATGACATTCTCTCAGCAGGCTTAAAAAGTTTTGGGCAGATCGCGATGACTGAGAGAGTTAATAGCAACTTCTGTGCAAGGTGCAAAGGAGCCGTACATACGAGATCTGTCGCCATCCAAACCCTGTCTGTCAGAAGCCACCTATACAGATACATGATTTCACACTCGCAAACCCACAGATTATTGGCAAGATCTACTGAGCGAAGGTGGGAGAGTCCATCAAAAGCCCGCTCAGGAATAGTGTGTAAACAGTTACTGTTGATCCTTAACACTTGTAGGTTCACCAGCATAAACAAAGAGGACAGATCCAGGGCAGATATACAGTTTTCTGACACATCAAGGTGCGTTAGCGAAGAAGGTAAGTTCGCTGGCAGACGAGACAATCTATTCCCCTTAAGAGTTAACATCCTCAGTCTAGTCAGACTTAGCAGTGCCCCCGGCTGAACTGACCGTATCCGGTTATCCTCCAAGTCCAGACGGGTGAGGTTCCCAAGCTGCCTTAGAGATCCAGTGGTGATGTAAGTGATCTGGTTCTCCTGAAGTTGAAGGGTCTCCAGACTCGCTGGAAGCCCACGAGGGAAGCGGACTAGTTGGTTGTGGCTGAGGCTCAGCTCCTGCAGGCCTGAGTACGGCTGGAACATGTTGTCCACATTGCAGAGCCGATTCCGAGCTACGGAGAGGACAGCAGTGTTTAGAGGGACAGAGCGAGGCAGAGTGTGTAGACCGAGAGACTCGCACAGAACCAGAGCTCCAGGATGAGGACAGCAGCAGCCATTGGGACAAGGGGACATGATCAGCCCAGCAAGCAGAGATGAATGGAGATACAACAGGAGACAGAAGAGAAGACTAGAACGCATGACTCACTTGAAGGAAGAAGAGGGACAACATTAGTAACTGCTTTTCATTTACGGCAAAAGATTTCATTTGAACAAACCTCATTACCATGATGGACTCTGAGACTCCTCCAGGTTGTATTTCCTTTCTTTTAAAGCTTGAGCTCAATTCTAAATGCGTTATTTAGAAATCAAGATGTGGTCCTCCCCGTTTGGCAGGTTTTAGAAGAGCCCACTTTATCTGCTTCTCATCCTCTCCGCTCTCTTCAAGAGAACGCTCAGTGCTCACCCTGAAAATTCTGGGTAGCGGCTCATCAAACTTTAATGGCAGCCTTAAGGTTTTGAGTTACCTGTTTTGTATCTTCTTCGCAATGTGAATTAATCGGGCACTCCTGTTGCTTTTCCCAATGATACCAGGTTAGTGGAGTACTTTCTGTTAGGCAACATGTTTTATAATCATTCTTGTCTATAAGGAATATGTTTTTTGATCATCTGAAGAACATTGGTTTGTATTGGTTTGTCTAAGTATTGGTTTGTCTAAATTAACATTTTATCGTTCAGGAGTGTTGAGAGCTTGTTACTCTCACTCAAATAAGTGAAAGGAGAGTGTATTTGCAGAATTATTTAGCACCTTGTAAAGATTTTAAACTTGAGTTATGTTACGTTTTTGTGGCTCAGGTTTCACACCATATCTTTGATACTAGCAACACTTGGTCATGCTCCACAGCAGTGGAGCTTTAATTTCACTTGGGGCTAATTTGCATTTAGCTTGCTATTAATCAACGATATGCAGATAACATCAATGTAACAAAAGCTGCATTATTTTAAGAACCGCAAGCTTTTTTTTAGGACATATCTGTTGCATGGAGAAATTCATACGTTATTTCTCTTCGAGATGTAATTGTAATGTAAAACAGGCTTAATGTAATATTCTTTGGTTCTGTCTCAGACAGAATATTTTCATTAATGGCAGATATTTCTGGAGAGGCTTTTGGAATGAGCTTGTGAAATATTGATTGGACATTGTATGGATGTGACAAAAGCTCTGTAGCTGCCGCCGTTATGCTCTACTGGGCTCTGTCGCTGGGGTTCTTGGGTTTCATAAGCTTCAGACAAGAAAAACCAATTCTTTGAAAAAATCTAACTTACAATTCAAAGGTTTTGGTCTTTGATTTTGAAAGAAACTATAACACCTATTAAGCAAGAATACATTAAATTGATAAAATGTAACAGTACATCTATATTTATAACCTCATAAAATTGTTGCATGTTTTAAAAATAATTACATTTTTTACAGTTTATCATCACATACACAACCACATATGCACGCAACTAAGCAGGCCAGGTTTTTTTTTTTTTTTTGGCATTTATTCGTGAGACAAAAATCACTTAAACCTGATAAAAAATAATACTGAAGAAAGTCATGAAAGTAAGATAAAACAAAGCAAGTACAAATCCAGATAACAGCCTCAGAAAATACAACATCATTTAGGTTATCATGCATATTTCATTTGTAAAACAGAACTCGAAGGAATGTGAAAAACAGTTTGAAATGAGAACTAGAAAGTGATTCACAAAATTATAACTTCAAGTTTTTGGTTGTTGCCTACACCATTTTATTTTCCATAAAAAGATTAGAACTGTCAAGTAGTAATTTGCTCCATTACACCACAGAGTAAAAGAAACAGTAATTAAGACAAGCATTCACACACATTTTATTTTTCACTCTTTATCTGATAGGGCCTACAAGGTTAACATGATTTCAACAAGTAGAACATTTTGCTGAATCAACATTCCAATAAACTAGTCCGATTTTTGGGATACTTAATGCCAAGTTTAGACTTACAACACAGGCTTCTTCACCGTTTTTATTCACCTATCATTTCTCTAAAATGAGAGATAAAGATACATTTTTAAAGATAAATTGTGGTTAGGATTAGGGATAGGAACACAGCTAGGACAACACAACGGCAAATTCTTAACTTTTTGATGTAGTGGCTAATTCATACGATCTAATTTGTACAATTTGCTCATTCCCCAATGATAGTTGGGTTTAAGGGCGGGGTTGGGTGCCTCACCTCTTTTTTCTTAAAATCGTACATTTTGTATGAATTTGTATGAATTAGCCACTAAACTAACAAAACGTAAAATAATTATGTTCTCTTTTGAGATCAGGCTGGTTTAGGATAATATTATTTAACAGGAATGTGGGTAAACGACAAATAGATGGTAAAAACATTTTTTTGTAAAGCACTATTAAAGCACCATTATTATTTTTATTTATTTATGTAGTCTGATGTTTGAGAAAATTTGAAGTGGTCACTAACTTTATCAATTACTTTTTTACTGAACTGTACAGTAAAATTTCTTATGGTGTGAAAGCAAAAATTAAGAAAATTAACGCTTAATAATACACAAATAATATGAGAGCAATTTATCTTCATTGTTGGACACATTTCTATGATGTCAGAGATCTTAACGTGATGCAAATCCTCAAAACACAAACACAGTTTTAAAAAACGTGCTGCATTTTCACACGCAAACAAATTAATAAAACGCACTGCATGTACTTACAAAAACAATTCACGAAAACATGCAGCATTTTCCTCACAACACTTTTGAAAAGTTTGAAACCAATGTAATGTTTCAAGGAGACTGTAAATCATAACAGACCTGGCTATTTAGATTATGGTTATTTAGGGTAATAAATACTAAAGACACTGAAATTGGGATATTAAAATAAACAAACAAAAGAACGCACCTTTCAAAGATCACCTACAACTTCACAGAGCAATAGTCACGAGTCACGACACAGCGGCATCCGTCCATTTTTGGGTCCCCTTGAAACATTTCTGTTGTGTCCTATTCTACTTGTGTTGTGAGAAAATGCAGCACGTTTTCGTAAAGTGTTTGCGTTGTGAGAAAATGCAGCATGTTTTATTAATTTGTTTGAGTTGTGGGAAAATGCAGCACATTTTTTATGTGTTTGCATTGTGTGAATTTGTAGCACATGCTGTCAAACTGATTAGATTTTTTCTTAATTTGCTGGTGTTTTTAGTAATTGCATGCGTTTTCTTAAAATGCAGCATATTAAGCTCTCTTGGCCACCGTACATGAAATTATGAATAGTATAATGTTTTATCCATTACCTTTAAGTCTTGTTGGACATTTAAAAAAAGGACACAAAAGGACTACAAAACATAATTTTGACTTCACAGAGACCTTCAGTCACACAAATTTAAATGGGGTCCCAACTAATAAAAATTTTCAGAGCAATTTAGCATAGTGTCACACCAGAGAACATGGTTCTCAGTGAAAATTAGCATCAGGTTCCTATGTTTTTAGAAATATATGAGAAAAAAAAGATTAATATTTATGAAAAAAGCCACTTGTAAAATTAGGCCTGAGGTATTTATATATGAAGAATTTTATGATTTTCTTTTTCATTTATATGATTTGTAATTTATTAAACTATGCTTGAGACAGTCCCCCTATAGGACAGTTTTGAGATTTGGATAAAATAAATTTAATAACACAGCCGTTTTCATAACAAGAGGTCCATGGAAGACAAATAAATGTTTAACCACTTACTGCATTTTAAATGACAACAATACAAATTATATTCATTTTTGTCATGTGTGTCACTTCACGGATTTTTTGTAGACAAGTCTAACTTGGCAAAATCACATTGACCGGTGGTGCTCAGAGTTGAAACTCGGCTGACAAAAGCAAGTGAGGTCTTCACATCTACCAAAAGATTCATGAATGTTGACTGAATATCTAACGGTAGAAAACGTTTGGAATGATGGTCAATGGTAGCAGTAAACGCCCTCATGCTGTGCTGTGATTGGCCTTTCTGAGATGGCACGTACAGACCAGTGGTTGACTGTTTGAGGTGGTTGGCAGAGGCTCCTCTTTCTTCTTGGGCTCATCTTTCTGCATCTCCACCACTTCAACATCCTCCACCTTTTTGACCTCTTTTGGTTTGGCACGTGGCTCTTTTCCATCCTTCTCCCCCACTAGTGCTTTCGTAGGTTCTCGCAGAGTCTTTGCAGTGGTTATCTTGCCATCTTGGTTATGAGGTTGTCCCATAGCTTTACTCGGTTGGTCGATGTATTTTCTGGGAGCGAAGGTTTTTGGAGGATAATAGGCCTCGAGTTTGCGCTTGTGACTCATAGCTGAGGCGCAGCAGACAATGAAGATGATGACGACCAACAGCGCAGTCACCACAATAATGAGCAGCAAGTTCTCCTTCAGGAAATCCACCACCTGGTTGAAGATGAAGTCTTTGATGCGGATGAAAGTGGTCGTGATGTTGGGAGATGGAGACGGGGATGGAGGAACATGGGTGGTTCGAGCAATGGGGAATATGAGTTCGGGTTCGTCACCGCTACCCTCCATGGACACATTGAATGGAGCAGGTTTGCTAAGGCAAACGCTGGCACAGAAAGCAGTCAGGAGTAGACAGACTAAACGCAAAGAGAGCGACATACTTCCTCTATAGACCTGTAAGAAAACACACACAGATGTGGTCTTTTTTTATTCCTCATTTTAAAAAGGATGTAAGCATCATGGTGGTTTCAGCAAGGTGGTAACAATAATCGTCGAATCAGGATTGGATATATACCAAATAAAGAAATTAAAATTGCCACAAACAGGGCAATGAAATGATATACATAATGCAAAGTCTTGGAAAACCATTATATTATCACAGTAATTGATCATTTATTGGTAGTACAAAATCCTCACAATTTGTTCCAAAACATTACTATTGTCTGCAGGTTTTGACTCATTTTCAGTACATTATCTGCACAGTTTATTAGTTCACTAGCATGGTAGAAGTAGGTGCACAATTTACCAATCCCTCACCTTGTATATATTACCCTCACACATTTTATCATTCCATAGTTAAAGGAATAGTTCACGCGAAAATGTAAATTTTATCATCATTTGTTCTAAACTTGTCTGCATATCTTTCTTCTGTGGAACATGTAACCCCCTCCGGTCCTACACCACCCAACCCGCTCTGAGCTGGGATCGAACCGGCGACCTGTATCGTGTAAGGTGCATGGCCCCTTTAAGAGCATGCACCCTTTTTTATGTTGTTGCTATGGTTGCATTAGACATGAGGCCCTATGTATGTTTTCTTTTTCTTTAGTAACCCTGTGTGCGGGACAGTATACTATTAGTATAACTAGTTTGCAAAGGACAGTGTACTAATTTTCTGGACAATAAACTACTACTGAGGGAAAATCATCTTTGCAAACTCTGTTCATTTTGAGGGCTATCCTTATTGCTCCGTATGCAGGTCGTTACAGACCTTCCAACACATGGAAGTCGGGTGCTCTAACAAGGAGGCTAAAGACCCTGACCTCTAGCAGCGATCGCTAGAGTACCTTTTTAGGTTCAGAGGAGTGAGGTTTACCTGCACAGCACTTTACTAGCTGGCCTCCATTACACTCACCCCCCTAAACCTCACTCCCATCTGGGTCACAGCACCAATGTAACCCCGCGGGTCCTACACCACCCAACCCGCTCTGAACTGGGATCGAATCAGCGACCTTCTACAAGGGAGTCGGTTGCTCTAACAAGGAGGCTAAAGACCATGGAATCTATAGCGTCTGTCGCTAGAGCACCTTTTTGGGTTCAGAGGAGTGAGGTTTCTCTGCAAGCACTTTACTAGCTGACCTCTGTTACACACAAAAAAAGGATATTTTGAATTTAGCTGCAAACCTGAAACTATATTTATTTCCCAAAACATTTGCTTTTTCTACTACGGATGTTAAAGGTTTTCAGCTAAATTTAAATTTAAATCTTATTTTGGATTCAACAGAAGACACACAAAGATTCAAAACCACTTAAGACAGGGGTGTCTAAAGTCTGTCCTGGAGGGTTGGTGTCCTGCTGACTTTAGTTCCAACTTGCTTCAACACACCTGCCTGGAAGTTTCTAGTATACCTAGTAAGAGCTTGATTAGCTGGCTCATGTGTGTTTGAGTGTTTGATTAGGGTTGGAGCTAAACTCTCCAGTATACTGGCCCTCAAGAACAGAGTGTTCAGGTCATGCAAAAAATAAAATAAATAAATAAATAAATAGAAAACAAAAACAATGATTGAGGATCTTTATACCTCCTAAACTGTCTGCATCACGTACAGGTATTCAAAGTTTGAGCTCTTGTTGGAGAGAATGTTGAACCTCAATGTCTAACCATTTTCAAATTTTTTTAGGTTTGCCCAAAAATACAGTCCTTCTGGTAAGAAGTAGCAACTGAAATAAACATAACTGGAGAAGAATTGGACTACTCATTTATTACATACTTTGGGAACATGCCAGAAATTTTTCACTGTAAAAAATATATGATCAATTATTCATGACAACGTCTTAATTTTAATTTATTAAGCTAAGTTAATCATGTTCCCACTTAATTTTTTAAGTTACGCAAGGTGTTTTAAGTCAGTTTAATTAAAATAAGTTCAAATGACTTAAATGAGGTTATTTGATTCAGTTGATTTTTTTTAGTGTTCTAACAACTGACAAATACTTAATTTAATTATCCGTTCAATCAAGGTCAAATTTCAGTCATTCTATGGAACATTCCTCTACACACAGTTCTATTAATCACCGCTTCGAGTTCGCACATGTCCATGTTGGTATCAGATTTGACAGTATCAAGCCAACGAGTTCTTGGGCTGCCTTTCCTCCTACTTCCACAGACCATTCCCAGTATGACTGCCTTCTCGAGTGAATTGCTACACATGACATGGCCAAAATAGAATAATTTCTGTTTGGTAATCTTGGCTTCCAGCAAGGTCTTTGGCTTAATGCACCCTAGAACTTCTATGTTGGTGATTCTCGTTGTCCATAGAATGTGCAACTGTCTCCTCCAGCACCACAACTTCAGGGCGTTGACCTTTCTTCTTTCTGTCCTCTTGATCATCCAGGTCTTGCAGCGATAGGTTGCTATGGGCAAGATTGTCGCATTGACTAGCCTTGCTTTAGTAGCAATGCTGATATCCTTACTTTTTCAGATTGCATTCATGCTCACCATTGCATTCCGTCCAGGGGTTAACCGTCTTTTGATTTCAGGTGTCAAGTACCCATTTCGATCAATCTTGGAACCGAGGTATATAAAGTCCCGTACTGTATCGATTTCTTCATTGTGGATCTTTATGCTGCATCTTCTATTCTCAGAGGTCGTCATTATCTTCATTTTCTTGATGTTAAGGCGCAACCCTACCTTCTCAATTTTATGGCAGAATACTGGAGTAGGTTACCAGGTTAATTTCCAGGCCAGAGCCGTGTTGGCCTGCATGAGGTTACCACACCCCCAAACCACAATGAGGTACGGTTGAGCTAATTCAAATACTTTTGGTAAATAGCAGAAAAGCCATAACTCAAAAATAATTTCAGGTTGATCCTCCAACAAGGGCTCAATGGATAGGAATTGTAAAGGGAATACACTATATGGAGAGGCTTATGTTTAACCTAAGACATTGAACCAACAATGGCTCTTCAATGGCAGTGCTGTTTTAAACTATTTTCCCACCTTCACTGAACGTAAACAGAAATCAAGATGGTCATCAACTTTCTGCATATTTACACACAGAGCTATTTCGATGCTATCAGTACTATTGGTTTTTTTTATGTAATAACAGGAAGGAAGCTGCGTGTATCGCACACGTCGCTTCAAGCTCACTAGATTTTCAGATTTTCATGTTTCTGTTGCCTCACAGGAGAGGAGTTATTCTTGTTACATCCAGTCATTACTTATTCGGGGTGGAGGCAGAGGGAGAAACAGGCCTGGTTTGTAATTTGGCTGCCTGGCCGATGCCACCCGCTCACCACAGAAAAGCAAAAGCAAGGCCATATATACATTAGTGAGGGCGCAGCAAGGCGTGGGAGAGCCGCAGATCTCAGGCCTGTATTTACAGCCCAGCTGCAGTGAGACGCGCCAGAAACCAGCCAGACTATTTCTGCCCCACTCCAGAACACACACATAATATTCAGGCGGCTCGCGCATTGTCAACACTGCTTTAAGTTGTTTATTTAATACTTCATTTTTATTTCTTTTTTAAGAAATAAAAATAATTATAATTTTGCCAGTGCTGGGTTGCGGCTGGAAGGGCATCTGCTGCGTAAAACATATTCTGGATAAGTTGGCGGATCATTCCCCTGTGGCGACCTCAGATTAATAAAGGGACTAAGACAAAAAGAAAATAAATAATAATAATAATAATAATACAATAACATTGGAATTTAAGTGAACAGTTGACTAGTCACATATTTCCTCACCGGTCAAATTAACAAATACCTTTAATGATCAGTTTACACAGTGTAAAGACAAAAGCACAATCCATTTCTCAAAATAATGCAGGTATTTTTCCATTTGTAGTTTTAACCCTTGTGCACTGTTCAAGTTTACTACCCTTTTGTAATATTTAGGATGAAAACACCCACTGAATTAAACTGCTGTAAAAAATGCATCAGATAATTTTTTCCCCCATAAATCTGTTAATTAACCTCAGTCCTGATCAAAACTACTAGATGTTAAAAAAAAAAAAAAACAGGATTTACAACACTTAAATGATAAATTCATAAATTATGTAACTGATTCGGTGAAAAAAAGCACACAAAATGATGTATTTTCAATATAAAAGTATTTGTGGACTGGATTATTTTTTACCTTTTATCACAGTTTTTGACATGTGAAAGACTAGTAACAACATTGGCTTTGATGCATTGTTAGATTTTCATTTTTCTCCCTAAATTACTGTTTGTTGGCTGTTTTTGCCCTATAGACTTCCATTATAGAAAGTCAAACACATTTGATGGTGCATAAATACACAGTCTTTTTTTTTTGTTTACTCCATGTAGTTCTGAGTGCTGAGATGCATATTTAGATTTTCTCAGACACATCAAGGTACGTGCGTAAAGGCCACTCTCACTCACTCAGACCCACACACACACACTTTAATTTGCTGTTATACTGCATATAACAGGGGTTACCAAACCTGTTCCTGGAGGTCCGGTGTCCTGCAGATTTTAGCTCCAACCCTAATCAAAAATACCTGAACAAGCTAATCAAGGTCTTACTATGTATACTTGAAACACCCAGGCAGGTGTGTAGAGGCAAGTTGGAGTTAAACTCTGCAGGGCACCGGACCTCCAGGAACGAGATTGGTGACCCCTGCCATATAACATCCAGAAAGTTTTTTTTTTTTGCACAGGCCTATCTAAAGGGTTAATAGTGCCAACTGATGATCAACAGTAAAAATGACTGATTTTACCTCTTGGAAAAATAATTCTCTTAAAAAACCACCAACAATCAAATACTTTGTAATCGAAAAAATGTGGTTATAATGGAAGTAAATGGGGCAAAAACAGCCACCAACAGTAAATAAGGGAGAAAATAAAGAAAATGAATAAAAAACAATGCATCAAAGGCAATGTTGCTTTACAGGTTCAAGACATAACAAAAAGTAAAAGAAATAGTCCACAATTACTTTTTATATTGAAAATACGTCATTTGTGTGTTTATTTTTTCACCAAACCTGCGACATCATTTATGAACTTGGCAATCAAATAGTTAAAATCATGTAATTTTCTAAACAATTCAGTATCAGTAAAAAAGTATTTTTTAAAATTCTTGTCTTTTACTTTTAAGTTGGCTTTTATATTCATTCATTTATTTTCCTTCGGCTTAGTCCCTTATTTTTCAAGGGTGGAATGAACCGCTGTTATTTTACCCAAATAAATTATGTTTTGTAAAAGAGTCCATTCTGTTACCAAAGATATTTTGTATTGCTTGTATTACATCCTGCCAGTACAACTGATTCCAAATTCCAAAATATGAGAAAGTGTTATCCACATTTACTAATTCGGTTTTTTGTTCAATTTTATTTTGTGTCAAATATGAACAAACCCTTTCTCAGTAGTGGGTTACAGCTGGAAAGGCATCCACTGCGGAAAACATGCTGGAAAAGTTGGCGGTTCATTCCGCTGTGGTGACCCCTGATAAATAAAGAACTGAGCTGAAGGAAAATGAATGAATAAATAAGTATGGACAAACCCAATTGTTGGGTTAAAAATTAAAAGAAAATATTGAACCCAACAGTTGACTTTATCCATATTTGTTCTAATATTAAGCACTGTTAAAGCCAACACTGGTGTTATGCTATACATTTTAACTATACTTTCTGTTATGTCAAACTGGTTTATTATAAATTAAGACAGATAAGCCATTTTTGAAAGTTTTGAAATTACTTTTTATCATTTGTTCACTCTTCACTTGCTTCAGTGTCTTTTTTTCTGTCAAACACAAAAGATGATAATTTAAAGAATGTTGGAAACCGGTAGCCATTGACTTCCATTGTATTTTTTTCCTCATACTAAGGAAATCAAAATGGCTCTCGGTTTCCAACATTCATTCATTCTCCTTCGGCTTAGTCCCTGATTATCAGCAGTCTCCACAGCGGAATGAACCACCAACTATTCCAGCATATGTTTTACACAGCAGATACCCTTTCAGCAGCAACCCAGTGCTAGGAAACACCCATATACTCCTGCATTCACACACACTCGTACACTATGGCCAAATTAGTTAATCCAATTCACCTATATCACATGTCTTTGGACTGTGGGGGAAACCTGAGCGCCCAGAGGAAGCCCACGCCAACACAGGGAGAACATGCAAACTTCACATAGAAATGCCAACTGACCCAGCCGGCCCTCAAACAAGCGACCTTCTTGCTGTGAGGCGAAACTGTTAACCACTGAGCCACTATGGTTTTTAATATTCTTCACAATCATTTTATTTCTGAGTGAACTATCCTTTTTAACCACTAACCTGCTTCTAGTTTGACCAAAGTTTGGAGGGAAATTCCCAAACTAGCACAATCTGTAGTGGCGGTGTAAACATTGACCTGCCATCCAGCATAGAGCTAGTCTTTACTTCTTTAAACTGTTTTTATAAAAACATTTCCTACTTTGAGCAGACCACACCATGACTAACCCTCACTCTGACCACATTTCTTGTTCTGCTAAAAGAGTCTCTGATTTTGTTTTAAGGCTACAAAATAGGTCATAATTTCAACAACCTCTTACAGGAATGTTACTAATATTAAGAGCATAAACATATCTGTCTAATGTATAATGTATCTGCCAAGTTAATATTTAGAAGTGGCATGTGCGTAAACCACAGAAAAAATTTAGTGTGTGTGTGTGTGTGTTTGTTGTGGGTCCTTACTGATAGACTTTAAAACAAATTATGATATTTTACATTTTCAAATTTTGTGAAATGCATCTGTCTGGACTTTCAAGATGTAATAGTTCTGTACTTTTAGTCGTTAAAATATGTATACATACAGATGAAGTCAGAATTATTAGCCCCCTTTGAATTAGCTTTTCTCTTTTAAATATTTCCCAAATGATGTTTAACAGAGCAAGGAAATTTTGACACTTTTTTCTTCTCTTCTCTATTTCAGCTAGAATTAAAGCAGTTTTTTATATTTTTTGTAAAACCCATTTTAAAATCAATATTATTAGCCCCTTTAAGATATATATTTTTTCGATAATCTACAAAACAATTCATTGTTATAAAATAACTTGCCTAATTACCCTAACCTGTCCAGTTAACCTAATTAACCCAGTTAAGCTTTTAATTGTCACATTAAGCTGTAATGAGGTGTCTTGAAAAATCAAATTATATTTACTGTCATCATGGCAAAGATAAAATAAATTAGTATTGAGTTACTAAAACTATCATGTTTAAAAAAATGTTTTAAAAAATCTCTTTGTTAAACAGAAATTGGTGCTAATACTTCAAGGGGGCTAATAATTCTGACTTCATATATATATATATATATATATATATATATATATATATATATATATATATATATATATATATATATATATATATATATATATATATATAATGGTTTAGAATATAAGATTTATTAATCAAGGCTTTCATATTGCTATGTGTACAATATAGCTCATAATGTGTTGCTGCCTTCACTTTTTAGTTCAGAATCAAACAAACTTTTCTAGTCATCTCAACTTACGTCAATCAAACTAACTAAAAATTCAACTTAGTATAACATAAAATTGTCGTCAAAACCTGGTTAGCATATTTAAATAAGTTAACGCAACATAAAAATATTTGTAGTTTGGAATTTTTGTCATTACATTTCTTTACACTGTAAAAATAATCCTGGTTTTCTTAATTTTTTAAGCTGAATCAAATTAGCCTTGGGAGTCCATTTAACTTAAATTATGTTAAACTGACTTAAAACACTGTGCGTAACTTAAAATCAAGTTAGAACATGATTAACTTAGATTAAGTGTCAGAAAAAACATATGCTGTCAGGACAAAATGATCATATTATTTTTTAAAGTGCAGAAACATTAACTTTAAATGAAACAAACAAATGACAGAGCAAATAAATAAATATAATTAACCCCAAAATCCAAACAACATTAAAATGTTTCTATATTTATTTTGTATTCATGGCATTCATGCATTATTATTGCGGCCACCACATCTACAAAATCTCATATTTACATATACATTTTTTGAGAAACACTATACAATCTTTTTAAAGGACTCGTCTATTGTCAAACAGAATTGTGTAACGAATATGAAAGTGAAAGATTGCATTTATCCACACAATAAAGGAAATATAAAAATACTCACTGCTGCAGTTACTTCCGTTCTCTGATGCACTTTGACAGAAACTTTTTAAACTGCAGGTATGCAGAAGAGATAAAAGACAGTCAAGTTGTGGAACAAACGGCTTCAACTGTGTTGTCCTGAAAAGCTTATGGGAGGTTCTGACCGTGTGGGTTTTCCTAAAAAATCTGGATAATTGCACAGACATTCCCTCCCTCCCTTGCCCTCTCCATTTCCATCTCCTCCCTTTTCTGTCCTTCTCTTTTCCTCTATCTAAAAACATGGATGCATGTACAGGACAAGGAAAATCCAGAAACATTTACCAACCCACACAATAACGTTTGCCTCTGATTTTGACACTATTATCTAAATGTTGGAGCAGGAATCAAGACTAACGAGACCATGCTGGTGTTAGCCAACAGAAGTGTCACCATTATGCACTTCTGAACATATTCGGTAAAAAACTAAATGTATGAACACTCCACCGTTACCTTTTACTGACTTCCCCAGACTGAAGATCAAGAGCATCATCCTGTTTTCATCGCTTAAGTGAACTTTGGAGTAGTTTTCTGCCAACACACTATCTTCAGCAAATATTACTAGTGCTGTTCATTCTTTCTACTCATGCACTCTTACGAATAAAGGTACAAAAGCTGCCATTGATGTACCCTTTTTAACATTTTTGTATTTAAATGTTACATATTAGTACCCACACTGCCACCTAGCATGTTCTCAAACTCGATTCCTGGAGGGCCGCAGCTCTGCATAGTTTCGCTCAAACCAAGATTAGTTTAGGACTACTAGAGCAGTGTTTTCTAACCCTGTTCCTGAAGGCAAACCAACAGTACATATTTTCAACCTCTCTCTAATCAAACACACCTGAATCAACTCATCAGAACAATAGAAGAAACTCCAAAACCTGAAGTTATTGGGTCAGATAAGGAAGACATCCAAAACATACTGTTGATGTGCCTCAGAATTGGGATACACAGTATTAAAGACTATTAAGTAGTTGTGATTTGGAGGTGATTGAAAATTAAACTCTGCAGAGCTCCAGGAATTGAGTTTGAGATCATTGACCTACAGCAGGGCCCAGCAAGCAGTTTTTGTTTTTAAAAGATGTCTAATAGATGTCTAAACATGGTCGTCTTTGCTAAAACAAGACTAAATTTGGGTTGTCAGTGAAAATCCGAGAATAGGCAGAAACTAGACTAGTCGTAAAATAAACAGAAATGAATGACTACACATATAAAATCTGTCTAATCTGTCTATATGACGACTAGTCTAGTTTTGGGCTACTTAGATACTTAATTACTTAGATGTCTATTAGATTTTCACTGACAGCCCAAGTGTAGCCTTGTTTCAGCCAAGCTGTCTACGTTTAGATGTCTATAAGACGTCTATTAAACACAAAATTGTTTGCTGGGGGTGTAAAATTCAGTTATTAGAGAACCGCAGCCCTGCACCGTTTAGTTCCAACCCTGCTCCAGCACACTAGCTTGTAGGTCTCAAGCAAGGCTGAAGGACTCAATTAGTTTGATCAGGTGTGTTTAATTAGGGTTGGAACTAAACTGTGCAGAGCTGCGGCTCCTCAGGAACTGAGTTTGACACCTGTGACCTACAGGATCCATCTTGGTTTCTTAAAGTTAAATAATAGTTTATAAAATGTGCTTAATATTTGGAAAGGTATCACCCCAGTGATATCTTCTGAACCTTTATTTCTGAGAGTGTGAGAGGTTTGGTCACTGCAGGGGCCTTCAGACTTTTCTCTTAGGCCCTGTTTACACTAATACGTTTTAGTTTTAAAACAGCATTTTAGAATGAAAACGATGCGCGTCCACACTGGTTTCACCTAGCGTTTCTGAACAGCTCTCCATCCACACTATACGGCTGAAAACACACATTCTGTGACCATGCGATGCAGCGTATGTGCGCATCTGAGCTCCGGGCATGCCCATCTACCCACTGTTCATCAAGTATCTACCACTGGATCTAAGCTCACTATATTTGTTAAACGTGATTCATAAATAAACGTGATACGTTAATTGATCTTCTTGTCTATATCTAATGACATATTCCCCAACTTTGGTCTTTTGAATCTATTACAAGTTGTTGTAGATTATTAAAGATGCAAACCCCTCACTACACGACAGCTGCACCTTTAGCAAACTTCATAATTCCTGCAGCATGATGACTTTATGATTGTTTATATGCACCAAAAGTGGCTGATCTGTTGGGTAAAATATTTAACTGCGTGTCAATGCATCCCAAACGACTAAAACCGTACAACTAAAGAAATTCCACTCCACTGTGCTGAGTGAGAGCTCTTCTTAAACTGAACAGTGCATCATTGATGACGTAAGCATGCTAGGGCCAGAATGCGATGTGAGTGCAGGCCGTCGGGGGAGACAGGAGGGGGGACAAGTATGCTTCGGCCAGGTTCAAGGCAACTGTTCATAGTGCGAGAACGTCCTAACACAGAGCAGCAGCGTTTTCAAACTGAAACGACCTCTTCAGCATTTTCAAAAAGCTTGAAAATTCTGTGGTAGTGTGGACAGATGGCGTAACCGTAGCAAAACTTATGCATTTTCAAACTAAAACGTAATAGTGTAAACAGGGCCTTAAACATCGAGACACTGTATGCCCAGACCTTGATGTGCTCTGAACGGAAGAGCAATTCCAGTTGTAATGTTGATCAGATTCTAGAGATTCTAATGGACGACCAGACTTTTTGGTGGACTTGAATGAGTTTAAAACCTTATTTTAAAATTTTTTTTTTTTTTTTTGTATGACTTCTTTCTCTAGCTGTGGCTGAAAGGGTCTGCATGGTCTTCATCTAAACAATCTCCTGAAGGATTTCAGCCTGTTAAGAATGGTTTAAGAGCTAGTTCACTCAAAACTGAAAATGTCCCCATACATCAAGAGGTTCTTTTATATTTTTTCTCTTATGTGGAATTTTATAAAATCAGCAGCCAATAACATCCAGCCAAAAAAACAAAACAAAACAAAACAAAAAAAAAACACTTCAGTACATCTGTCCTTGTGTTCGACAGAAAAAAAAGAAACTCAAACAGGTTTGGACGAGAAGAGGCTGAGTAAACGATGACAACAATGTTTTTTTTTTTGTTTTTTTTTGGACAAACTTTTCCTTTCAAACCTTGCAAAGAGATAACTGTAAAGTCAGGCTGCCAGTAAAAGGGGTTTGTCAAATAATTAAAGAATTATTACTAATAAGACTTTAACTACTTTAATACACAGGTCAGCACTAAAAATGAGGAATCTCAAAGCATTTTCTAATTTTAATCAGTGTTTTTTATTATTATTAAATATTTAAGTATTTTGTTCACTGGAGGGGTCCACACAACTCATTCATGTTGTCCCAACACAAATTGATTAAGTTAACTTAACACTATGTGGTTTAAACATAAAAGAATTAAGTTGTCCCCAAAAATCTCTCCATAATTGTGGTTTCAATTATTTTAAAAAGGTAGTTTGAACAAGCAGCAAGTGTTTTGAGTGTAGAGGGCTTCATAATATGTAACTCACTAAATAGGTCTACAAAAATGCTCCATCACTCCTGTTAGGATATCTTCAAACAGGAATAAATAGTCGACTTAAAATTTTGGAAATTTCTGCTCTGTAAACAAACACAGAGCTATCACAGAACTTTCATTGACAATCTCTAGTCCTTAATCCTGACCTTAAAGCTAACCATTACCTAATTCTAACCTAAACCTTAATATGGCCAACATGTCCTCACTTTATGTCCTTGGCATTCATTCTGAAGGACTCAAAAACACACAGATACCCTCACACCTATATTCATGGGGACTTATAAGTAATGATTTTTATACAAAATCAGATATTTTAGCCCCCAATCTCAACCTTAATCCTAAATCCAACACTCATAGAAAACTGTTTACATTTTCAAAATACTTAATTCTGAGATTTATAAGCCAATTTCTACTCGGGGACCAAAAAAATGTCCCCACAAGGTCAAAATATTCTAGTATTGCTATACGTGTGGGGACATCTGGTCCACACAACATGATGAATACACAAATACACACACACATATACATTCTGGATAATATTTAAGTAACTATCTTGTGCAAGTCACAGTGGAAGTGAAACTTCTTACATTCATACAAATAATTCCAAGTCTTTTGTATTAAATGATTTATTTAATATTTATGACATTAATTTAGCTAACAAAAACTGGATTATTACACGACTTTTCTCATCATCTAGCAAAACATTCACCAGTCAACTACACATATAAAGAACGTGCATATACTACAGAATCTAATATGAACATTCTACAGTATAAAATAAAATAGTTACAAAAATAAAAAGCAGAATGTATACGCCGACAATCTTCTTCTGCTTTTCTCCGTGCTCATCTTGCTGGCTATTTGTTTCTTAATAGATACAATTCAAAGTGTGTAACTTCTAAAGAAAAGCCAAATTCTTTCCGGGCACATGTGAAAGCATGTATTTTCAGTATATTTGCAATGATAGCATGTTATATTCAGACCGTGACAATCTTCAACATCACTCTGTTAGAGTAAATTATATAGCACTAGCAGAACCACAGACAGGAATAGAACATATTCAGCAAGAGTTTTCTACCAAGCCTCACTAATGCCTGAGCGCCTTACAGAAACTATACAGTATTTCAACACTCAAATGATCCAATAAAAAATAAAGGTATAGTACACCCAAAAATAAATATTCCGTCATCATTTACTCAACTTGTGCTTCAGTTGAACACACAACAAGATACAGTGCTCAGCATATGCAAGTACACACTTTAAAATGTTTTTTAATTCATATTTTTAATAGGAAGCTATACTGTATTATATTTGCGTATATACATTAGATTAGTCAGTACTAAAGCCAAATCTAGAGCTAATCTAACAAAAAAACATATGACAATGCTACAAAAACTAGTACAGCCAAATTTATGTAATAGAAAATTATTAATACAAATTTAAAACAAAGCAAAAACATTGAAAATTTTAGTTGAAATTTTGTAGATGGTAATTTTTTTTGTTTTTTTGCAATATATGCTTAAATTTTGTTTCATCATCTTTCAATTTCTAAACATGTTTGGTGACTAAAATATTATTTTAATAAATATATATGTTTAATAAATCTGTACTGTTTAAATTTACTAAATAAATTGCCTATATTCACTGAGAAATGGATACAAATATTCATTTTTAAAATGAGGTGCACTCGATTATGCGGAGCACTGTATACTGGAAAAAACAGCAATTGACTTAAATAGTATTTATCTTCATAGATGTTGATGGCTACTTTTATCTAATACTCTACAGATTTTCCTGTTTCATGTTTAACAGAAAAAAGAAATGAAAAGTACAGAACCACTTGAGTGCATGTTAATAGTAAGAAAGTGTTTATTTTGGGGTGAACTATCCCTTTAAATAGACAAAAATAAAAAAAGATCAAGGATGAAAATAGGTTAAGCATGTGATTAAAAGCCGGTTTAAGGATTATAGCGAAGCCCAAAAATACCAATTGCCATTTTAAATCATTATACTTTGATTTAAATGCTCATTATGCTTCAAACTAAAAGGTTTTACCCATATGACAAGTTCCTAATCATTTAAAATAACAAAACTTATAATCTCTCTCACAACATACATTATAATAAGACCGTGCTTGGATAAATACATGTTACACTGAATATTTTAACATATCAAAACAGGTCATCTCATGTCTCTGCCAAGCTTAACACTGATCACCCAACTTTAAAATGGCAGTTCAAAGCCAGGCCTTTCATCATTCATCTTTGTTAAGTGTGCACCATCACCAACTCAACAAAACCACAGTGTTAGACAGTAAACATTTCTGTCACCCATCAGTAAATTCTTGGTCCTTTAAGGAAAATAAAGCTCCTCTAAAGAGGGCCTTCGGTATCAGGAAGAAAGCTGTTCAAAGTCAGGTCATCTCCATCAGGATCTCCATCCTCAGCATTTGGGATCAAGGCTCCATTACTTTTAGGATGTCGTCTTGGTTTTGGAACTGGGTGATCGGTGTCATTCATTAGAGCAGAAATACACACCATCTCGGTCTCCTGGAGAAGATGCGCCTTGTGCCTGTATCTGTACGCCGAGAGCTTTGTAGCCAAGCAGATGGTGCTGATGATGAAGATGGTGGTTAGAGCGGCCATTGAGGCAATGGCGATGAGACAGCGGCTTACAAGGCCGTTTTGTTTAGAAATAGCAGTGGGACATGAGTGGGTTGTCACAGTGCTTGACTTTCTAGTGGTCGTAGAGACATGGGATGAAGACTTATCAGTGGTTGTAGGCTTTTCTGTTACCTTAATAGGCACCGATGTCGGAGAAAATGTGGGTGCAGAGCTTCCTGCTTGCGCAATGTGCCCAGTGCTGTTATTTGTTGTGGGAGGTTGGGTGTGCAAACTAATCTCCTTCTCTGCCGGTGGGTGGACAGTCAGGTTCCCGGTTCCTGCAGAGGTATTTTGCTGGGTGTGGTGGTAATCTGTAACCGTTGAGACGTTTGATTTGGGCGTTACATTAACGGTCTGCACTGGAGTTTTGATTGTGATGGTCATGTTTTTCTCAGCTTCGGCTACGGTTGATGGGCTCTGCATTTCTGTGTTGTTTTTCGAGGTTATGTTGGGATTGATTTCTCTTTCCATCCTAAGAGATCTTGAGGTGACCGTACTGCTTAAAGTCAGCAGCAAAACAAGAACTGATAAACAACCAAGTTTGTAAGCCACCATCGCCGCCATCTGTACAAAAAACAGAGAGATTGTAGTAGAGAAAAGTGTTCATGCTACACAACATGTGACTTTTTTATTTATTAACCATTATGTGTACAGTTTGGATATTTATTAGAGATCAAACGAAAATGTGAGCAGAAACTTAAGTTCAGTAATAGTAAAACAATATGTTGATCATTCAGTGGAAGTACATTCAGCTACGTCGAGGTTGTGTTCATACCATGTGGTTGGACAGTTGGTGTGAAATACTTCCTTTTAGATGACAAAACGTAGTCACTGTAGTCTGTTTAAAATATCTTACAATTGCTTAAAGTTGTATCATCTACAAAATTTCAATCTTTCACAATGTCCTTTTTACATTTGCAGCCTTGAAGCAGTTAATGGATATCAAAAATGTCCACACCATATAAACCAAACCTGTATTAGACATGATATTATTGAAAACAAGAACTACATACCGTCCACTTCTGTCGCTGGCTGGGTGTCGTTTAGGAGTTCGTTTGAAATGTCTCTCACATGTACAACGCAATGTCACAAAACCTACTCGATGCAAAAAAAAATAAAAGCAAATACAGGAAGTCAAACCCTCATGAAGCGTCAGGCTAAGGCTGAGGTTCTGTCACTGTGACGCAAACAGGAATGAGCAAGAGAGAGACTTAAATATCATATCTTAGTTCCCTAAAACAGTCAACTAGAACTTGTAACTATGCAATTTTAAAGGGGCAGTTCACCCAAACATGAAAATTCTGTCATCGTTTGCTCACCCTTTACTTGTTCTAAACCGGTTTGATTTTCTTTCTTCTGTTAAACTCAAAATATCATATTATATTGTGAAAAAAGCAAGAAACCTGTGACTATTGGCTTCCAAAGTATTTGTTTTTCCACTGTAAGCAACAAATGAACAGCTTTGAGTGACAATTTTCATAATGGGGATAAAGTATCAATTTGATTTCATTAAATCTATAGATCACCTCAAAAAAAAAAAAAAAATTATCATCAATACCTCACCCTTTACTGTTTTTATCTACTGTTAAAAACTAAAAATGGTGGAAACCAGTAACCATTGACCTCCATATTAAGAAAAGACAAACGCTATGGAAGTCAACAGTTACAGGTTTTGAGCATTCTTCAGAATATCTTCTTTCATGTTCAAATAAATAAAGAATTTTTGTTTATGACCAATTAGAGTCATGAAACCCCCCTCTTTCAGTTCAAGTCTACCTAAGAATTTGCTCAGAGATGAGCGTGGAGCTCTGAGAGCAGAAGGAGGAGTGGGCGTGGCCAGCAGAGCAGGGGAGAAACAAGGGAGCAAACAACTGTTGTCAGTTGGCTCACAAAATGAGACAAACTGTGAGGAGAGCCATTATTTTATAGTTTATAAAGTTAAAATGCAAAGAAATAAACAGTAATTTAATGTCCTGCTACATTTGTTATTTGTAAAACACATACCCACAGTTTGTTGTATCATTATAAAGATAACCATGTAAACACTATAAATGAGGAGGACTTCTCTCCTCCTCCATCCACAGGTCTGAATGCAGACACGGTGGATAGCAGTGCAGCCGGGCTCTTGCCCTGTCTATTCCAACCATTATCCCTGCCGGTAATCTGGAGGATTTTAAACATGCGCGAACACTGCAGCACTGCTATAGGTGATGTGTCTGAATGGTAACAAACTCAACTAAGGAAAGACGAAGTCCGTCATTCTACAATTCTCGTACAACTCAACAAAAATGCTTGCTGCCAACCAACAGCTTTGCTGTATCTGCTCTGACAGAATGGCAGGGAAAAACATGCACCAAACCAAGTGTATCATATAAACAAACACATATTGTTACATTCCTTCATGAATTGCTAAATACTGCTTGCTGTGCGTGGACACAGTCTCAATTGGGTCTCAGAGCCTGGCAGGTCTGCCTTGCCTTTGGAAAACGCATGCTCTCATGAATAATTAAGAAACAGAGTCTTCCCATAGGATAAGAAAACTGCGCTATGAATAATAATGAGAAACCGATGCGTTATCACTCCACTAGCAGATTCGCGATATGTCACCAATTTTTATCCTGCCCCAAAAATGATTTTAAACTCGAAAGATGAAATGAGCTGACAAAAGATCAAAATTATCCAGTTTCTCCACAATTAGAGCTGACAGCTGCTAACGTTGTCCTAACTGATGCTCAACACTCAAAAAAGTACTCCAGGGTGTCTTGAACCTTTAAGGATGAGTAATTAGCGAGTAAATCTTCATTTGTTTTGGTGAACTGTCTCTTTAATAGTTGGGGAGCAAAAACGAGAGAGACAAGTGCCAATAGTTCAGTTTATTTTTTATTTTCCTGGTAATCAGTAAGACTCTTTATAACTGAAGCAGATGAATGAACAAAAGTGGAACAGTTATGCACAAAACTCCTTCCTTTTCCATTGTATCAACGAAAGCTTTAAATGCTCTCAGTATGCATCATGATGAGGGAAATGGGTTCTTTAAAATCAGCAAATTCCAAAATGGGACAAACACCTTCCTATAGGCAAAGAAAAAAGGAAAACTAAAACAAAAGACGGCATATTTACAACGAATCAAAATAAATCCAGCCTTATTCCTGCATTATCTTTTCAACCTACAAAAAACCCTTGTCACTTCATTCGCTCCTCTGAAAGCACACACTCGAGGCCTCCTGAGGCCAAGGATCCATCACACGTCCTAAAGATGATCCAGCTTGGCACATCTGTACCCATAAATACAACCCCTACATAGTCAAACCCTTCACTTTAAAACTGCACCAAAAACAATTGAAAGAGAGACAGAGAGAGAGAGAGAGAGAGAGAGAGAGAGAATGAGAGGTATTGAGTTTTTGCTGTCGATGAAGCCTTCCCTGCTTTTCTTTCTTAAATATTTTGTCTTGTTTTAGTCAAAATATCTACAAATTCTTAAATCTAGAAGCATTTCTAGACAAGTAAAAATACCAAAAGCTAAAATTTTGGAACATACCTTGGAATTTTTTTGTTGTTGCTCTGAGCTTATATTAGGATGAGAAACTAAAGACATTTTAGAGGTATGCGGTGAGACCTGTAGGTTTCTGGATTCATTTAAAAAAAAGTGCAGATGTGTCAATGAATTAGTAAGGGGAAAAAGTGACTCATTTGTTGCTAGCAAGTGTTTGAGGCTGTAAGAAAAGCACATATTGGCTTTAAACTAAAACAGCTTTACAATATTTGGTCAATTAATATCTTTTAAAAAATACAGTTTGTTTTGTCAGATATAATATCTCATACCATGATGAGTTTTTCCTTAAAACAAGCTAAATAATCTGCAGATGAGGTAAGCAAAATCATCTTATTTCAGACCAAATTTAAGATTATTTTAGCCACCCCCACTGGCAAAGATGTCACTTTTTTAAAAGTTAAAACTCACTTATTATTTCCAAAAACAAATCAATATTTTAACTTGTCAAGAAAACACTTCATGTTTTGTTTTCTGAAATAAGTAAAAATGAATTAAGTTTTTCCTTAAAACAAGCTAAATAATCTGCCGTTGAACAAATGAATCTCATTTCAGAACAAAAACAAGATTATCTGTTAGCCCCACTGGCAAGATTATTTTGCTTTTTTAAAAGTTAAAATTCACATAATTTTGATTTATTATTTTTGAAAACAAATCAACATTTTTATGGTCAAATTACACTTCATGTTTTTTTTTTTTTTAATAAATCAAAATAAAGTGAGTTTTTCATTAAGACGAGCTAAATAATCTGCCGTTGAACAAATTAATTTAAATTTAGAACAAAGACGAGATTATTTTAGCTATTCCTACTGGAAAGACTTAGCTTTTTTTTTTTTTTTTTTAAGTTAAAAACTCATTTAATTTCGACTAACTGTATCATATCTGAAATCAAATCAACATTTACATTGTCAAGAAAGGCTTCATGTTTTCAAATAAAACAAGTCAAAATGAAATGAGTTTTTCCTTAAAACAAGCTAAATAAATTAATGCCGTTAAATTAATTTTATTTTTAGACCTAAACCTGATTATTTTAGCTACCCCCCACTGGCAAGATTATTTCACTTTTTAAAAGTTAAAACTTAATTCATTTTGACTTATTATTTCTGAAAACAAATCAACAGTTTAACTTGTCCAGAAAAGGCTTCATGTTTTTTTTTTGTTTTTAATAAGTCAATATGAAGTGAGTTTTTCCTTAAAATAAGCTAAATAATCTGCTGTTGAACAAAATCCTATTTTTAGACCAACAAGATTATTTTGCTTTATTTAAAGTCAAAACTAATTTAATTTTGACTTGTTACTTCTGAAAACAAATCAACATTTTAACTAGTTAAAGAATTGCTTCGAGTTTTAAGAATAGTTCGATACTTAAATTATAAACAAGACACAAACTCCAAGTGAGAGACACATTTTTTGCAGTACTGCTTCACACAAACATCTAGGTCATCTGAGTGTTTTAGAAAGCTGCTTTATAGACTTTAAGCAAGGGAGGAGAGAAGGTGCTTTTCAAATCCTGTGAAAGAGGCGCTGGGCCAGTGACGCAAACAGAAACGAGACAAGTAGAAGCGTCGAACATGAAAACCACAAAATGAGAACGTTCTGATGAAAGGATGTAGCCAAAGCAATCTGATCAACAGAATCACAGTTTCCTCTCTTCTTGGCAAGAACAATAACACAACCAAACAAAACAATAAAAAAGCCAGGCTTCTTCACCTCAAACGCATGGCACTCAGCTGTATAAGCATCAACATGAGCTCCGCTTGAGAGAATTGGTTCTGCTTGGCTAGGAGAGCACGGTAGACATAAAAAGGCCTATTAGGAAGGAAGTCGATCATCGTGACTCACTACTTTGCTTTTAGTCATGGTCTATGATGCAAATGTTTGCATGTTTGGATGTTGAAGACGGCACAAGATTTTGGAGGAATGGGTGAGAAAGCAAAGTAAACAGCATTTTTAGATCTGAAAGACATCTGACTGGAACAAAGTCAGAGTAAAAGCGCCATCAAGCTGGAAAAAGCTACTATTTTAGAATATACATGGGCTTTTTTTTTGTTACTCTGAGCTTATGAGAAACTAAAAACATTTTAGAGGTATGTGGTGAGACCTGAAGGTTTCTGGATTCATTCAAGAAACAGAAGAAAAGTGCAGATGTGTCAATATGGATTAGTAGGGGAAAAGCTGACTCTTTTTTTTGCCAGCAAGTGTCTGAGGCTGTAGGAAAAGCACACATTGGCTTTAAACTAGAATTACTTTAAATTATTTGGCCTATTAATATCTTTAAATGTGGGTTCATGCACAGTGAGACATTTGTATGATTTTCCAGTACAGTTTTGTAAACGTTTTCGACTCTACATGTTTGCCGGCTTGATTAAAATCTTTATTTTTATTCTCTAGAAAGACAGCTATAACATTTGAAAACAAAATCCAGTGATTTCCCCTCCTTGCATATTGCTTTGTCCCTTATCAGTACAACATAAAAAAGCTGGTCAAATACTGTCAGGGAGGTGGCAAAATCCTCTATAAATTTGGCAACTCAGAAGGGCGAGAGGGAAACTGCAATACTGATGGGCTACTTCAAACTTTGAGCTCATCAAGTTCATATAACTGCGAAACGTTTTGGTCACAATTTTTTAATAAGAAAACAAGCTTAAGACTGTTCAAGGATACCAGATAAAACACAAGGTTTGCGGAAAGATTTGGAGTAAGAAGCGAAACGGGTGAACTTTTGGAGCGAAACGGAAGGCGTTTCTAGTTTTCCAAATGGCTCTGAGGTGGAAAAGGGGATTTGCGAAAGGAATTGGTGATTTTTTGGAATGTTGTTTGGAGTCTTTGCGAGGCAGGTTTCAGACGGAACGCTGTCATGGTGATTGGCAGTGACGGGTCCCGCCCACCTGGCCAATGGAAAATCCTGAAGAGAAGGGGGAGGGGTCTGCAGGGTCCTTTAGATGTCCATTTTAGACAACTGCTCCTCCAGCTTGCCGATTCTCTTTTCCTGACTGCTGACCAGCTCTCGGAGAGATTTGATTTCTTTCAAAACCTCCTCCAGCTTAGCTTCGCTTTTCTGTTGAGAAATGGGAAAAACAATGAAAAGATAAATGTTTAATGCAATCGTCTCTGAAAGAAGAGAGAGAGAGAGAGAGAGAGAGAGAGAGAGAGAGAAAATATATATATATATATATATATATATATATATATATATATATATATATATATATATATATATATATATATATATATATATATATATATATATATTATTATTAACAACCAGGTTATATTTAGTCATTCCATTCCATTTGATCCAACAGTAGACGTACACACAGACCTAATATCATTATTGTTGTTTTACCATATGCACAATAATAATAGACTACTCATATTAACTTTTGTATAACATCTAAAGAATCGTGAGAAAAATCACGATCTCGATTTTAAGCAAAAAAAAAAAAGAAAATCGTGATTTTAGCCTAATTACAACCACCTAGTTCTCCCAATTCTGTTCTTTAAAATCATTTAAAATCTCATTAAAATATTAAAAATTGAAAGGACTGGAAATGCAAACTAGATTGGATGGCGAATTTAAATTTTGGTTTATTTAACCCATCAAACATTTTTTATTTAAAGGGAAAAATTAATGATGCACATGTTTGTATTGGCTGATTAATTCTAAAGTTTAAAGTCAAATCAAATAAACCATTAGTCAATAAACTCTGAATTATTTCTGCAACTTGATTCACTGAAACTGGGAATGTGGTAGTTTTTCCACAGAAAAAGAAAAATAATAAATTTTATTGAAAAAAAGTTATAGAATAATCTATTTACTTTGTTTTCTGCAGTTGAAGTTTAAAATTAAACCCGGGTGTTCACAATATTTGCAATTTACTTTTATACTCAAGCTCAAAAAAATTCCTATAAATTCCCTGTATCAGCCAGAAATTTCACATGGCTACTGTTATTGAACAGAATTGTGTCCACAGTGTGTTCAAACCACAGGCCCCGCCCACGGACACACATCCACCCTCTCACAGGTGAAATAATCTGCCTATTAGTTAGCTCCTCCCCTTGAGTGGGCTTTTTACATTGACAATTGTCAAGACAAAACTCATACTTAATGAAATCAGCTAATCCAAAGACTCTGTTTTATTATTTACTATTTAGTTTTAGCCATTTTAGTATTTATTTGGCAAGGCAATACTTCCAATTTTCACCTTGAAGTTTTTCTAAGTTTAATGGTTTTATGTACAATTTAGATTTTATTTTAGCTTTCTTTCAATGCACAAACCTTTTTTTAGTTAGCGATCGCAATGCTACATGTGCAAATAATTAAGTCTCAGAATTGTAGGGAAGTGTAAAGGTGTGATTATAACAGTGGAGTGTGTTCAGGGCAGTGCTCTGACTCCAGGCAGTGATTACAGCATGAGCTGCTTTAATGGGCAAACACATGTGCGGCTGCTGCTGTCATGTGGTTGGGTTGGGTCTGCTGTACAACATCCTCAAAACTTTCAAAACAGCATTTATGAGCCAAAAAGAGAAGCTGGCCTTCAACAATACAACAATTTATCTGATTGGGAGTCAAAACTGCAACTGAAACAGTGTAAATCTGTGTTCATTATGCACTACTGGTCAAAACGTTAGAGATAAGTACGTTTTTACAAAAGCCTATTATAAAAGCCTATTCTGATCATTAAGACAGCAATAATTCGACTGAAAACTGTGAAATATTATTACAGTAATTTTGTTTTAAAACAGAAGTATAAAATTTAATGCATTCCTCATAAAAGGCTGAATTTTCACCATTATTACATGATATTTTAGAAATCAGTTATAAAGAATTATAGGCACTTGATCATTAATAAAACTTAAAAATGTTAAACTTTTTTTCCTGCTTAATAGTTTTGTGAAAACTTTAATTCTAATATTAACTCTAAAATAACATGCCCTCAAAAAACTCATTCTAATTATAGTAAATGGTTTCTTGAGCAGCAGATTGCACCATATTGGAATGATTTCTGAAGAATCAGGTGACACTGAAAACTAAGAAAAGCATAAACGCATTTAAATCATGGGAAGTATTTAAATGTTAAACTATATTCAACAAGAAACAATATACAATTTTAATTGTAATCTTTCACAGCCATATAGTTTAACCTGTACTTCTGATGTTTTTTTTTTTTTTTAAACATTACAAAAACTTGTCATATTTTATTTTAAGGTGTCCTTGTTACAGTCTACCTATTCATTTAACTATGGAAAAACAGTAATTGATCACATGCACTTATGGTTATAGAATGTGGTTTAGGTTTAGTGTAAGTAGAATATACAGTAATTATATATAATTAATTGTAATTACTACACATGCAACAAAAGTTACCCGAAAATCTTACTGATCCCAAACTGAGACTGGTGGATTACAATTATGAAGACATATCATGCAGACAATGGAGATTGTGTAGAACTTGGTAATAAAAGAATACAGTTTGCAGAAAAAGTGCAACCCAGGCTCATTATGGATGTGTACTCCTGTAAACATTTCTGGGGAGTAGGAAATACGTCCCAGGAGGTACATTTTTTTGCGGTTTTTGTGAATCCACATGCTGCTGTGTACACGTTGAGATCTCAAATTCCTTATGCGAGTGCTATTCGCACCTGATGTTCATGTGTAAATCCACCAGAGGCCGCTGTCGACTGACTGACTTACTGTCCGACCGAGCAATCGATCCCTCCACTCACCCCCTTTCCTAAACCCAACCAACAGTGTTTTCAAAAGCAGCAATTGACCGGATCACCCCTACCCTAAACCAAGGTTAAAATTATTTTAAATTTTTCATTTGTTTTAGTTTTTATTTCGTTTTGACTTTTTGTTTTCAATTTCAGTCAGTTTTAATTTGTTTTAGGAGGTAGATTTACTGGGTTTTTATTAGTTTCTATATTTTGAAATTGCTTTGTTTTAGTTAAGTTTTTTATTAATTTTAGGTTTAGTTTTTTCTAAATAAGGATATTTGTTAAGTGCAGGTTTGAAAATCATCAGAATAAATATTGAATAATAAAATCATAACCAAAGATAAAATTTTTACAGATTTATTCAGAGGACACATGACCACTACCATCTGCTACTAATATCTACCCATCCTTAAAATCAAATACAACAGCCCACAAGATAGCAGCCCTAAGAAAAATATGTGTGCAAGGCTGCTTCTTTGGTTGGACACACAGTAGTGATAAGAAGTTCAGATCTTTAACGCAAACCAGATTTTTTGTGACAATCCTCCTATGTTTGAACTAAACATACATGATATGTAGTCAGCAATCATAATTTCAGTCAGAATAACCAAATTGTTTTATTTCGAGTCAGATGGGGTATCAGGCCTGTTAAATAGTAAGTAGTTTGTAGATCAGAGTGCTTACGCTTACGCTAATCGATTCAAATGATTCAGTTCAATTTGGCGAACTAGTTCAACTGGTTTACTTAGAAGATCCGGCTCAAAGAATGATTCGTTCGAGATCAGGATCATTAATACAGAAGTAGAACCCAGTATTGGGCACAAATGTGTTAAATGAATACTTTTAAGTCTCTGCTCGTGTCATATTTAATGCTGTCGCCGTGCTGCTGTCATGTTCACTTGTATTGTCGCGGGAAAAACAGCGAGAACTGACTAGAGGAGAACCAGATGATCTGGCCAATGTCAGCAAGTTTACAGACTGTGAGGTGCCGTACAGGTCAAACACCTGCAGAGCGAAGTAAATAGATCTACTTCTAAAAGGCTAACAGTATGTATTAAATTCATTTAGAATAGAGATTCAGAGATGATACTGAAGGACTTTTTTTTGCTAATATTTTAGTTTGTTTCAGTTTTTTATGTACACAATACAGTTTCAGTTAGTTCTAGTTTTCTACTTCAGTTAACAAAAATGATTTTCAATTTTAGTTTTCGTTTTTTACATTCGTTTTTTATAACTGTAATAACTTTGCCGTAACATCAACGGACAGTGTTTTTAAAAAGCAATCAAAAGAAAAGGAATAGCTGCCTGATTTTTCCCCACGTTTTCTGATTTTACCACATTTTTACCCTGTTTTTTACTTGTTTCTTTTAGTTTTTGTCTTTTGCTTTACTTGTTTTCTGGAACCATTCTCTGCCGAACTCTAACCCTGTCATCGCAGTCAACTTTGCTCTGTATCTCAAGTCCACAACGTACGTTGAAAGTCACTGGGCAAACTGATAACAGCGGAAAAGCCGTCCATATGGAGGTAAGCTGTCAGCTGGTAGCGTGAAAACAAACAGAAGCTGTCAGCGATGCCATACTGTCCCATAGCGTTTGTTTGAAAGAAGAAATGCAGCTATGCGTACCTCTGCCTACAAAATTTCTGCTCTCCAGAAATGTATACGGGGGTACATATTCACAATGAGCCAGTGTTGAAAAAGTGCATATAAAAAGACTAGTAATACTGAACTCACAATAGATGGTGTGGAGGTGGCAGTCTTGTGGGCAGGAGTGGTGTTCTCCGTGTTCTTGCTCATCTTGTTGTCTAGGATGTTCTTCTTGACTACTTTGAGGTCGCGGTTCTTCCCTGGGATGTATCCGTGCTTCAGGGATATCAGGACCGGGTCTCCATTCTTCCCTTCAAACCATTCCTCAGCCTCCAGAGGGGCATCAGGACCTGCCGTGTCTGGGTAAAGATCATCCTGGAACAAGTCCGACTGATGCAAGAAAGAACGGAATTAGTTGAGAAGATTTAGAGGATCATGCAAGATACACAGATGCAGATGTCGAGTACAAACATCAAAACAATAAAAGTGTAATACTTGTTAGATTTAGATCATGCTTTTTTTCTCTATGTTAGGAAAATGATAACAATTTTTTACCATGCGTTACCACAAAAATTTTACTGGGTGTAACAATAGCACTCCAAAATACTTTGTCAGGCATATTTAGAATAAGACCCACTTAATAACATATAAAAACATATATAGATTAACCAAAAAATGTCACCTAAAAATAATAATGAGTGTAAGCAAAATTAATATTTAAAATGTTGATTCCACGTGGACTTCAACTACGCTTTAAGATCAAATATTATGATGTGAGACCTGCGGTGGAGGAGTAGCACTGAATAAACCAAACCCAGTGTAAACCAACCAGACCGAGTTTCAAAATGGTCTGGTTGACTAATCGAACAGATCTTGAATGATGCCAGTAAACAAAAGCCAAAAGTAAGAGGATGTTGTGGCTGTGAATACACAGACCAACCCTCGGGGCTGCTGTACTCAAGATAAATGATAAAACCAATCAAAAGGCTCACTTTTCTTGGCACGGTCATGATGATAGGCTCACACTTTCTCTCATGCAGTTTGTAAAACCTGAGAACACAACACACACACACACACAAGCATACAAGTCTATTAGAACAAGCAGATGTTAGTTTAGGAATCATTCGGCAGGTTAAGACACAATGGAAACATAGAGAAAAAACAACAATGTATAAAAATATCACACCAAACTATCCTGCATGAGTGTTGGAGAACCCTAAAACTGAATCTCTAATCATGCAACATTCTCTTAAATCAAGGATTCAGGAGGCCTTAGTCAATCAGGTGTATTGCTGCCCTCTATTGGGTAGTCTACACAGACAAAACTCACGACAGCTTTATTGACCAAGAGCGAGCCACGCAGATGTCATATGACGAACATGTAAAGCAAGCTTTTTTTTCAACTGCGTCATGTTTAAGGATGTGAAAACGTTACACTAATGTCACTACAATAACAGACTAGAGTTAATTGAAAATGCCAGCATTTTTTAAAGCAGTCTCTGCCAAAATAAATAAATTGTTTGGTTGATTATGATAAATGTTGGTTGTAAATATGGCAGCTTATGATTCATCCAATCAGAAGACCACTTATTGTGTGGCGTATGCATCATAGGCTGTTTGTGACATCTGAAACCTCAGACTATCTTGCCTTTTATAACTTTACATTGAAAATGTAATGTGTATTTGCAACGCTCAGCATAGAGTAAAGCCCATTTTAAAAATTAATATTTTGAGAAATTTCCTTTTCTCAGTGAATATAGACAATGCATCTTGGTGCATTTAAACAAAACAGATTTATTAAACAGATATATTTATTAAAATAATAGTTTAGTCACCAAACATGTATAGAAATTGAAAGATAATACAATTAAATATAAGCAAAATATTGCAAAAAAAAAAAAACTTTCAACAAAATTAAATTTTTTCCACTTCTCTTGATTATTCATCTTTTTAAAATGTGTATTTAATATCTTTCTATAACATAAATATGGGTGTACTAGTTTTAGGACCATTATTGTATTTTAAGTTTGATTAGATTAGCTCCAGATTTGGCTTCAGTACTGACTAATCTAATGTATTTGGACAAATATAATATTGTATCGCTTCCTATCAAAAATATGAATTTAAAATGTAGATTTATGAGGGGTGTAGTCATATATGCTGAGCACTGCATATAGCGCATTTACCATGTATGCTCATACACCCAAAGCGCTACACAATCATGAGTGGTCATCCACTTGTTCCAAACAAGTTTAGGTTTCTATCTTCTGTTAAACACAAAGTATTTTGACGAACACTGGGAAAAAGCAGCCATTGAAATCCATAATATCTTTTTTTTCCCTACTATGGATGTCAATGGCTGCTTTTTCTTTTGAAAATTCCTCAGTATATCTTGTTATTAATTAAAAAAAAAATGATTCCATAAGTTTAAAACCACTTGAGTTTGAGGAAATTGTTTGAAGGAAGGAAAGTTTTGGGATGAGCTAATTTCATGAGTTGTTTGTAGGAAATTTTTGTGATGAACCATGCCTTTAAATGAAAACAGAACATATAAAAAGAATGAAAAAACTGAGCATGCTAATTTCATTAAGAAACATCCAGGTCATTTCACCCTAAATAATTTTTAAAAAGATATAACTTTTTTTTTTCGTTTCAGTTGGTCATTGTCATTAATATTAGAAGGAGAGGTGAATTGGTGTACACGTCATTCCAGAAATGTCCTTAGCCCAACAACAAAAAACAAAACCTATATTTTACGTTCCCTCGCTAGTATTCAGAAAAGATTGTAGAAGTAAATATATTATTTATAAACACAGAAATTACAGTGCCAGTATTTATAAACAAGTTTATTTATAAATGGCAAGCCTAAAAAATTTATTCATTTATATATTTAATATCTTTCGGCAGGAATCAAAATATGCCACAGCCATATCACCCTGCAGCCCAAGACTGGTTACTCAATGAAGCTAAGCAGGGCTGAGCTTGGTCAGTACCTGAACGGGAGACCTATTGGGAAAGCTAGGTTGCTGTTGGAAGTGGTGTTAGAGAGGTCAGCAGGGGGTGCTCAACCTGCGGTCTGTGTGACTCCTAATGCCCCAGTAAAAAGTGAAGGGGACACTATACACTTAGTAGGTGCTGTCTTTGGAATGAGACGTTAAACAGAGGTACTGACTCTCTGTGGTCATTATAAATCCCATGGTACTTCTTGTAAAAGAGTAGGGTGTAACCCCGGTGTCCAGGCCAAATTCCCTCTATCGGCCCTTACGATCATAGCCTCCCAATCATCCCCATCCACTGAATTGGCTCTATCACTGTCTCTCCATTCCACCAATAGCTGGTGTGTGGTGAGCACACTGGCTATGTTGTCCTGTGGCTGCCATAGCATCATCCAAGTGGATACTGCACACTGGTGGTGGTTTGGAGACACCCCTCCCCCATTACATTACATTACTAAAATACACATTATAGTGTAAAAGCATGTTTATTACTACGAAAACCAAAACAACCAAACAAAATTAGATTTTAATTAAATGCATCACATCACATAAGGTACTGTACACATACACTACCATCCTATCTAGTATTGTGAAAAGGCAAAGCTGAAATCTTTGGTTAAAGCGCCACCCGGCGGTCAGAAGCTGCGGGCGCACTTAATACTGTTGTGGCGACAGCAAGCACGGCAGCAGAGGCAACATATTGAAGTGGTGACATCTGTACAGTCCATAAACCGCAGCACATTTCACATGATAAATAAACATGACTTGTATCTTAGTAAGTACAGTACATCAATAAAACTAATTGAAATTCTTTTTATAAAGATAGTTTTAAGCTGAATTCTGATTCTAGACATGTTTCTCATACGTGCATAAATACATATTGTGTAGTAATCAAAGTTACCTTGCGATCTCGCACTTGTTGACATCCAGACCTCTCTTAGGCATGTACCCCATGCCCCTCTGAGGCTCCTTAGTGGTAAAGGTGTTGAGGTAATGGACAAACGGAGCTTCATCTGTGATCTCAAAGTAACGAATACTGCTGTCACCCTGTTAGAGAAGAGAAAAAAACAGAGTCAGAGACTAAACAACTAATCCTACTACCACAACACACTGTCTGAAATAAAAATATTCAAGTTTAACAGTTTGGGGTCAGTCTGATATTTTAATGGGCTTACAAGAATAGTCTTTTATGCTCACCAATGATGCATTTAATAAGCTCAATAATACAGCACAATCTTAATATTGTAAATTATTAAGATATAAAATAACCGTTTTCAATTTTAATGTTTTAATCACTTAATTATTTATTTATTTCCTTTATTTAGCCAGGAGATCACATTGAGACAGTACTGTCTCTTCTTCCAGTGAGACCTGGTCAAGATGGCAGGCAGCACATAAAATTTCATATAAAAATCACAAACAATACCACAAAATTAATGACTTTAGTCTTATGCTGTGTTCACACCAGACGCGGAACGAGCGCATAAATCACACTATTCGTGTGTAAATTGCTGCGTGAACATTTGAGTTTACTCACTTCATTCGCACGTCTAGCCCCGCTTCATTCGCGCATCAAATTCACTTCAGAACAGACGCAGATTCGTGTGATGGGCAGGGCTTCTGTCTGTCCCGTGACTCTAGCTTCATAGCTAAAGGGCTAACTTGGATTTTATGAAGAAAATAACAGTGTTTATGAAGGATGATAAACAGCGTCGATACTTTTAGGGTCGTGTCTGAGTCCACTACATCCTTTCAGAGGTGCATCCAGCTCTTTAAGCTCATAAACTCCTCCAGAAACTGGACCTGGCTGATGGAGGTTTTCAGCGGTGCTTCTGACAGAGCCCAGCCCAGTTTGATGAACTTCTTGTCGGTATCTGCTGGGGAATTTCCCCTGAGACACTGACAACAGGCGATACGTCACAATCACGACTCCACAAGAGCAAGCTCCTGATTGGTTAACACGGCGCGAATGTCCGCTGAAGTTCAGATTTTCGAACTCGAGTGATTCACGTGAAACGCGCATTAAGCACGTCAAACGCGCAAAACACTCAACTCGCGCCACGCCATTCGTGCAATTCACGTCATTTGCGCCGCAGGATGTCTATTCGCGCGTTTGCATTGACTTAACATGTGAATCACTCGCGCTTGACGCGCGTTCCGCGTTAGGTGTGAACGCAGCATTAAAGGTCCCGTGAAAGGCTTTGAAAGCAAATTTTCTATTCAATGTTTGACAATCTCAACAGAAAAATTAGGAAAGCCCTTTAAAGATGGAATTACCTCAAGGGTCATAATCCAATAGAACTAGTTACTATAAGCTACTATAGTAACTAAATGCAGTAGTATATAGTAACTATAAACAACTATTTTTTTCTTTTCAGCAGGTTATGGATATGGTGATTCTTATGGTTTAATAAAAACAAATAGATTTTTGGAAATCACCAGGCGACCCCCCTTCATTATCCCGCGACCCCTCGGGGGTCCCGACCCCCACTTTGAGAACCACTGGTCTACAGAACAAACCACTGTTATACAATAACTTGCCTAATTACCCTTACCTGCCTAGTTAACATAATTAACCTAGTTAAGCCTTTAAATGTCACTTTAAGCTGTATAGAAGTGTCTTGAAAATTATCTAGTCAAATATTCGTTACTGTCATCAAGGCAAAGATAAAATAAATCAGTTATTAGAAGCGAGTTATTAAAATGACTATGTTTAGAAATGTGTTGAAAAAATCTGCTCTCCGTTAAACAGTAATCGGGGGGGGAAAAACAAACTAAAAGAGTTTAATGATTCGGACTTCAACTGTATATAAATTATCCTTGCCCAATTAAAGAAATCACACCTCAGTCAAAACTTTGGAATAGTAACTGTGTGTGTAGCGCTTACCTTTCCACACAGGTAGACCACATTAGTATCGGGATCATAGAAGGGCAGGAGGACTCCGTTACTGGTGTCCATCTCGTGGACAGCAACAGGCTCATCAATGTTCTCCTGAAACACAAATAGAGCAAACACATGATCAATTTAACAAGCCAATCTCAAAAACTGCACCTTCATTCAGAAAGCTTAATCGGAAAAAGAACAGACGCATTTTGGTGTGTATTAAGTCATGAGTAGCTGTTGAACAATTTAATTTAGTCTGCGGTTTCCATGGTAACTCACTGGGTCCCATAGGGCGAGTTGTCTCTCACTCATGCGGCTGAAGCCAGTGGTGAACACTTTGCCATCAGACAGGAAAATGGCTCTCATGGGTCTCGCTCCCTCATGGGCCTTGTCCTTCTCCTGTCAGAAACACACACAGACATGCATCAAAACAATGCTCACATTTACCAAAAACTGACTGTCCAAATCACTTTAGAGCACCTCAACTGAGAGAAACATGTCAGCTATTAGGAAGCTATTATACTGTATCAGGGTTTCTGCAGGCTTTTCAAGTCAATTTTAAGACCCTTTTGAAATAACTATGATTGAAATTTTAGACTTGTAGAGGGCTTAACATTAAGGTTTTTTTCTAATGGCCCGGTTACTTCTGTAAATAGTATTTGTATTAACAGAAGATCATGTAAAGCAGAGATGTCAAACTCAATTCCTGGAGGTCAGCAGCCCTGCACAGTTAAGTTCCAACTCCTTATTAAACACACCCGATTGAACTAATTGAGTGCTTTAGGCTTGTTTGAAATTACAGGCAACTGTGTTGGAGCAGGGTTGGAACTTAACTGTGCAGGGCTACAGCCCTCCAGGAATTGAGTTTGACATCCCTGATGTAAAGGGATGTGTTGCTTTAGTTGTCTTTTCCTGATTAGGGAATTTAAGTTGAAGAATTTTTTTCTAAAAATGTCTAACAGCTGTTGTGAATTGACTCTCTTTGTAATAAAAACCGTATGTATATTAAACATGTTTTAAATGGATTATTGGTGATTGGGTCTCAGCCCTATTGGGTAGCTTTACTTAGACACAGATAAATTAAGACTAGTCTAAAATTATTTAAGACCTACAAAATATTTTGGTAAATTTAAGACTAATTAATGGTCGAAAATTTTGTTTTTGCAATTTAAAACATTTAAGACCCCGCAGACATCCTGTATATTGACAGGACAGTTCAACTACACAAAATAGATCCATAAATTTGCAATGTTCTGATATTTTGTTATTCATGTTTTTATTTTTGTTATTTTTCTTTGTTTATTTAATAGTTTAAATTCCAGCTATTAAATTATGGAATAATGGAATCTTGATCTTTTTTTAACAACTTTTAACCTCCAAAAGATAAAAATAAAAACTGACTTTTAATAACATTCTTTACAGTTTGTCTGTTTGTTGTTGTATATTACAGTACAAAAACCTTGTAATAAAATGCCAGTATATGCTTTATTAATTTTACAGACTTATTTCTCTATATATTACTTATTATGCATTATATTATTTCAAACTACTAAAATGTCAATAAACTCACTTTGTTAAACTGTAATTTTTTTTTAAACATCAAAAGTCGACAAAGCAGAGATTAAGCTCCCATAATAAAATTCACACCCGTAAATAAACAGAAACCACTTGTGAAGCAGAAAAAACAGGAACTGTTAATTAACAGACATATTTTATAGTGTAGTGAAGTGGGATATTTGTCGTTTATGATAATATCAGGATTGTGAAAGGTTTTGGATGTTACACTGTGGCGTCCAAAAATTGCTTGAATGTCAGTTTGATTGACAAAAGGTTTGATTTTATTAAATTGTTAGGTCACACTTTATTTTGATGTCCGTTTGTTAAATTTAAGTTACACTGCATCTACATGCCAACTAATTCTCATTAGATTATCAGTAGACTGTTCGGTTGTGGTTAGGGTTAGAGTAAGTTGACATGTACTTGACAAGTTTCTTATAGTCAGTTAAATGTCTGTTGAAGGAGCAGAATCAGCAGATATTAAGCAGACAGTCTACTAATACTGGACAATCAGAATTGTTATTCTGTAACATCCTTTCTATAATATCTAATATCAAAAATCACTTGTTTGGTGAAGAAAAATAGTGATTTATAGGAGCATAGTGCTTTTCTAATAGCTGGAGGAGGTGAAAGATAAAAATTAAAAGAATAATACAACATGGCCATTGCTTTCTGGCTTTTTACCATACAAAGACATTTCAATACAAAAAAAGAAAAAAAAGAAAAACTGAATAAAAACTTAAGTAAATGTAATCATTTACTTAAACCTGAATCGTTCCAAACCAAGTTTAGTTTCTTTCTTCTGCTGAACATATAGGATAGGAAGATATTTTTGGAAACCTGTAACCATTGACTTCCATATTATTATAATTTTTTATATACTATGGAAGTTAGTGGTTACAGGTTTCCAGCTTTCTTCAAAATATAAATTCCTTTGTGCTCAACGGAGGAAAGAAACTCAAACAGGTTTGGAACAATTCAAGGGTGAGTAAATGATTACAGAATTTTCATGTTTGGGTGAACTATACCTTTAATGCAAGTTATCCCCATCCATTCTAAACTATGGAAGTTGTTTTATTTGAATACAATGTTATTGTGAGAAGGTGCAGCACAAATCTAAAAACGCTGCTCACTTAAATGCTCGTACTCTACTCAATCAGCTCAATCCGGGTAACGTCAGTGCCCTAAACTATATTATAATGGACTATTTCATATAGATCAAGATTCAGATGATGGAGAAGTTTATGATGGAGGAGTCTGATTAGGATGGTTGGTCATAATACAGTAAATCACATTATATGAGGGTGAGTAAGACAAAAAGCGACAAGTTAAATTTATTTATTTTTTTAAAGGAAGTAAACTTGGAACTTAATTTAATTTTTATAATTGTGCACATACAGTAGTTCTTTTACTTAACATCTTTAATCATTTTATAAAAAAAAATAAAACAAATGGATTCATATAGTACATGTACAGATACTAGAGATACTAAAATACGTCTTTAAACACAGTGAAATGTCAGAAATTTTTTTTAGAAAATCTCACTGATCAGCTCTCTTCAGTTAACCATAATATTTGCTACTGAAAAGCTGTATGAAAAATTGCTAGGATTTTGGTATTGCTAATTATTAAATTATTTCTTTTTAAGCCTGCACAATAGATTGTTTCAGCGTCAATATCGCAATGTGTGTATCCACATTAGTCAAATCTCAATACATGCAATGTTGATTCTGACGCAGTGGCGCAGTAGGTAGTGCTGTAGGTAGAAGGTTGCTGGTTGGAGTCTCGGCTGGGTCAGTTGGTATTTCTGTGTGGAGTTTGCATGTTCTCCCTGCGTTCCCCGTGGGTTTCCTCCTGATGCTCCCATTTCCCCCACAGTCCAAAGAGGTGGTACGTGTGAATTGGGTAGGCTAAATTGTCTGTAGTGTATTTGTGTGAATGAGTGTGTAAGGATGAGTTGCAGCTGGAAGGGCATCTGCTGCGTAAAACATGTGCTGGATAAGTTAGCGGTTCATTTCGCTGCGGCGACCCCAGAATAATAAAGGGACTAAGCCGACAAAAAAAAAAAAAAAAAACATTATTAGAATTTTCATCGTGTTTTTTTGTTTTTGTTTAAATGTATACATTCCTACAAATCTACAAACAAGATTATTTTTACTTACCCCACTAGTAGATAACATACTGTAGCTTGTTTTAAGGTAAAACTCCTAATGCCTAGTTCAGACTGTGTGATTTTATTCCCGATTTTGGCTCGCCGACAGGTTTTGAGAAATCGCCGACAAATGCCTGAAATCACAGGCAAATCGGTGCCCGTGCACGTGAGTGACAATCACAAACGCGATCTGAGAGAATCGCAGATGAGTCGCCGATGCCTGTGAGATATTTGACGTGCTAAATATCTGGAGCTGTCGGCGATTCAAATCATACCGTGTGAAATTTGTTCAGTGTTTTGACTGAAAATAACATCGGCGATCGCCTACAGATAGCGACCAAACGCCAGCCCAGATAGTCATGCAGTGTGAAAACGACTACTGTGAAAATCATGCAGTCTAAACTCGGCATAACTTTGACTTAATTCTTCTGAAGTTGAAATTAAAACAATATTTTGACTTGATCTAAGAATTGTTAGATATGGACTAGAAATGAGACAAGGTAATGTAAGAAAAGCATTTTTTTGGATTGCAATTATTTAATTTCTGTACCTGGATACTGTAAGGCTCCTCAGAAAACCATCAAATAGTGCTATTCAAGATATCGTGTGAAACTGTACATCATTTCACATTAAAAAATAGCGAAATATCAGAATTTTCCAATATTGTGTAAAGCAATATTTTACATTTTGTGATGGGCCTTTATAGCACACATGACATAAATGTAAGAATATTCTCACCGCGATGATTTCCTCCTTGCGCGGGTCGATGACGCGGATCTTCTTGTCCTTGCAGGCGGTGCAGATGAGGCTGCCGTTGCGGTTCCAGCAGATGCTGTAGATGATGTCCGGATGATGGTCCTCCAGAGTGATCATAGACTCCCCCGTCCCCACGTTCCAGATGATGATCATATTATCACAGCCTGAGTGGGAAAAAAAAATAAAATAATAAATCACCATGTCTGAAGTCTATGACACAGATACTGGAGCAGTCTTTTATCTATTTAGGCTGACTGATTCATTGATCAGAGCATCTGGATGAGTGCCGAAAAAGACCAATAATATATCATACTGAGATTTGCAAAAAATAATTTAAATATCTGTTTAATTGTATGTATGTATGTATATATATATATATATATATATATATATATATATATATATATATATATATATATATATATATATATATATATACACTTTTTTTTTCTCAGAGTATTCTTGATTCTCTAAAGAGATTGCCTAAAGAGATGTTAAATCATTTACCGTACAGTCATTCTTTACTATATATATATATTTTTTTTTTTATATTCTATACTATATTTTGTATTCTCTGTCAAATTATATGCTAACCAAAACTGGCCTTTGAGGAGATATATTCTGCATACTAATAAGGCATTTTGCAGAAAGGGCTCTCATGGACAAGAAATATGCAGCAGAAACAATTAAAATAACATTTGTCTTTCGCTTCTGACTTCCTGTGTAACCATTTATAAAAACATATTGGAGCCTTAGAAGGTCTCTAAGCATGTGCATTTAACTGGTTCAGTTCTTCTGTGGAGAAAAGGGGAACTACAGACGGTGCAGAAAAGCGAACGAAGACAACCCGCCTTCTTCTTCTGTGAATATAAACTTGGTGTTTAGTCCTAAGAAACACTCAGAGAGCCTGATGTGTTTTCTTGGATAGCATTGTATAACCAATAGGACACATTTGGGTGACCCAGGGCCCTAATCGAATTATTCATTTGTACTTAATAAATTACTAATATTTTTTAATTCTATTTCTGCCTCCTGAGTTTGTATTGAACTCGCATGGAATAATAGAACACTTATACCAACAATTGTCAAAGTTCAGTCTTTTCTATCCTGTCAAATGTTGAAATTCATTTGTTTAGTGAATAAAATAACGATTTATAGAGGCAAGCTAAAAACTATCATGTCTAAAATCTATATCACAGATACTGAGCAGTTTTTATCTATTTAAGTTTTTTTTTGATAGGCATTGATTAGGGCATCTATTCTAGATGATTGCCGAAACCTTTCATACCTGCACTGAGGAGGACGTTGCGTGCAGTAGGATGCCAGGTAACAACTCCCACTCTTTTTGAATGACCCTCCAGAACCACCACTGGCTCTGACATGGAAGTCACCAACCCGTTCTCTGGGATCTGCCACACCTGACAACAACAATTAACACATCTTAATTTTTACCCCTTGTAATTTGTTGTAATTAAGTGATGTGGTGTGTATTGTTAACTATGGTTGTTATTTGAGTTGCCAGAAATGCAAATATTATTATTGTCATTAGTATTAGTATTATTATCAATGACAATTATTATTATTATTATTACTACTACTAGTAGTAGTAGTAGTAGTAGTAGTAGTATCAATATTAATAAAAAAATAATAATAAACAACAACAATATTAATAACAAGTAAATAAAGAAATAAATAAATAATTGTTAAGTTATTTTAAAATAATAAAATAGTTATTATAATATTATTATTATTGTTATCATCATCATCATCATCATCATCAATATTAAATTTTTATCATTAGTAATAATAATAATAAGTAAATGAATAATAAAAACAAATATATATATACTAAGTTATTTATATTTATTATTTATTATTAATAACTATTATTATTATCATTAATAATAATAATTAGTATTATTATTATTATGACAAGAAAAATAAAAATCATTTTTATAAATAAAAATAGGCATTATTATTATTTTTATTTAATGCAATTACTTTGTAATCCCTTTGTAATCCCAACGCTCGCACGCACGCACGCACGCACGCACACACACACACACACACTAAATCAGCACTGTATCACAAGAGCGGTTATCAATTGCATTATGATCCCAAAATCTGATGAAAAAAAACATCAAGTTGGACATTTATAATAATCACGAAGCTCCAGAAGGTGGCAGCAGAGGACAAATAAAGCAGCGATTTATCACTCAGCAAGAAAACAAGAAACACAAAGTATAGTGTTGTACATTTAGCTTTATATAGTAGAAACACTGTACTCTCATGTGATTTAGAACTTCTTAGAGCCTCTCTTTGACTTCAACTCTTCCTCTACGTGTTCATTTTCAGCATTTATTCAACAGCTCTTTGAAATAATTCATTACGATAGGACAATTACTGCATGAAGTCGTCTTAATTCTGTATTTATCAACATCAATATCATCATCACAATCATAACCGATGAAAATACCTCCAGCACCTTTTAGCCAAAAATAAAAATTCTATCTTTATATAGTCATCTTCAAATGGTGACAAACCAAATCAGAGTATTTTTTTCCTTCTTCTGAACAAAAAAGATGATATTATTACAAATATTTGATATCGGTAGCCATTGACTGCCATATAATAGTAGTTTTTATTTATTTTTTACCTACTATGTCCTATCATTAACGAACATTCTTCATAATGTCACATTTTGTGTTCTATATAAGTAAGGGTAACACTTTACCTTAAAATGTTGTATTGTATAATGTTAGGTAATTTATTTACTAACATTGATTTTTTTGTGACCGAGAAAGAAAATTAAAATTGAGTGCATTTTCCTTTTGGATGGATGATCAATGATTATACTTCAAATGTTATAAACCTGAGAGGGAAGAATGACAGACTGTACCGTGCAACTCAACATTACACACTGCTGTTTTTCTATTCTATGGCCAAATAAGGGCTAACAGAGTGATAAATGGATGGAGAGCCAACAAGACTGACCTCACAACTATAAAATAGTAACCGCAGATTCAATGACTTCAGGCTGGGCTTAAACTAATGTAAAACAGTGGAGAAGAGCAGGCCTCCAGATTTGCTGTGTTCACATGACAGAATCTATTAAAGAAATCTCAAATCCAAACATCAATAAACAAGCTTCAGAATGACCGCAGGGGTTGCAGAACACATCAAAAATACAGCACAATAACGTTGTCTGGTTTATTGCAGGACAAAATGAAAACATCCTGAGCTGCACAGTAACGTGAGAGTAACAGAACAACTGAGGCAGAGTAACATGTAAAAGCAAAGGTGTTATTTAGGAAGTTGGATTTCATTCTCAATTATAACATGCTATACTGAATAGAATACTTAGATTTCCTTTAACAAATAAATTTAGTTTAAAAATATGCATTACATTTTACAAAAAACATTTTATAATATTTTAAAGTATTCATATTTTAATATTCATCTATTACTATATACTGTAGGTATTACTTTATTTATAAAAGAAAGCTGTTTTCTACATCTAACCATTACCCCATCCACCTACCCATCAATCCATCCACCCATTCATCCACCTATCCATTCATCAATCCATCCACCTACCTATCCATCCACCCACTCATCCACCTACCTATCCATCCATCCAACCCACCTACCTATCCATCCATCCATCCATCCATCCATCCACCTACCTATCCATCCATCCATCCATCCAATCCACCTACCTATCCATCCATCCATCCATCCATCCACCTATCCAACCATCCACCTACCTATCCATCCATCCATCCATCCATCCATCCATCCATCCATCCATCCATCCATCCATCCATCCATCCATCCACCTATCTATAGATCCATCCATCCATCCATCCATCCATCCATCCATCCATCCAGACCCATCCAACCACCTACCTATTCATCCATCCACCTACATATGTATAAATCCATTCATCCATCCACCTATCCATCCATCCATCCATCCATCCAACAAACCATACATCCACCTACCCAGACATCCACACACCCACCCATCTACCTATCCATCCATCCGCTTATCCATACATGCATCCATCCACCTACCTACCTATCCATCCATCTACCCATCCATCCATCCATCCATCCATCCATCAAACCATCCTTTTACCCATACAGCCACACACCCATCCATCTTAATAGAAGATAACCAAATCAAACCATTTTAGAGGACTAACTTAAACAGATTAATTATTCACCTTCAGGATAACGATGTGAGCTAGCAAAATCAACATTGTAAATTTTTATTTCAAGCAGACTTTAAAATACTATTATATCAAACACTATAATTATTCTCTCTATTTTTATTAATGAAAATAAACACCGCAATCAAACGTTTAATAACCTATATTAAATTTGATAGTTTTCTAACACAAAAAGCTTGTAAAACCACTTTCAGAAGTCTAAAATGAAGAAAAAAATGTTGACATACCATGACGGTGCAGTCTTCAGATCCACTAGCGATGACCTGGTCATTATGAGGGCACCAGTCGATGTCCAGAACAGGGCCGGTGTGACCACATACTGTAGGGTAGGCCTTGTCTATACGACCCGTCTGCAAACAGAGACAAAGCCTAATATCAGATTAAATATGAAAGCATTCAGTTCTTTTGGTAAGAGAAATGAGATCTAACAATGCCAGCAAATGTCTGTGTAGCACCAAAACAAACACTTACAGCCTGGCCTGCATTCGTCAAATCAGGAGGGGGTCAAAAAGCCATTCATTTCCAAATGTTCAAACAATAGCTCATCCGGTCATTCAGCGCAAACAGAAGAAACATTTACACACGACAGCTGATTTATAATAAAAACAGATTGCAGCTTTTGTTCTTGCATCTCTGTTTTCAAAAGCAGAGACAGAAGTGCGTGTGCGACAGGCCCTTGACCCTTTCATTAGGAGTGAAAGGTCACACGGAGGTTCAGGCAGAGTGTGAGAAAACCCATAAATGAGGAGGTTTTACTAAACAGCCACAGAAAAATTTAAAAGAGACTACATAGAAATTCTCAGATTCTGAGGAGCGGATTTATAGTTACATTGTTTGATTAAAATGAAATTCATGTTTAAATAAAAAGTTTATTTGGAAACTAGTTATGACATTTCATACAACTGTAAAAATACTTAAAAGATTCATAAAAGTAAAGTCAATATTTCATGAAATAACCATAGGCTGCATCTGAAATCACCTACTACTCAGTAGGTATGGCATTTGAACTAGAATTTACTACTCGACTGTTAGAAAAGTATGTTCAATTCAGTACAGCCGCCTTTCCCCTGCACACCACATTCAGACACGACTGTCGGAATATGGCCCTTTGTGGCAGTCACAAAGAATTTTTCAGTTTTGTTGGGCACCATGGGAGAGAAGATGAGTCTCGTGTTGTCAGAAATGAAGGAGTGCAAAAGCAAGAGCCTTATTTCTCTATGCGTTCACCATGGTTAAATTAATGAATGAATGACTACTAGAAACTCATAAACCGCTAACATTTTGGTGGGAATGTGGAGAAAACAAAACAAAAATTTTTATTACTCATTTATGAATAGTTATATATATATATATATATATATATATATATATATATATATATATATTAGGGTTGTAACGGTATGAATTTTTTACGGTATGATAATCGTCTAAAACAATACCACGGTTTGACGGTTTCGCGGTATACGGTATGTTACAAATGTTACAAAATAATAGAACAGTGAAGCAAATTTGACTTTTTACAAATAATATATTTTCAGTTACTATAAACAACACCACTTACAATGAACAAATAAAAAATAAGAAAATAATAAATAATGTGTCAAAGTCCAAATAAAGTCCAAATAAACATGGTGCAAATCCTCAGTAAAAAAATAGATATAAATATTTACTATACTATAAATAGTTACATAACGAAACTAGATTCAATATGGAACATCCTTAGGTTTTATGTGCCAGCATGGATATGGTTGTCTGTGGATATGGATTTGGATATGGTTGTCTGCAATGCAGACAAACAGCTGCACCTTCATTTGCGTCTTTTGAAAACAACAAGAGCAGCAGTTCGTCTTTGCTGTGTCACTGTTTTGTCATGTTTCTGTGCTGCTGTGCATGCAAAAGTACTTAGTATGAGAATTATTTCATGCAAAACTTTTTTTTTTGCGTTTTATTTAGCCGCGCATAAATGTATGCCTATCTCTCATTCCGTGTTGTTCAAAAAGCTCATTGTTTTGTTTGTGGACCAAAGCGAAACCTATGCTTATTGGTTGTGATATAGCGAGTTTGAACCAATCTGGGCATGGAGGAGGGACAATGCATCAATGTATCATGTCTGGTTTGTCCGGAGACACAGTGACGAGCGTTTCTTTGTCAAATCAGCGTGGTCAAATTTTGATGACGTAACCGCACTGATTCCGGAGCCTCTGAAAGTCCGTGAATGTTATGTGATACAGCAATGGAAAGCTGAGATTCTCTTCTTTCTGCCAATCTTTGAATTGTATGAATCGGATGAGCGGATCAAAAGTTATTAAACATTTAAAAGCAATACTTTTTTTTAGCCGCGGGCGGCTGTCTCGGTCTTTAAGGGTTAAAACCGTTGATATGCAATTGTTCATGGTATGATAATCGTGCACGTTCAAATCGTGGTAGACTGTCATACCGGTATATTGTTACAACCCTAATATATATATATATAAAAACTTTTTTTCTGGTTCAAAAAAAGTTACGAAAAAAACTACTCTTTCCTCATCTCAAGAACACGAACCTGCTTGTACAACATTGGAATACATCAATCCGCTTGGCCTGTCACACCCACTAGTTGCAGGAGTTCAAATATTTTAAGGAATCCGCAGCTCAAATCAGATCCGGCTTTTAAAAATACAGAGATGATCGGAATTCTACGCAGCTCCCGGACTACTCTCCATTGAAAATCAATGACTTCTGGTCTGTCGCTTTTCATGTGCAGTGAAAAGGCAACTTATGAATGAGAGTAGTATGAATGGAACTCGAATATACTACAGCTGCCGTTTTGTCATGATCATGTGACCTACACGGTTGCATCGCTACACTCTTATTCATGAATTCTCCCTGGGGGCATGAGGGGATAGCGTAGTGTGCATCGGGCACACACTTCAGAATCTCATCGGAAGTAGTAAGTCATTCGGTTACTTCTATGAATTCGGACATACTACTGCATACTACTCGCATACTGTTTTTAGTGTACTATATAGTATGGAAGTATATGATTTCAGACACAGCCATGCTGTGCAATAATTCAAAAGAAATTAAATGATTTAACCAGTTTCCTTTTCCTAAACAAATTCATAATGAATAAAAATTTTTTGGAAAATTTGGAAGAAAATATCCTCAGACCTTTACAGAGTAAAAACAAAACATTAACATTTTACAAACCCATACCTAGTAAATCCAGAAAAAAACAACCAAAAATTATAACTACATGAAAATTTAGTGAAGATCTAAAGAAATGTTTGCTATTGTTAAAAATATAGTGAAAGCAAAATTCTCCTACGAGAGTGATTATAGCGCCTACCGATGGTGAATGTGGTTCATGGCAGGTATTATTTGGTAGTTAGGTCATTTATTTCAATAATTTGGCAACCATCAAACGTCATCAGACAAACGGTTTGAATTTCAGCTTAGTAAAAAAAACATTAAGTGTTCCAATTGGGACAACATTACAAACTATGCTGTTGAGTAAGTGCATATGGTCATAGTGTATAGTGTGCCATTTGGGACGCAGTTATAGCCAAAATTCCCAACCACATTCAATGCATGTTTGTATATGAAAAGCAGCATTATTCCTCAATCTGAGTGCTTTATGTAATAGCATTATACAATGCAGATGCCTGGAGACCGAACATTTCCCTCTCTCTGGCACACAGCAAACAAAGCAGCCAAATAAAGGCCCAGCTGTGGTCTCATGCCAAGTCAGCTGACTTCCTGATGACATCAGTCCCCTCTGCCCTTTAGGTCACGACCTCTGACCTCTGCACAGGCCTGAGAGATCATCAGGTGTCATCTGATCACATTGTGCAGTGTGCAGAAGTCCAGCACACAAACACACACTTTTGTTCACGCCGCGCCTGCTGCTGCTTTGCCTATGGTGTGACGACATCACTGAAAGCACAATCACTGGCAGGCACTGCTCCCTATTTCTCAAGCATGGAGTATCAGCTGAAGTTTACTTCACTGGCAAAATATGCTCATTCTGAACATAGTGCAAAGGAAATTCCAGTTATGAAGAGTTTGAGGTTCGACAGCCAAGCATAATTGTGTGAAGGTCGGTGGACTCGGTGCACATCAAGCTGACATCAAACAGCTAGCACAGATGAAATCAAACTGTGTTTCCAACTCATGTCTGTTTCAGTCTGGACCAAAATGCCATCTTCCCCGAATACACCAAATAGAAGAAAGCAAACTTAAACAAGATGATGCGTCTTTCTTGACTTGTGGGTGGCAATGTCAGTTTTCTTTTACAACAGGTAACTGGAACTTCTAACAAAATAAAGCAGCATTTAATACCATCATCACAGTAATTGTCATTCACCATGGAGGGATTTGCTGCTGTAAATATGTCTGACAATCTAATAATCCATATTATTTGCAAATATTTGAGAAATGAAGGTAATTACATCCTGCCTCTTTGTGTAAATTATTGACCTGAATCGTTTAATTGCTAGGTCACACTCGTGCTCTGATTCCTAGCTGAATAACAGTCAGAGTGTTCTCTTCAGTCAACAACCAGACACTGATTCTATATTCCTGATCAGGTCAACAAGCTCCATTGTTATCCTTCTGAGAGGCGACATGTGGAATACACTAGAGCAGATAGCCGGACTGATGCTGCCTGATGGACCTACTGTACAAAGCCAAACGGCTGACCACCAACTTGGTGTGTCCCAGCCCCAAATACATATCATCTAAATACATGCATTATAGCCATGTTTCTTAACTGGTGAAAAGTGGGTCGCAGAAGCATTTTTGAGTGGGTCATTGAGCAATGCATGGCTTGATCTTAAAAGATGTCTGTAAAAATGGTTAATGCTTCTGTTCTGTCAGACACAATTTATGTGCGAGAGAAAAATATGTTCTAAAGACACAAAATTTACTTTGTGGTGGCACTTTACAACATTCTATACTTTTTCTAGGAATTCTATTGATTTTATTCTTCAATGTGGAAGTGCGCTAATTTTTCCGATTGTTTTCGAACTTCCGATTCAATTGCCTATGGGAAAAATGACTATGAGTTATTGTCAGAAAACGGTCAACTTGCTCTACACACAAGTGTTTGCATGACAATACAGACAAAGCAGAATAATATAAGAAGAAAATATAAAGTTTACAACATCAAGCAGCAGAACGAGCTGTTTTTAATGCCTAAAAATGAATGGAAGTGAATGAGACCGGAAGTCTCGAGCCAAAAAGATTCAAATGGCTGCGTTTGCTTTTATGTAAAGAACAAGCAGCAACCTCCCGCTCTCGCTTGTGAAGTAAATACGGAAGTAACTGAAACTGCAATTCATCAAAAATCCGCTAGTTCTGGTTCCATAAT